TAGGTGTTACATTGTACACTGGAATTAAATGCCGTAATGTGCACCTCTGCCTATCCCTTCGGGGATAAAAAGATGTTATGTTATCACTTACTTGTATATCATTCCCGGGCTCGGAACTACATCGGAAACTTATAGATGTTTCGAGCCAGAATTGAAAACGACTCCAACCCCAAATCTTCAAAGGTTAGAAGTCCCATCACTATGTTATCTGTCCCATAATGTTAATAGATTACAAACATAATTATCTTAATAATCATCCAACGCACCATTTACTTTGTCGCTCCCATTCATAACTCTATTCTTAGCTCTAAGCTTCATAGAAAGAAATCATAACTATTAAAACAAAATGTCGAATTAACTTCCTTAACTAACATACCACGCGTATCTTTAGGAAACTATATATAAAGATGTTTAGTTTGTTTGTTTAAGCCGGAATAAGTATAGAAAATGGATAATTCTAAATTGGGAATGGTTAAAATGTTGCTTTTAAATTCTGTGTACCTTTTTGTTATGTATGTAGACTGTACACTATTAAATTGCTCACGTTACTATTCAACGAGATTGCTCAAGTCTGCGCGACCAATTTCAAGTTACGCCGGGGCCCTTACATTGTGAAATGTCTAACAATTCCCAAAATTTTTAACCGAATACCGAATACCGGTAGGAATCTGTTCGTCTTTGGAACAAAATTCTTTGGAATCGGTTCAGCGTTTTAGACATAAAAATATTAAAATCAGAACACATTATTTTTTTTCTTATTGATAACACATTCACTTAGCTAAAAGTATGCTAAAAGGGGCACGTCTACTCCTACTAAGACGACTATATTACAACCATTCTGAAAATAAACCACTAAAACAACACAAAACTGTTGTCACAATAATTCCCTAAAGCGAGCCAAACTGACAAACGGTATAATCTCTTGGCTACATTTATAGTTCGACAGTGAGTGAGACTGTTACGAAATCCGTGTTTATGGGTAGCAAGGACTGACGTGTGACACATGGTTTCATATTGTAGACGATTCAGAAGGTCTACTTGAGAAAAGGTTTCAGTAAGCCACGATTATAATTTTTTTAACAATATTTGCCCACTATCTCGCCTGGTGGTTAGTGATGTGGTCTACGATGGAGCACGTCGTCCCATAAGCAACCTATTCACACAGGCCTCGAAGGCACCCAGGTTATACCCTTCGGGAAATACTAACTCTGGCAAAGAATTCCACTCCTTAGCAGTACGCACAAGGAAGCTTGATGCGAAGTGCTTCATGCGTAAAGGAGCAGGATGTTGTATGAACTGACTAAGGAACTACAGATTTAACAGACACCAGGCAGCAATGCTCTTTGATAATTCTAAAATTATACACTGTGATTTGCAACCAAAATAATGGACATTATGGCGAACTGGTTTTGTGATGAGTTAGTGACCTGTAAAGTTTAAAAAATGTAAAGCAGGCACGTCCAGTAGTGAATTGTCATAGGCAGTTAATATATGTGACATGGCCAATTTAGTGTACCTATAGTATACTATATTTCAGCCCCAACCTTTGCCTAGGATTCGGAAACTTCAACGATTCATACCGTTTAAAGAAAGAAAAAAAACCGTTTATTACGCCACGACACACATGCAAACAACAATACAATAAACATAAGAATATTATAGTGCATCGCAGCGCAAAAGGCCAAAGCTCAGCTTAGTGCTGTGGCCTGGCACGAAGGCTCGAGTCCATAGGACTGATTTTCACTACTCTGTTTAATACCGTTGGTTGGGGCCTACCGCACCTCCACCCACCAGACGGTGCCAGCGTGCGTGCGTGCGAGCTGCCGTGAGTGGACCTTTCTCAAAATTCACTTTGTCCACTATTCGCAAGAAAACTTGTTAAGTCGTTTCTAGGTTTATCAAACAAACTTTACTTTGTAAGTGTGATTGATTGACGGCCGAGTGGTCGCAAGTGCGACTGCCGGGCAAGGGGTCTCTAGAAATGTGCCCGGTATATGGCAATAGGCTCACCCCCTATTACATAGGACTCATAACATAAGCAGTGAATAAGTGGGTGTTACATTGTACAGAGGCATAACGTGCCGTAATGTGCACCTCTGCCTACCCCTTCGGGGATAAAGGGCTTGACATTATGTTATTTTATGTTTACTTTGTAATAGTACGTACCTGGTCAAGCTGATACCGTCTTCAATCTGGAAAGAGAATATTGAACATTTCATTTACAATTGAAGATCAAAGTAAACATAGGTTTGGCATCATCTCGCGGTTATGTCATTATCGCAGTCTACTTGTTTGGCCAAATACGGCTCTACATATGACTATGCTCAGTGTAGGTATCTATTGGCCGACTGGTCGAGTGGCCAATCAAGTATTCAATATTTTAACCGACTTTAAAGTAGGAGGTTTTATACAACGACGTTCTTTGAACACGTTCCATAATAATCATCATCATCATCAACAGCCTATAAGTGCCCACTACTGGGCAAAACCTCTTCTCAGACTGAGAAAGTTTGAGCATTAATCAAATCATTAATCCTCAAAAAGCCGGTAACGCACTTGTAACGCCTCTGGTGTTTCAGGTGTCCACGAGCGACGTTTGCTTACCATCCGTCTGCTCGTTTGCCACGGCAAAACCCTTACAAAAAATATTTTGTCGACACTAAACATGTACCCACTTAAACTTATACATAGTTCACACACACCAAAGATCAAATTCACAACTCCGTACTGCACTAAATTCCGTGAAATTATCCGTGAATGACACGTCACGCGTGTCACGCCCTTGCAAACATCGCGCTTGGATTGTCTTTACGAAGGGGGGTAGACACATCGCTCATACATACTTACTCCGAGTCACTAAACATGCTTTAACATTTATTTTTTATTTATTTGTTTTGACAGGGCGATTTAACAAGTGACAGTCTGGTTGGAATGATTTCGTTTCTATTTGAATTGAAAATATACGTCTGTAAGCTGTATTCACCAAACCTCCTCTAAAATATATCATAACACCCCGCCGTTTATCCTTGAAGGGGTAGGCAGAGGTGTACAATGTAACACCCACTTTTCACTATTTATGTTATAAGTCACATGTAATAAATAGGGGGTGAGCCTATTGCCATATACCTGGCACAATTTCAGACACCGTGCTACTATGTACTGGGATTTTTTTTTCAAAAAACTCAGTAATACTTTGCCTGGGAATCGAACCCGAGACCTCGTTAATCGAGTTGAACTCCTAACGTAGCTTTAGAATAGTCGAGTTATTAGATCAAGCAATCGATTCGAGTCTATAGAAATGTCAATGTGTAGACTTGACATAAGCCTTTGACGTTATTTGTCGAATGTCAGTGTCAATTTCTTTAACATTGAATTCTTTAATCGCTACATTTCGTTAAGTTAACATTCTCAAATCAATACTTTAATATTTCCAATCTTGTCAAATAAAGTGAGACTTCTGTCGAATTTGTTGAGTAAACATATATAAATAGCGGTCTATATATATCAGCACAGGTGATGGCGTCCGCTATATAAATATACCATGGCGTCGCTCAAACGACACCACGTTTATTTCAAATCAGTTCACATCTTTACAAATATAAAAATTAATGTGTATTGCTTTAAATCTACTGTCGGTTACCTATATTGTTTCCTGGACTTTACATTAGGATTGACTTTGAGATCCCGGTTCTTTAGCTTCGTTTGCAACAAATAACTATTGTAAAGAACATGGTTCATACTTCTAGTTGCTAGATCTCTGGTTACTTACTACCTTCAGCAAAGCTAGAAGCCCTAGCCCTAGCCCTAGCTCACAACAACGATGACGAGTTTGTTATACTTCGTGCGGCTAATTTTAAATAGGTCTCATTTTAGGAACCAGATAAATAGCTTTAATTTTCTAACCTGATCGTCTGTTTGTCACCAGGTACCAACTGACAATCCATCACCGCAAACACAGAGGGAGTCGTGACGAAGCCTACGCGACCGCATCGAGGACGCACTCCACCACAACTGGCGACGGCTGACCGCTCCACGCACAGTAAGTTACATTGTGACTGCGTTTACTCTCATCATTATTATCTCATTATTATCACACTGGTGATGTCACGTAAGTCCACGAATCGACTACTGGATCATGGACCTTGTCTACAAAAGAGGGCTTTGCTATATCTCCATGCTCGGCAGGCGGGATGGAAATCGTAATTTAAATTGATTCAGGCTTACGAGAGAAACTGCGACAACCTAACGGGTTGCCGAGGCTCCGGCTCTATGCAGGATTAGGAAAGGGGTGGTGTTTAGTCAGTAAGACTCTGACATTCACTCTCGCCTGCCCCAAGGCGGGAGAAGTCTCTGTTGTTAAATATGTAGGCATGTAGTTCTTCGGCTCTGATGACGCTCACGGAAAAACGAGAGGTGGTAACTGATGTATTGTACAATGACATCATCACACGTTTTGCCATACAATAATCGCAATCTTTGAGGAAGGAATCCTTCATGGATTAACCTCGGTCGTCCTCCATTGCAGAACACACTAGAGTCGCGCCCGCGGGTCCGGTCGTTCAGCCAGGAGCGGCCGCGCCGCCGCCGGCCCAGCGCCACCTCGCTAGACCTACAGCCAGACTCCGACAGACCTTATAACACTGCTACTATACACAGGTCAGCTGGGATCTATAGTTGTATGGCTCATGTTCATTATAGTAGCAAGTTTTAACTAATATATTAGTTCGATTGTAAAGGAGGCGTGTTCTATTATACCAAGGACAATGCCACAATGCAACACTATGTTGTTGATCCGAGAGTTTATTTAACCTAATAAGCTTTTCCTGAAGTCCTAAACTAGAAAACAAACAGTTTTCACAGGTTTTAAAACATGGACACAAAACAAGACGTGATTATTAAATTCATTAATATTTATCATTCTTACAGATGATTTGTCACCGGAAGATAAACCAATCTAACTCCTAATTTCTTCTTCCACCAGAGCCCACTCCTTAAGCAAGATGGCGGCTCTATCACTGAAGATATCCATCGAAGGTGGCAAGGTGGTAAAGACCATACAGTTCGACCCTTCCACCACCGTGTACGACGCCTGCCGCATCATCAGAGAGAAGATTCTCGAAGCCAGCAGTGGGGACCGTGAGTATTTAATATATTCTTCTATAATAAGTATAATGGTTCAGCCTACTAATATTATAACTAACTACTTCCGCGCGGTTTCACACGCTCTGCTCAGCTCCTATTGGTCGTAGCGTGATGTTTTATAGCCTATAGCCATCCTCGATAAATGCGCTATCCAACACAAAAATAATTATTCAAATCAGACTTGTAGTTACGGAGATTAGCGCGTTCAAACAAACAAAAAAACAAACTCTTCCGCTTTATATAATAGTTTAAGATAGTATAAGATGAAATGTGAGCATTTACTGATTACTATTTGTCAATTGTATTATCTATGGATGTCAATAGCCTATAGGCTTTAAAACATCACGCTACGACCAATAGGAGCTGAACAGAGCGTGTGAAATCGCGCGGAGGTAGCTTGTCTATTATAAATGCAAAAATTTGTTGGTCTGTTACTCATACACATCAAAACCGCTGAAGGGCGCAAGAAGAAATTTGGAGCAAGGGTAGGTTATGGTCTGGAATAACTCATGGGCTACTTTTTATGCCTCGGGAGCGCCTTTGGCAGAAGTGTTATGTAGAGATTTTAAGAAATACAAAGTCCTTCTATATGGTGTAACAATGGCGTTGATAGTAAGGAATTCTTGCTAAAGATAACATTTAACTTAGCTTATCTACTTAGCGAGAAAAATATTTTTGGCTTTAATAATACATTACACAAATTGCATGCCATAAATGCCTTGCCTTGCCATGTCTTCAAGAAAAGGGCGTATTCACTAACGACCCCTAAACTATCTCTTAACTAAGATTAACTTAGCGTGAGAGAGCACCTAAATTAACCCAATGCCCTTACCTATTCGTCTCACTTAATGGGTGGTGAATTCAAAATGTCCATAAGTTATACCTATTTTATAGCTCAGGAGTTCCTGAAAATGTATTTAATTTTTAAATTTTGACCCACAGCAAAAGAATACGGCCTCTTCTTAGCGTCAGAAGAAGACAACAAGAAGGGAATATGGCTAGAAGCTTCCAGAAGTCTGGACTACTACATGTTGAGGAATGGAGACCTTCTGGAGTATAATAAGAAGACCAGGAACTTGAGAGTCCGTATGTTAGACGGTTAGTATCCAAAACAGTTAAAATTGAACCTTATTGCTTTTATGTTTGGTTGGTTTTAATTCAGTATCTACTTGGCGTTTACTGCATTTGAAATTCAACCTTATTGCTTCGTGATAATATTCTAGCTCTGTATTGAATTGGATTTTATTTACTTTATGTAGTATCAGAGTAATGTATCACATTCAAAAATTAACCTTATTACTACACTGACTAGGTTCCAGATTTGTATTGTAAAATTTTCCCACAAACGATTTTCCACTTTGTCTCCATGTTAATTAAGTTTAGAATTACTTAAATTATAAAGGCATAATCTAGTATAGGTGTTTAGACAGTTTAACAATACAATCGGCCTCATCGTTCGCTTGATAGAATTGACGTGTAAAAGTGCTGCCTTGTAGCCTATTTGCAGAAATAAATTCACTTGTTTCACATGTTTCAAAATTTCATTTGAATAAAATGCGCTCGAATTGGCAATCTTTTTTTTAAGTTGATTAACAGTGTAGTTATGCCGTAATGTGCACCTCTGCCTACCCCTTTGGTTGGTTGGATAAAAGGCGTGGTGTTGTTATGTTGATTACAAGTGAAGGTAATTTAAACGTTTTAGATTTTGTAATGAGTCAAGTCAAAAGTCAAAGTCAAAGCATTTATTTCAATTAAACCATAATTTGGTACTTATCAAACGTCAACAAAATACAAAATAAATAATAGTCTGTCAGTCAGTCCGTCAGTGAAGCTAGGTGACGCTAGGTGCTCATTCCAAAATGTAGATTCGAATGGAGAAGAATGAGCAAGAAACTCCACTCTTTTTAAAAAAGTATGTTCTACAATGTCACTGATACATATTCCAATACTGTACGCATATGTGAGAACAATTCAAAGACACGCTCGACGCATTACAGGTACTAACTACAAACCTTACTAAAATAAAAAATAAAAAAATCTTATAGTCTAACATGGTGCTCACATATGCATACTGACAATCCATAAAAATAGTGCTTCTATACAAGAAAAAAGAAACTCTTTGTTTCAATACAGAAAGAAAGAAAGTCACTAATAATTAAGTTAGATGAACTAAATATAGTATGTTTGTTGCAGGCACGGTAAAGACCCTGCTGGTGGACGACAGCCAGGTGGTGGCCAACCTGATGGTGGTCATCTGCACCAAGATCGGCATCACCAACTACGACGAGTACGGACTGGTGAGTACTATAATCTGATGGGGTTCGCTAAATTGTGTTGCCTCAATTGGATACTTTCATAACACATGACATAATATCACGCCTTTTATCCTCGAAGGGGTAGGCAGAGGTGCACATTATACCACTGTACAATGTAACACCCACTTTTCACTATTTATGTTATGAGTCCCATGTAATAGGGGGTGAGCCTATTGCCATATACCGGGCACAATTCCAGACTCCGTGCTACTACTGAGAATATTTAAAAACCCAGTAATACTTTGCCCGACCCGGAATTCGAACCCGAGACCCTTTGCCCGGCAGTCGCACTTGCGACCACTCGGCCAAAGAGGCAGTGGATACTATCCTTAATCAAAAATAAATCATTACGACTGTTCAATACAATTATAAAATATTAAAAAGTAATCACAATTTAATTAATTTATTTTATGACCAACAAGACAATTGACGCTAAAAAACCGTGACGTCACAATACACAATCTAATACAAAATTCATAGAAAACTGTCGTTTTTGTCAGTCCGAAAAAAGTATTGAGTTTGACTTGTAGGCGAGTACACAATTCCTTTAACACATTTCAACTCTTATTTGGTAGTCGTTTACCAACAAACATTATAATAACATTTTTATTTACATTCACCCTACTCTCTCAGGTGCGAGAAGAACAAAAAGAGGAAGTAGATCCATGTGAGAAGCCTAACTTCGGCACTCTTACCCTGAAGCGCAAACACCAGGAGAAGGAGAGGGACGCCAAGATGGAACAGCTGAGGAAGAAACTCAGGACTGATGATGAAGGTAAACCACTCTACATTGTAATCTGTATCATAGGAAACTGGATAATGTTATATACATACTTACGTATACATAACTTCACGCCTGTCTCCCATGCGGGTAGGCAGAGACTATAGAACGCCAATGCCAATTACTAGGCTGGATAATATTATGTTCTTTTATTTCATAACTAGCTTTTACCCGAGGCTTCGCTCGCGTCACAAAAGGATAAAAAGTAGCCTATGTGACATATACCAATACACACAGCGCCATCTGTACCAATAATTTCCCTTTTTTCTCGAGAATATCAAATTTTTCCGGGATAAAAAGTACCCTATTATTTAATCCAGACTTCTAACTTCACATCTTTGGAGACATTCAAAGCAATCGGTTTAGTAGTTACGGCGTGAAAGTGGATCAAACAAACAAACTCACTTTCCGATTTATAATATCAGTAAGGATTAACTACTTTCGCGCAATTTCAACCCCTGCGCGGTTTATACAGGTCGTAGCGCGATGTAATAGCGACGAACGACTACACGGTTGGGCAACCGGCTAGCTGTTGTACAATGTGTCGCGGGTTTGATTCCCGCACGGAACAACACTGAGTGTAATCCACAAATTGTTGTTCCGGATCTGGGTGTCGTGTGTATATGAACTTGTATGTTTGTAAACGCACACACGACACAGGAGAGAAACCTAGTGTGGGGAACGTTTAAAAAAAATGTAGCTAGCTAAGCTAAAGAGTTTGTTTGTTCGAACGCGCTAATCTCCGAAACTAGCTGGACTTAAATAATTACTTTTGTGTTGGATAGTGCATTTAATTTATAGAGGAAGGTTATAGGTTACAAAACATAACGCTATGACCAATAGAAGTCGAGCAGCGAGTGAAAATACGTGAAAGCAGACAGTCATTCATAAAGTTTGTTTCGTCCAACAGTGAACTGGGTGGAGCCCTCAAAGACACTCCGCGAGCAAGGTATAGACGTGACAGAGACGCTCCTGCTGCGCCGCAAGCTGTTCTTCTCAGACCGCAACGTGGACTCCAGGGACCCCGTCCAGCTCAACCTGCTGTACGTGCAGGCCAGGGACGCCATACTCGACGGCACGCATCCTGTTACTATGGATAAAGGTAATTCAAAGTTATCATTTTTTAATAGCTGGCCTCTATCTCGCCTGTAATAATGTGGCTTACTATGGAGCACGCCTGCATAAGCAATTCAGTCGGGATTTGAAGACACTCAGGTCTAGAATCGCTGTTAGACCCTTCTGGAAACAGCACAGCCATACATTTTTTTATCTTTACAAATGGACCTCTATGATCTAACAGCTGCACAAATATCGAAATTGTTTCATTAGTGTCAAAGTTAAATGTTTCGAGTAAAGTTCAAAGATTTAGTCTTAAATTTCTATATCATTTCCTAAATCAACTCTTTTCTATCAATCTTTCGATAGCCTATAAATGCCCACTGCTGAGCAAAGCCTCTTCTCACACGGAGAATGTTTGAGCATTAATCAATGCTTGCTCAATGCGGGTTGGCGATATGAAACTTATAATTAGGAATTATATGCCCAGGTTTCCTCACGATGTTTTCCTTCACCGTTTGTCAGTGGTGTCTAGATAATCTTAGAAAGTACATGTAACTCGGAACAAGTCACATTGGTTGGTATTAAATACAACGTGATTTTTGCATCGAAATTTATCAAAATCTACTCAAAAATATTAATTTATTGTATGTCTTGTCAACAGCTTGCGAGTTCGCGGGTATCCAATGTCAAATACAGTTCGGGGACCACAGGGAAGACAAACATACACCCGGATTTTTAGAGTGAGTAACTAATATTAGAGACATTCTTGACTATCATTGTTGATTAAGTATAGATAAGACACACATTCACCATTCATTAAAACAAATATAAATTTTAAATACTGACAGAAATATAAAAACTATCGTGAGACATACTAAATTAACTAAAATCACGGATTACACTCGTGAATATACTAAGAAAAGCTCTACTAGTTTCGAACCACAGAGGGGTTCTTCCTCATGAGCAGCGTGCGCCTATATTCTCGTGAGTAACCCGCGATTTTAGTTAATTTACTGACAGAAAATACTAGTACCTAACTAATGGATTTGCTCATCAACAGCAAATCTAGTATGTCTCACGATAATTATTTAACCCCCCAATGGTCGCAGGCCCGATTACCTCTTCGCCAATCCCCAATCCCTGAATCCCCAACAATCCTCAAATTCCTAATCCCCCAAGACCCATAACGCACTTGTAAAGCCTCTGGTGTTGCTTGTGTCCATGATCCGTATGCTCGTTTACTGGCTTATCCCGTAAAAATAAAACTTTAAATTCCCCCTGAAAAATAACCACCTTAAATTCCACTCCACAGCTTGAAAGAGTTCCTGCCAGCGTCCTACGTGAAGGTGAAAGCCATTGAGAAGAAGATCTTCAAGGAGCACAAGAAGCACGTCGGCCTCAGTGAGCTGGACGCCAAGGTGCTGTATACCAAGAGCGCCAGGGACCTCAAGACTTATGGTGTCGCTTTCTTCTTGGTCAAGGTATGTTATAAAAACCTTACACAATGTAAATCATGTATTTCTTATGATAGTATAACATGTCATCAAAGGTCATGGACACCCGCTACAGCAGAGGAGTAACAAGGACGTGGCTATTCGATTGGAGATAGGTGGGGATTTGAGGATTGGGATTCAATCTGTTTTGCTATTATAAAAAGTAAAAACTGCAGAAAGTTGTAGAGTTTGAAGAGTCGATCTTTACTCGGCTAGTTTCAAACTGCGAGTGGAGCTTATACTCAAGAGTTCTTAATATTATTTAAATACTAAATAACAAAAAAAAGTCAAAAGGTACAGATAGGTCTGATTTATTCATTAATCTCTTAATTTAAAAGTGATGAATGAATGATGAATTACAAATATGCAAAAGAATACTATGAAATATTATTCTAACTAGTTAAATCGTCATAATATGAAAAGGCATCAAAATCGGTTCACCCAATCGCGAGATAATCTCGCTCTAACATACATACAGGTCAAAATCTTTTTGACCCTCTTCTTTTATTGAAGTCGTTAAAAATGTCTTGATATTCTCCTTAAGTACTTATACAGTCCTTAAATTCATATGCAACTGATGACACAACTGAACCTCAACATTTTACAACACAGGAAAAGATGAAAGGCAAGAACAAGCTGGTCCCCCGTCTACTGGGAGTCACGAAAGACTCCGTGCTGCGTCTGGATGAGAAGACCAAGGAGATCCTGCAGACCTGGCCGCTGACCACTGTACGTCGCTGGTGTGCCAGCCCCAATACTTTTACCCTGGACTTCGGAGACTATAGGTTCGTTACCATATTCTTGAAAATATGTACCTAATAATGCTAATGTTTTAAAACTACTGCCTCATTGGCCGAGTGGTCGCAAGTGCGACTGTCGGGCAAGGGGTCTCGGGTTCGATTCCCGGGCAAAGTATTACTGGATTTAAAAAAAATCTCACTATGTAGTCGCGGAGTCTGGAATTGTGCCCGGTATATGGCAATACGCTCACCCCCTATTACATGGGACTCATAACATAAATAGTGAAAAGTGAGTGAACATATATACACGACAATTTGAGAACCTCCTTTTTTGATCTTGGTTAAAAATATTACTGACATAAACTGTTAGATGAAGGCTCTTCTAACTCAAAATCATTAGTTACCTATGAGCGCGATGAACGATGTTGTACAGGGAACTGAACTGAATTTCATGCTATTTCTTATATGATTTATCTATTGTATCTATCTAATGAACGTCCCATTTAAAGTTGCATTCATTGTTTCTAGTGTAGGTTTCATATCAAAATATGACACTGCTCTAAACCAATACTTTTACCCTTAATCACAATAAAAAAGGATTCGTGCTTATAATAACAATTATTATTGTTTACGGCTTACCGATGTTTTACAAGTCAACTAATTTCGAGCCACACCGGGGACTTACACCCTTCCATTAAAACTTATAATAACAAAGATATATTTGTCTCACAGTGACCAGTACTACAGCGTGCAAACTACGGAGGCGGAGCAGATATTGCAAGTAATAGCCGGATATATAGACATTATAGTACGCAAGCAGCGCGCCAAGGACCACCTCGGCATCGAGGGGGACGAGGGGTCCGCCATGTTGGAGGACTCTGTGTCGCCTTCTAAGTGAGTATAGCAATATTTTTACATTACACAAGGTACCTACATTAACATCTTATCAAAACTTGACTTTATAGTAGAGCAAAATGTTAAAATTAAAAACTTTTTGACATACGTCTTTGACAGAGGGCTTGTACACAAAGCTGCATCGCAAGAACTTGAGAATTGATTCGCATCGCGCATCGGTATCTTATCTTCCCAAAATCTTCTTTGTTTCTTTTTCCTGTATTTCGTAAGCAATAACAGAAGTGCACACTTCTTTTTACGATTCATGACACGACGTAGTTTTCAATTGAAAATACGTTTAGTACGGTTGACGGTCGTCGAAGGAATGGTCACCATGGGAGACGCATTGTCGCATGAAATCGCGTCGCTGCAATTCGCATCGAATTCGCAGTTTTGTGTACGAGCCCTGAAGTCTTTGAAAACCTTTCTTAAACAAAATGTCTTATTTTTTTATGCAGACCATTGTATAAAAGAATACCTTGAATTAACGAACATGAATGAAGAAATTGATGAATGTAGGTGAGCGAATGAGGTGCCTATGTCTGAGCGAGACAATTGTTGTCTCTCCTACTCCAACAGAATAACTAAGACTTAACTGCAACTGAATTAGACACACACAAACTTCAATCTAATTATTATTGTCTTCGGCTCACGTAATTATTTGACGAGGAACTTGACTAGTTTCGAGCCATGCTAGAGGCCATATTCATGAGTAACGTTATGCGTTACACGACAAAATACACAATCATAAATGCGAGCCTGTAGTATGGCTTGAAACTAGTCGAGTTCCTTAATAAACAGTTACGTAAGTAAGCCGAAAATATAATAATTAATTTAGTATGTCTCACGAAAGTTGTAATATAAGCTTTAATCTGTTAAAATTTCGATTGAAATATCACAAATCAACTAATATAATATTAATTTGTCTACAGGGCCAATATAATCCAACACGACACATTCAAGTCTGGCAAGGTGAACACGGAGTCCGTGGCCAAACCCGCCGTGCATCGCCCCGGAGCTGAAGGTAACAATCATATACGCAAATTACCTAGGATAATTTTAATTGGGTACTTTACAATACAAATATACTATACAATTGTATAAAATTAAAAAAAATAATCACACTTTCATTAATTGGTTTTATGACCAACTTCATTTTAGTACCTTTCCAGTGAACTTTTAAGAGATATGTATTCTGTTTGGCGCTATAAAAACGTGACGTCACAATACACAATCTCGTACAAAATTCATAGAAAACTCGTTTTTGACAGTTCCAAAAAAAAAGTATTGACTAGTTGACAAGTACCCAATTTTTGTATAAATATTCACAAAATTTTTGCAATGGGGATGTTCGCTAAGTTAAAATGTAATGTTTTGTCTTGAGTAAAGGGTAAATGTATTGGAGTAGTCATACTGTTAATTCATTGAACTTATCGGCTCGACCGGAGTGATACCATGGCCTCACAGAAAACCGACGTGAAACAAAACTTGCGTTATGTTTCGCCATGTGACCGAGGTTACTGGAGGCCCAGTTACCCCTCCCTAATCTCCCCAATCCTCAAAAGGCTGGTAACGCCTCTGGAGTTTCGGGTATCCTTGGGCGGCGCCGATTGCTTATCATCAGGTGACACGTCTGTTCGTTTACCGGTTTATACCATAAAACATGATTTGATCATAACAATTATTTTTTGAAGGAATAGAAAGTAATAATAGTTCCTATAAAACATCTGTTGTAAAATGAATTAGGAGAAAATTCTTGAATTTGACAGCTGCCAACATTCCCGTTGTAATTATTAAATTAAATATGTTTTGTATTGCACCAGTTGCTCACTTTTTTTTAAAATATCATTTTGTTAAATTTTTGTTAGTGCTTACAACTTTATGTAATTTTTTTTTCGACTCGTATGTAAGCACTGATAAATATGTACAGAAATTTTATTATATTTAAAGTAGTTGCATTTTGATTTTTGTTATTTATTGTTTATTTTTTTAAATGATGGAATATCGTGTTGTATCAACTTTAAAAAAATATGTTTTGGTACACTAATTTTAATAAAATATGACGAAACATCTTGTGCCTGGTATATGGCAATAGGCTCACAACCTATTACATGGGACTCATAACATAGAGGAAAGTGGGTGTTACATTGTACTGTGGCATTAAGTGTCGAAATGTGCACCTCTGCCTCTTGGGGGATAAAGGCGTGATTTTATATTATTGAATTCAACTAATTGTAAATTAGGCTATATTCTATACACTATACACAGCACGATATTCCATCGTATTTAATATATTTATACGCTTTGCTTGTCCTCGCTAGGAGCGAAGCCATTTGCAGTGAACCACATGACGGGCGCCCAGCAGACGACAGTCTCAGGACAAATCATTACTGGACACACGCCGCCCGCTGTCAGTATATATACCTTTTTGGTTTTTATTTCCTGCTTTTTAGTATTATTTTATTTATACACCGTTATGCTGGGGCTACATTAGCGGGCGAAGATGCATATCGCGTTGGAGCGCATAACTTCCGTTGTCGAACATACGCGATGTTTTTGTTTATATTTACGTGCGAAGAACTTGACTACTTCTAAGAGTAGTCAGTTAGGAAATGTCGACCTCATCGTTCGCTTGATAAAATGGACGTGTAAAAGTGCTGCCTTGTAGCCTATTAAATTTACAGAAATAAATTCACTTGTTTCAAGATTTACAAAGCGGCCTACAGCGAATATGCATTGTTAAATTTTTGTTACTCTACTCCATAGTGTACAAAAACACATGAACGTCAATCCCGCTACAAAGTCTTAACGATATTGAAGTGACGTAGGCTACTTCAAACGAATATTGCCACAACAAGTCGTTTGAAGCGCGCCAGTATACCGACAGTGCCCCGATGCTACATCGCGTTGCAACGATGTACCCGATCACATCGGCGTAGCCCGCTAATGTAGCCCCAGCATTATTGTATTAGAAATAATGTTAGTTAGAAGTTATTGTATGTAAGAACTGGGAGTAAAAGTGGTATTTTCTGTTGAAAAGAAAATTAATGAAAAATATATAGTGGCTAATATAAGACATTTTATTACGGGTATATTTTTTGAGGAGAAATACCCGTGTGTGCCTATTTGAATTATGATTTCATTAAAGCTAAAGCAATTATTTCAAATTGTATCAAAATAGACACATTTGACAGTCAAAAATATATTTTTTCTTTTTGCAAACAATCGTTTAATAATGAATTGGTTTAAAAAGTTATTGGACTTAATCAAAATACATTTGCTTACCAAATAAAGTACGTATCTAATGCCATTTTTACTTCTCAGTTTTACTGCAACACGTTCTAAACATTTTTATATAATGATGATATGATTTTGTTCCACGCTGCTATTGGCTATACGTAGTCATCGAAATGGGCTGTGTAGGTATATATTGTACGATTTACTATTTTTAAATACAACAATAAAAATTAATATTCAATCAGTTTTAGTCCTGACGAACTGATACATTGTAATAAAGGTTACTTTAACTATAGCGTGAGTGCAACTGAAAAAGAATATGGGTTCGAGACCCAAATTAAAAATGTACATTTTTACTTGAATATGGTGCTGTCCCTGTCCTTTTACAAAGAATTTGTAGCGACAGAACTATACTTAAAATTGGGGTATTTCAGTGTTAATTTTTTCATTATTATTAATGACAGCACAAAGTCTAGCATTGTCCGTACAGTCTTGATTTCTAGCGTCCTTATGACCATTTTACCCATCAGCCTTGAGCATACTATGCTGGATTCTTCTCCGTGTGAGAAACCGTCTTTACTTAACACTGAGACAAGCTGCATGTTCATATCGAATAGTATACAAATTGAAGATAACTTTCGTAAACAAATTCTAAGCATCTACTTCCAAACGCAGGCGTCCCAGGTCCAGCAGACGCGCGTGACGTCGATCCTGTCGGAGCCGCAGCGCGCGCTGCTGTCCACCATCTCCAGCGGAGTGGAGATTATCAAGCACACAGAGGAGGGACTCACCAGGGTATGTATCATCCACAAGACATACATGAACATTGGCCTTCCTCTATTATACTATTATATCCTCTATTGTACTACCTACGGCACTTCGACACGGTTGGCGCGGTGGCTGGGCAATCGGCTGCTGTGCAACGTGTCGCGGGTTCGATTCCCGCACGGAGCAACTCTTTGTGTGATCCACAGATTGTTGTTCCTGGTCTGGGTGTCATGTGTATGTGAACTTGTATGTATATAAACGCACCCACGACAGTCGAGAAAATCCTAGTGTGGGGTAACGTTTTTTTTTTAAAGGTATAGAAAAGAAACACCTGCCTACTCCATTATAATAAAGGATTGATCCATGGTTGGACACACTTGTTGCTGCGAGTGCGAACAATGCTTCTTCATTTAAATAAAGCTAACATTACCTTCTTATCTTATCCATAAATAGACCGCTAACCTGTCATTTGGATGTCAATTCTATTTTTACTTCACTTCCCTAACCTGTCGCGCGTTCCTTCCATTCCAACGCGGGTTCGATACCAAGATATGTTAAGTGTATTTCACCTTTCGTTATATACATTTTTATCTCTAATAAAGTTGTGCAATTAAAATATACGTAATTTTTATATCTTTAGAAATTACTATCTAGAAACAAAAATAACATTGATAAACTTTAACTCTTTTTTAGTCACACGGTTCAAGTAGACAGACTTTGATTAATATACAATACAAAAAGAATTGGTTCGACTAAGTTTTATGTAATAAAAACTTCGATCAACTCTAAGAGCCAGTTGATTCAAATAATTGTATTCTTCTTTTTATTCCTGCCATAACCAAATTGACTTACTATCTAAATACAATACTCGCATTCCCTTTGAGCTTAGGACGTGCAAAAAAACTTTACTAAAGATCCAATTGACAGATATTTTTATTAGTCTTGTAAACGCGTTTTTTATGGGATAATGAGCAGCAGCAGACGGATACCCTGACGGTAAACAATCGGCATCGCCCATGGGCACCTTGAACACCAGAGTTACAAGTGCATTAACGGTCTTTTGGGGATTAGGAATTTGAAAATTGTTGGGGAGATTGGGGAAGGGAGTAATTGGAAATTGGGGGCGTTAGTTTCGAAACTGTTTAAGTATGATTACTTTTTAGTCTGATGATATTATTGGCTGTATAACTAATTCAATACATTATGGTACAGGCCACCCTCCCAGCGCTGGGCCAGGACGCCGCGTCAGTGAAGTGGAAGCAGGTGACGATGGACACCAACAAGCAGGTCGTCACCTCGCAGATTGCCGCCATGAACGCGGCCACGGCGCAGGTCGTCACACTCACTTCAGGTAACATTACAAACTATTTCTCTTTTACTAGCGACTTTAGCGCGGTTACATCCGCTCTGCTCGGCTCCTATTGGTCATAGCGTGATGTTGTATAGCCTATACCCTGCCTCAATAAATGGACTATCCAACACAAAAATATTTTTTCAAATGGGACAAGTAGTTTTTGAGATTATCACGTTCAAACAAAGTCTTCAGCTTCATTATATTAGTATAGATTTACTTTACTTTGAGATATAATTATGTAGATTAACTTTTATGTCCATAGTAACAAATGACTGATCTAATTGAAAAAATAAAGCCTTTGTTAGATAAACACTATGCTGTCCTTGTCAATCGCTACCATTTGTGATGATAGTATCAAAATCTGTTTAGTTATATTACTCAGCACAATAAACAATTATCCAAGTTTCCTCTATCTTTTATAAACCCTAACATACATATCGAATCTGACAAATAATTATATTTAGATAAAATAATAATCATTTGTCGCATAAATTACTGAAAAAAAAATTTACAGAGAACACCTTGTCACTCTTAGACAAACTTAACTTGAATCCCCACCTCCATCCCCAGGCACGGAGGAAGTAGACCACACGGCAGTAGGAGCAGCCATCACCACCATCACCACGAACCTGCCGGAGATGACGAAGGGAGTACAGATGATCGCCGCACTCATGGATGACGGGGACCATGGAGACAAACTCCTGGATGCCACCAGGAAACTCTGTACAGCATTCACTGACTTACTGAAGGCTGCTGAGCCGGAAACTAAAGAGGTTTGTGAATTTTTAGAGGGATTTTTCATGTAAGGTAACCAATATCATCAAGCCTTTTAGTCCCGAAGGCGTTGGCAGAGGTGCACATTCCAGCACTTAATGCCACTGTACAATATAACACCCACTTTTCACTATTTATGTTATGAGTCCCATGTGAGCCCGGTGAGCCTATTGCCATATACCGGACACAATTCCAGACTCTGTGCTACTACAGAGATTTTGATTTTTTTTTTATTTATTTAACTATGGTTTGTGTTTTGCCTTATAAGCTGTAGATAACACGAGATAACTGAGATACAGACTGAGACAAGATATTACTTGTGATTATGATAAGTGCAACTAACGGAAAACATTTGAATGGTTGTAATATAAAAAGTGTGCCTAAAGCACTTAAAAATAACGCAATGCAAATTTAACCAAACTGTATCTGCGTTATACATATTTACAAATTCCATGAAATACTTTTAATACGACTGCATAGTTAAATACTTTAACTGGCTCTTGATAAGTATAGGAATTTAATACGATATAGCAACTAGCAACTACCGCTATATTGTGTAACTACAATAAATACTACCTGTATACAAATTATAATCATCAGCCTTTTACTCACACATGATGTATCTACTTCCAGCCGCGCCAGAACCTCCTAAATGCTGCCTCCCGCGTCGGCGAAGCCTCCACAACAGTCCTCTACACCATCGGCGAGGAAACCGAGGAGGACAAGGAGACACAGGTAACTGATCCAGACCCTAAACGAAACCCTAAGAAATCCTACCTCTATCGCAAACTTAACTATTGTTACGATAACTTCTACAAAGTCTTCTTTGGCAAAGAAAAAGATGATAGCTACGATAGCGATTTTGAAAGTATCGATATTGGAGTCGGTAATAAGGATGTCGATGATGGCATCTATGAGGATGTCGATACTACCCGCAGTTGGGGCTTGGATGTTATACAGGAGGAGTCCGATAGTGATTACTATAGAAGTATTGATTATTGTAACATGATCTTTAAGAATAAACTCGATAAAACTAAACCTGATAATTTAAATGGCGATTTTGAGTCCATAGTCCAAAATTGTGAGGGATATTTAGACAGTAATAACAGCCCTAAATTGTACCCGAAAACGATCTACGATAAAATCTACAACTTCAAAAAAGATTTCTCCAACCACGATTACGCTAACGTCAATTTCGATAGAAATAATGTCGATAAAAATAACATCGATAAAGCTAACATTAATATCGATAAATCAAACTTAAATATCGACAAATCTCACTATGAAAACGTAGATTTTAACAGACGTTCTAAAAACGATATACTTCGGGAACAATTCTTTCGTTCAGACAATATCGATAAGAATGATATTAACGATAAATTTAATCGATATAACGGTAAGAAAATCGAATGCCATAGCATAGTTAACGACGTAACAAAATCCGGTCCAGACGTGAAAGTTTCAGGGGCATTAAACATGAAATTGCTAAACCCAGATAGATACAATCGCGTTCTAACGACCACTGAAACATTCATGGAGACGGCGGAAGCCAGTTTTACGAAAAACCAAATATCAAAACTAAGACACGACGGTTTCGAAAACTTCGTTAAAAAGAGCGAGAGGTACTATACGACTGAGACAGGAGATAGACAAACTGAGGTACTAAATAATCAAGAAAAACCAAAAACAGAGATCCGTATATTCTATAACCCTACCTTTAAGTCTACGGGTCAACATATTAAAGGTTTTTGCAAATTTTGTAAGCGTAGGTGTCCTAGGACTGAAGAAAAATGCTGTTCAAAATGTGAATGCTTGGAATTACAGCTGGCTGATATATGGCAGGATAATTGGTTGAATATACTTTGCATATTGTCCATACTGTTCATGTTACTGGCTCTGCTCATACAGTGGTTAGTGCCTAACGATGTCTGTGAAGCTAATACGGAAGCTGGGGAAAAGTGCTTTGAAATGATGTAAGGTTGCGGGGGCAGGGTTTCCAAAAATGTATATTTGTTAGATATAGGTACTTGGTCAAATTATTTTTGTTCAATCTTAGTTGAATGTTGTATACTTAAGGTTTAAATCGCCCTCTCACTTCTATGAAACAGATGTTAACTTATTTTTTTATACACTTGTCGTGTAAAATTATGACAAACTAGCTATTCCCCGCGATTTTGTCCGAATATGAATTTTAGAACATAACTAATTATTGAATCAATATTCCAAAATAAATTTAACCTACCTACGAATAAGTCTTGCATAACAGAGATTAGACAGTACAAACAGACAGACAAAATTAGCAATAAAAATATTTTGGTGTATGTATAGTATGCATGTAGTAAATATTTTGAATACTGCCAGATAGTATTTGATATAATGTACATTTTTGGAAACACGTAGTATGTATTTTTTTGCATTTTCCTATGGTGTAGGGACCTATAGTTATACCTAGCGTGGCGGTATTTAGTTACTATTTCAAATATAACTTAAACTGATAAAATCCTTTTTGAAGTTGCTAAAAAAGAAATTTGGAACGTAATCTGTAAAGAGAAAAATCTATTCTCTCCAGTACGGGGTTACTTGTTCACATTTATATAAATTAAAATGAATTTCCGTTCGTTAGTCTAAAACTCGAGAATGTCTTGAGGGCCTACTCTTGATCGACATTGGTATTGTGAAATTTCGTACTCTTGAGTCCACACTAGCGCCCATTGCATCCGTATGTGGATGATGATCTAAATTGAATTGAGTTTGGGTTTATATTCCGTACTCTGAATGTCATTTTAGCAGTTACGATTGTGGTTGTATAGTGTTGACATTGAATAATTATTGAGATTTTATTGGATTGAAATTGCATTGACATTTGTTTCAAGAATAAGCACCCAGGAAGGGTATAAAAGGTGAAAAAAAAAATTTATTAAGTGGTACAAAGTTAGCAAGGATCAGCTAGTAGAAAATAAAAATATACTGATACAACTCCCAATAATGGTGGTAAAGGCAGCTCCTAATATAAGCGGTGATACAAACATAAAAGTACCAATATCGCGTTTATTTACATAATATATTCTTCTAAATCAAAGTATTATTTTTACAAGTATTTACCTTTATTTAAAACTGCTTATAATGGCTTCTATGTCGTTTATAAAACACGTATTTATAATTATGTCTTCACCCCCTATTACGTGGGACTCGTAACATAAATAGTGTAAAGTGGGTGTTACATTATATATGTGCACCTCTGTCTACCCCTTCGAGGATTAAAAGGCATTATGTTATACTATTCTATTTAAAAACGTCTTTTTCCTATATATTTCTGGTTATAAAAACTTGGTCAAAATTATTATAAAGACAATTTTGTAAGGAAAAAGACTGCACTATGACATTTTTGTATATTATTTAGTTTTTAAGGTTAATGAGGATCGAAGGAATGTGGTTTACAAATAGAGACAAAACAGAATTATAAAGACGGTTAAAATTATTGCTTTTGGTAACTTATTAGACACTACTTTGAATAATAATTGAAAAATACAGTGACGTAATGAAAAATGTTAATGCGTTAAATATTATGCAATGCTTAATTTCGATATTACGGTTTAGTCACGTAACTGTTCGAGGTAACGCGACTAATTTCAAGCTAAGACTGGGACTCATAAACACGAGTAACATGTGCGTCGCCAGTTATTATACAAAAATTATATATTTGGTTATATTTGAATGTTAAATTATAAGTATAAAATATATGAATCACACACTTTAAACCCAATAGACCAGCAAGTTAACGTACTAACGGTTGGTTAGTGTGACTTAACCTGTAGTTTGGTCCACTAGTGGGATAATTATGACGGTATAAACATACACACTAACTTCAATGTTAGTTCTATAGTTATTTAAATTTATTTTTAACGAGAATAGGGTATTACTCGCTTAAATATCACGGAATTACTAGTCAAAAAGTCATCACATTCAGGGCTTGTTTCACAGTCTGGGTAGCTCTTCTGTACCATATAAGAAGGTATTGAAAGCTGCTATGTACACGTATGGGGCCCATAGGGCTGATGCCGATACGGCGCCGTGGAGGATTTAACGGGTTGCCGGGGCTCCAGGCTCGAAGTGCAGGAGTAGGAACGGGGTGGTTTTTAGTCAGTAAGAGTCCGCCTTACCCGGGCGGTAGAAGACATACAATGATTCTCCCACTTAAACAAAGCCGCTAAGCTAGCAGATCTGCTACTCCAATCTGTCAAATTTATTCATTGCATTTTCGACTTTATGTCAATACAATAAAGTTGAAGAGGTAATTGTTCATTAAAACATCATTGTTTTAATAGATTCGCACAGGTAATCAAAGGTTTATGGGGAGTTATTATTACACAGAGACGGGCAGTCTCATTGACAATACACCAATATGTCGGGTATCGCTAATCTTGTTTAACGCATAAGCCTGTCTCGCTCAGTGCCAAAGTGTCAGTGATTCTCAAACATTTATTTGTGGACGTCTATTATCAAGGCAAATATTGAAATTTCCATGATATTTAATTTCCCCAAACAATAAAGTTCCTAAAACAATTTTCTATATCATTGAATTTTCCCCAACAAAAAAGTTTGACAGCCATAAACTGCGATGATGACGTAGCTTGTGTCACCCACGTGACCATTGTGCCTCGGAGTCCCATAGGTACCTTGTATCATTATACCATGCTCTGAAGGTGAATTGTGTGAACTATCTACGATGTAAGTTTATCGGACACTTATAGAGGTGGTGAAACAGGCCCTTAATAATTGAAGTCAATATAAAAATCCAAATTTATTATTAGGGATTATATCTATTTTCTAGTCTGAAGGCAGCTGAAATATTTTATTAGTTCTATTTTTTTAAATATACTGGCGAGCAATAAAGACTTGCCATTTTAATATTATAATATTTTATCTGTTCAAAGTCTAATAAAGAGTGCTTTGTCTTTATTATTTATTAATTATGATGCTCATATTAAATGCTGAAGCATACTTGATGATGTAAAGCATATAAAATTAAGATATTTTTAAAAGAAATAGTTAATATTTGGCATGTATTTCTTGCTCGACAGTGTATTGAAGGAATCTCGTTAAAATACTATTTATGATGCCAGTACAATATTACCATGACAATCTTGCCATCACATACATAAGCGAGTTACATACAGGTGTAAACTGACCGCTCCTGAAGAAAGCCGGCAAGTGATGGTCAAAAACAAGTTTTATTGACATAAAAGTAAGGAATTAAAAGCTTCGTTTATGTAATAATAGTTGTAATCAACCGCTTAAGACTTATGTACGGTCAACGGTCAAAAGTCCACTGCCACCGTAAGACTACTATCGGTTGCGCTGCAGCGCTTATACACACACGCACACGCATATTTTTATCCGTGTGCGTACGCGTGCGTGTGTTTATGCATACGCACGCGTTTTTATGCACATTAAACTGTCAAACACCAAGCGGTCACCGGTGACCGCGACCTATTGTTCTTTAATTGTGTCTATAAAACCGGTACTCGACAAGTTAATATGAAATTACTTACCCATTGCCATGTGAATATCACTCACGGTGGACTTTTGACCTTTGACTGTACATGTAAAGATAAACGATTAAAATTGCAAAATCTATTCATTTTTTGTCAGCGTTTTCCGGAGCGTTCCGTTTACACCCTGTATATTATTAAAACGTTTCAAACCCCTTAAAAATTCAATTTCAATGTTTTTGTTAACAATAATCTTAATGCTTACTAATCTAGTCTTTAATTTATTATTTTCACGGTTTTTTGTTAATTTATAAGCATTAAGGTAATTGGCGGTTATAGATCGGCGCTTAACATACACTTGGGAGGAAAAACACGGAACCACTAGTCAACCTTCTTTAACTTAAAAACAATTATTCGTTTTACAACAAAACACGCTCATGTTTTTATAATAACTATCACGAGACATAGTAAATTAACAAAAATCGCGGGTTACTCACATGAATATACTCAGAAAAGTTTCGAACCACTGAGGGTTTCTTCTTCATGAGTCGGCGATGTCGCGTAGCCTTCAGTAGACTGAACTGGCTAGGTTCAGTATATTCACGTGAGTAACCCGCGATTTTTAGTTAAAATGCTCTCATTTGAAAGGTAACTAAATTGCTAGTGGTTCTGTTTCTCTGATTCCAAGTGTATTAAAATTTAAAATTTCAATACAAGCCGACTATAATTTTAATTTATTTTTGTTAACATTTTGGCAGCATATTTTTTTTTATACATGTACATATATATTTTGTTGTTTATATAAAAAGTTCAAGAGCATATTGTCAAATAAATAAAATTATTTAATAATAAGGGTATTGTATTATTTTTATATCAGTATTTGTGGTTATTTGATACTATGTGCTTGGACTAATTCTGTTATTAATGTCTGTGTTGTATTATGTGTATTTTTGCATTGCGTATACTTAATAATTATCGTAACTTAAATATTATTTCCGGCTTACTCACGTAACTGTTTAACGAGGAACTTGACAAGTTACCGTAACTGCTGTAAATATTTGATTTACTAATAACATGAGTCAGGAATAACTACCTCTGAAAGGTGGTAAATGGAGACATAATAGGGTAGTTGTTCGATTCCCGGGTCAGGGGTAGGATAAAACTTTTTAAAAAATTAGTAGTTAGTAGCAGCGCGGAATCCGGGATTGTGCCCGGTATATGGCAATATACTCACTCCCTATCACATGGGACTCATAACATAAATAGTGAAAAGTGGGTATTACATTGTGCATTGGCAATAAGTGTGCCTTTGAGGATAAAAGGCGTAATGTTATGTCCACTATACACTCATTATAAAAGGTTAAAAGATAAAAATGCAATACTTATTTGGTCTTATAAATAGACTTAAAAATAACTTCTAGTTTCTTCTAATAATGATCGTAATAATAGTCAATGCAAAAGTCCACATAGTACACACAAAGAAATTGCCATCAGTAAAGTACAAACATACAGATTGCCAGTCTAAATAATGTTTTATTTTTAATTTATTATTATTTGTTTTACTCAGCGAGTATTGAGAAAGAAATATTGAAATTATTATACTTAAAATTATCTTATTTACTTATTGAAGTGCCAATATTACTTATTTAACAAACATATTAAAGGTTTACTTAATTTTTTTGGCATTTAAAGACTGATTTCTGACATATTTTATGTTTAAATTGATAGAAAGTATTTCGTCTGAATACTCGCTGACTCGACAACATTTATTTTTTATAATAGATTTTAATAATGCTGGGGTCAGAAAAATCATACCACTTATAACAAAATGCTCTTATTTTAAAGGTAACTAAACTGCCTTTTATACAACATATCAGAAATATTTATCAAGAAATGAAAGAGATAAAGTGGTATGGTTTCTCTGCACCCCAGTGTACGGTTGTGGTTCATACCTTCACTGCCAGGTTGGTTATTTTTGGTTAATACATTTGCTTAAAAAACATATTGTTTTATTTATAACTAACTGTCTGCAAAGTGAATGTATTTAGCAAAAATAACTAACTTAAACCCCCTTGTAATAAATGTATGGTGAAGGACAATGTGAAAATATAATTCAGATTATGTTATGGTCTAAGAAGAGGAACATTCCTTATATGGATATAACTTATACACAAAACTATACAAATAATATACAAGTCCATAACTATATAAAATCAATCAAAATCAATCAAAAGCTGAATAATTCTCAAAAACTATAAATTACTCGCGTCGCAAGCGCCGCTCATAAGTTACAACTCGTTCCATGCGACCGCGCATCGCATCACATCAATCTACGGAAGTAATACAGTACATTGTCAACAGATGGCGTTGTTAATAAAAATAAAACTACTCTCTGACCTACATAGTGCAGATGACAGGCGTCTGGTTTTTGTAAAGCGAGTCCGTGAGCTCGATTCCTGAGTGGACACTCGATTTGACCTAGATGTTTGAACCGGATCGTTTATTGCTTGTCGTTGTAAAAATGTTTTTGAAACTGATTAATTTTAGTCTAGATAAAAAAGTAACGTTTTTATATGTATTTTTTGATTTTAAAAATCATCGGTACTAGCTTAAATTGGATCTGATGTATGACTATAGACTCACTCCCTATTACATGAGACTCATAACATAAATATGTGCATTTTTGTATACCCCTCGTACTATCAAAAGTTGTGACATTGTGTTTACAATAATATTTTTAAAAGAATTTAATGTGCACGGCAGTACATGAAGCTATGTATAACCAGTATAAATTGATCTTTGAATCTGCTGAAAGGTCATACAACGCGAGACTGTTACTATGGCATCTATTTCGTTTTCGTGGCAAAACAACACGCCATAAGGAGTACTTTCGATGTATAAAGAAAAAACAAAGAAATGAAGATGTCTTTGTTTTTAGTTTAAAAATAATGTTCATGGAAATACGCACATGAAACACTAGACGTAAATTTGTAGGCACTATTCGCATCGCACGTGCACCCGACGCGAAATACCTCTTCGAGAATTACATGGCGCGATGTTTTGATAATGTACTATGAGTTCGTATGCGCTTTCAAAGTTTGCTTTTAAGCAATGGTACACCAGTTATATTTTTAAACATTTTATTTCTTTTTAAAACTATTGTATTATTGAGACAGAACCATTTTACTTCGGCACGAAAACTAAATAGATTTTACGGTTAAATACTGGTTTTAATAACTTGATAATTCCATTATAAGCTGGCCACTGAATGTACAGAAAGATCATACGTAACAAGTCCACCATACACTGGCTTTGTATATCTTGACTTGTAGTATATAAACTATGTAAAATTCTTTCTATAATGTGTGATTAATGCGACATTTCATATATGACATATTTTACGAACGGACGCCAGTAGTTAATGTGTCTGTGTAATGAATGTTATGTATTACTCGAGCAATGGCCTTGTGGCGGGAATTTTAAAATGTAGAAAATAGTGAGAAGTTCAATGATTGCTTTTTGGTCTATTCGTGTTTTAATTCACTTTATGTAATTTCGTTCACTAAGTGCAATAATATTTCATTTAGAATAAAGACGTAAAGTTTAGGTTATTGTTCGTTTGTCTCTTGAGAATTTGGAACGAGCTTACATATATAACTTCACGCCTTTCTCCCATGGGGGTAGGCAGAGACTATGGAACGTCAATTGCTACGATTCCTACATACCTCTTTCGCTTCATCGACAGTCATCAGTATTTTCACGCATGCTCGTCGAGCGAGCTTCTTTACTAATATACCCACAGAGAAATGGATAGGTACATTTTTAATTCAAGGACAATTTGTAGTTGAAGACCCGAACTTTCGACGTAATTGTATCACTGAACATTGACCTTATTTAATTAACCTTTCTATTTACTGTGTTAGTGTTTTTGTTTTTTATAGTTAAGTCATATTACGGTTTGAATTCATTTATTTTCTAAAAGATTACAAATCACTTGTACAGAATATACTTATTTATTTCGTAAGGACTTCAAAAAAAGCCTGTGGCCCTTTATATATTAATGGCATAACTCAAAACATTTTCTTTTAAACAGGTCCTACATATTTAATACCTTAAACAAAATTGTATCTATAGTTCTATTATGTCACCATATACTTACTAAAATTGTTATCCACAGGACATCCTCCTCTCGCTGGCGAAGGCAGTGGCCAATACCACGGCGGCCCTGGTGCTGAAGGCCAAGAACGTGGCGGCGCAGTGCAGGGAGGACCAGCCGCTGCAGAACTCCATCATCGCAGCCGCTACACACTGCGCGCTCGCCACTAGCCAACTGGTTGCTTGTGCCAAGGTAGGAAACATATTTTATTATAGCTTTATAGCGATATTGGAGAGGCCTATGTCCAGCACTGGACGAATACAGGCTGATGATGATGATATAGCGATATTCATATATATAAAAGGAAGTCGTGTTAGTTACACTACCTCTAATTTATAAGTCAAGAACGGCTAAATCGATTTGGATGTAAATTGCTGGGGACGTAGCTTAGAGCCAGGAGGCGGACATAGGATACTTTTTTTACTTTTTACTGAACCCCTTTGTGGTTCGAAACTGGTAGAGCTTTTCTCAGTATATTCACGCGAGTAACCCGCGATTTTAGTTAATTTAGTATGTCTCACGATAGTTATTATAAACACTAATATTTATTTTTAAATTGTTGAATTATTCTTTAGTGTCGAAGACATCATTTAAGTTTTCAATATTGAATTGAATTCTGAGAATTGTGTATAGATTCGACTTAGTATTATTATCTTCTATAAGTGACATGAAATTGTCATTCGATATTATGTATTGTCACTGTGTGACATGACTATGATATTCGGTAAATAACTATTGCTTTGTCTGATTTACTTTACGTATGTTAGAAATGTATCTCTGAGTCAAAAATATAGTTGACTAGACTAGACAGTTAAAGAATGCCATATGGCATCACGTTCGCCTTTTGTACCACTATTTTATTATATAGTGTACATGGAAATCTTAATAAATAAATGGTTATGCGTTCAAAAAGTATGAATGGATTTCTAAGCAGAAACCAATTGCTTTTCTTTACTTCGAGACTATCCAGTTTACTTATAACCCTTGTTTATCCCTCTAGGTGGTAGCCCCAACCCTCCAGAACCCTCAATGTCGCTCCCAGCTGTCCCACGCAGCCCGCCAGGTGGCCAGCGCAGTCCAACGCCTGCTGGACGCCTGTTCCAGCGCTCCGCCGCCGGCAGCCCCCGCCGTGGAGTCCCTCACTGCCGCAGCACATAATGTCACGCAGGAGCTCGAAAGGTTGTTGGCGCATTGTGAACTTGGTTAGTATTGGATTATTATTGTTATTCCAGGTGTAGGAAGGGTAATGTTGAATGTAGGCCGCCTTTATATAGTGCTTTATAGGTTTCAACGGGATCTTTTGACATAAATATTTAACTAACCCGCGGCTTCGCTCACGTCACAAAAGGATAAAAAGTAGCCTATGTGACATATACCAATACATACAACGCCATCTATACCAATACTTTTGTTTTCCCTCGGGAATATCAAATTTTTCCGGGATAAAAAGTACCCTATTATTTAATCCAGACTTCTAACTTTACGTCTGCAAAAATTCAAAGCAATCGGTTTAGTAGTTACGGCGTGAAATCGGAACAAACAAACTCACTTTTCGATTTATAATATAAGTAAGGATTTAACAGTCACAACGGTTAAAAACAAAAACAGTAACTGCACGTATGTAAAAGGACGTATAGTTTTAAGCATATAAGGTCTCTAATGAGATATTTTGTATGAAACAAGTAGCCAAACGAATGAATTAATCGATTCTAAGGTACAAGCATCGTGTGTTTCTAGCATTTTGGGAGGGGGGAGCAAATGGGTCTCTGATTATCTCATACCGCGATACCACTTTGGTTAAACCGATCCATTGATACTGGAGCTTGGCTCTCTAATTTGCAATCTAAAAGGATACCTTTAAAGACCATGTGATTCCTCTGATTTGGTAGATGTCAATAGACGACGCTAACTGCTTACCATCAAGTGATCCACTAGCTCATTTACCCATGCTGTCACCAGCTTTTTTGACTGAAGCTTAAATGTTGTCCCCAGAGCGTCGTGCGACGGGCACGGTGTCGGAGCGGTCGGTGGAGAGCGTCATGTGTGCCAGCGAGCGAGTCGTGGGCGCCGCCGACCCGGGGGACATGGTGCGCCACGCGCGCCTGCTGGGCCAGGCCACCGCGCATCTCATCACCAACATCAAGGTACCAGACAACTAAATCTATCGACGTAGCCCAAAGGGGCTAGTGATTTCATATAGCAGTGGACCGGTCACATTTGTCAAACTGGTTAACCGTTGGGTCAAGGTAGACGTGTTCTGGAGTGGAGACCGTGTCTAGGTTAAACGTAATGTAGGGCGCCCTCCAGGTAAGTGGAGTGACGATATCCTCAAGGCAGCTGGCAGTGGTTGGATGAAGATCGAACTCAGTGGCTTGCCATTGAAGAGGCCTATGTAATGATCCCCTTAAAATGGACATTAGGGGTCACTTGAACGAGTATAGTCTTAAGAAGGATATGACTTGATTCTACTAGGCTATCATTAGTCAGAACCCGTTATCTGACGAACATCTTTTTAGGTCGATAATTTCAACTTTAATTTTTAAAATAACGCCATCTTCTAACCCTCTCACTGTCAATTCTTCTCTATTCTGAGGCTCGTACATTAAATAAGTAATTATAAAATAAGCAACGTGTAAACGAATCGCTCCCGAAAACCATGACAGGTGATAGTAAAAAACAAGCTTTATTATGAAAAAGTAAGGTTAAATATTTCTTTGATCAAGGCTCATCGTCATCAGCCTGTACTCAATTATCCAATACTTTATGTAACATCTTGCATAAATAACACAGAACAAAAACGATTAATATTGTAAAAAAATCCGTTTACGTCTGTATCATAAAGACCCCTACTAACCCCCTTCCCCCCTTACAGACGGAAGCAGAGAAGCAGCCTTCCGAAGGTCAGCGCAAGTTGCTGGCGGCTGCCAAGTTGCTGGCGGACGCTACAGCGCGCATGGTGGAGGCTGCCAGGCAGTGCGCGTCCGAGCCACAGGTACTTCATATATAACATTACACCTTTTGTACCCGAAGGGGCAGGCAGAGGTGCACATAACGGCAATTAATGCCACTGTACAATGTAACACCCACTTTCCACTATTTATGTTAATGAGTCCCATGTAATAAGGGGTGAGCCTATTTATATATGTTATGTTTATTTATTCCTAGAAATAGACACTTTTACATAACAGTATTTTAAAATTGAGCGAATAATGCTGACATTTCTGGCTACTTAAAAACTTACCGAAACAAAAATTTTTGACTATTTTTTACTTTATTAATACATTTACTATTTATAAATGCTAAGTGTTCCGAATTAGCTTTCCAAGTCGGCTAAGTATTATTTAGTTCTACGATTTCCGAATATAAAAAAAATAAATTAGTAAGACTACATTTATGCTCTGTACAAAATAACAGAAATGTCCCTTTATCTGATAATTTTTGTAGTTTTATTTGACTAATAAGAGCTTGTGATTTGTACAGGACCGCGAGAAACAAGAAGCTCTGCGCAAGGCTGCAGAAGAACTGCGCTACATCACCGTGGACTACGCGCAGGGACAGGACATCGTCGGGTCGCAGGTCGCGCGGCTACAGGTATGTACTGCTTCAAGCTTACAAGTTAATACAAAAATATATAGGGTCTGGTTCACCACTTTCATACTAATATTCGAATCTACATTTTGAAATGAGCACCTAGCTACACTGAGGGATTGACTGACAGACTACTATTTATTTCGTACTAGCTTTTACCCGCGGCTTCGCTCGCGTCTCAAAGAATAAAAAGTAGCCTATGTGACATATACCAATACACACAGCGCCATCTATACCAATACTTTTGTTTTTCCTCGGAAATATCAATTATTTCCGGGTTAAAAAGTACCCTATTATTTAATCCGGACTTCTAACTTTACGTCTGCAAAAATTCAAAGCAATCGGTTGAGTAGTTACGGCGTGAAGGTGGAACAAACAAACAAACTCACTTTCAGATTTATAATATTAGTAAGGAAGTAAGGATTTGCTGACGTTTCAAAAGTACCAAATTATGGTTTAATTGAAATAAATGCTTTGACTTTGAATACTTGCAAATATGTACATAGTTTATACAAATTGCTGTTCATTTTGAAAATTATGTAAGTGGTTATCAAATGCAGCAAGCATCAATCTCCACGCTTGCTCAATGCAGGTTGGCGGTTTCAAACTCATAATTAAAAATTATAAGTCCAGGTTTCCTCACTATTTTTGCCTTCACCTTTTGTCAGTGGTGTCTAAATAATCTTAAAAAGTATATGTAATAAAAAAGTCACATTGGTACTTGCCGATGGTAGGTTTCAATGCCGCACCCTCATGCTTGAGAAGCGTCTCAAACTTCCCAGGCCACCACGACTCTAAATAATAAATCATAATCGAAGAAATACATGAGTGCTATGTATTGCAGGAGAGCGCCCGCCAGGCCGCTTCCAGCGCGACGCAACTGATCACTTCGGCTCACAACGCCACGCAGTACAATACCAACAAGTACACACAGGTAAATTATCATTTCTATATGTATTTAGCGCGCTTCAAAATGTGATACTTATTCCCAGGAGGTAGGCAGAGACTATAACCCTAATATCAGTAGAAATTACATCTATAATTAATGATAATTAACTCGTTGAGTACCGTCATTATAGACACAATTAAAGAACAATAGGTTGCGGTCACCGGTGTCCACGCGGTGTTTGACAGTTTAATATCTTTGCTTTGCTAAATATACGGTGTCAAGAGGTTACAGATTTTTCAATTTCACATTTATTTACATATTATTTTTATGCCCAATGTCCAATTTTGATGGTATAATATTGTGGTGCAGGAGACCCTGATGGAGGAGTGCAAGTCCCTGAGCGAGCAGATCCCCCGCGTGGTGGACGCCGTGAAGGTGTCGAGCCTGCGCCCCGCCGACCCGGCCGCCACGCTCGACCTCATCTCCGCCTCCGAGGCCTTCCTACAGGTAGCTTTACGACTACTCAACCAACATGTGCTGTATATTGTCCCAATATAATGGAACTCGTAGTTGTTTTGGGTAAAATTGGACTATACACAAATACATAAAGTTATGTTATTGTCCCGTGGATATAGGGAATTTACAATGTTTATATTTCGACTCAAAAATAAATCAAACAAAGCAAAAATTCCACAATTTAAGTTTTATTGTTGATACTACAATTTTTTTTTATATTAATAATAAAGTTTATTCCTATTGAATCTAACATTGATTTCTTTGTAATAATTTATAGTATTTATATGCTTGTAGCGATTAATGTCCACTGTTAACTTGACCCAAAACGTAGACTTGTATTAGCATAAGACAGTTATATAGTTTCGTGTGGTCCCCAGCCGAGCGGGCACGTGGTGTCTGCGTCCCGCGGCGCGCTGCCGACGGTGGGCGACGGGCCGACGGCCAAGCACCTCGCAGACACCACGCACTCCTTCACCGCCAGCGCCGCCGACCTCCGGTCTGTACTATACACCTACTGTACCTGTACTCAAACATTTACTATACGAATCAACTTTCATTAGCGTCATGGTTTCAGAACAATTATTTTAACACTAACTAACTTAGTAGTAACACGGAGTCTGGAATTATACCCGGTATATGGCAATAGGCTCACCCCCTATTACATGGGACTCATAACACAAATAGTCAAAAGTGAGTGTTACATTATACAGTGGCATCAAGTGTCGTAATGTGCACACCTCTTCGGAGATAAAAGGCGTGATGTTATGTATGTATGTACTAACTAATTTCCGCTCGATTTCATCCGTTCTGCTCTGCGCCTATTGAAAGTAGCGTGATGTTTTATACCATATAGCCTTTCTCGATAAGTGGACTATCCAACACAAAAAGATCTATTCAATTCGGATCAATAGTTCTGGAGATTACTGCGATTAAATAAACAGATAAACAAATGAATAGTATAAGATTTTGTCAGAATATTGACATGTAATATTATATTATAATATAATAACTGCAATATTAAAATAACTTATACTTGGCATAACGATATGATGCATTATTGAATGGTATCTTTGTTGGAAGTCCCATAAAGACTTCTATAGACTTCTGATGCTCAATGACAATGCCATAAAAACTAGTTACAACTACAAAAAATGTAATGTTGGCGCCATAAAATTTACAAAAATGTCTTATAATGCAGACGCAACATACTCATTTATATAAGAGGAAGCTTAATTAGTTTCGGAATCAATATAGCAGGAGGTTTTTCTCTAATTCATTTTTATAACTTCAAATCTATTGTGTACAGGTCAGCAGTAGGTCGTGCTCGTATCTCTTGCAAAGGTCTTGAGCTGGATGCTGCAGCAGAGATTATCAAGTCGCTCCAGGCGGAACTGGACGAGCTGGAGGAGGCTGCCAGGGCATTGGAACTGAGGCCACTGCCCTCACAGACGGTTAGTTTTACTATCATCATCAATTCTTCTTAGTTCTTCACTAGCTGTTGTCATCGGTTTCGACTGCACTCCAGTGGAGTAAGAAGTAGCCTATGTGTTATTCCGGATCATTATCTACATGTGTTCCAAATTTCATCCCGATCTCTTCAGAAAGTTTCGCAGTAAGATATTATTATAACCCTCGCCCCCGTGCAGCCGGAGTGGGCGTCGTCGACGCTGAAGACGTCGTCCCGGCTGGCGGCGTCGCACACGATGTCGCTGGTGGCGGGCGCGCGGCGCGGCGAGCACGCGGCCTGCGCGCGCGCCGCCGGCGACCTGGCGCAGTCGCTGCGGGACTTCGGCGCCGGCATCCGCGCCACCGCCGCGCTGCAGCCCGACCATGCCCGCAGGGAGAAGTGCGTACCTACTCACAGCTTTATTTACACTAGTCTGTTAGGCAAGCAAAATATGTCACTACCCAGTTTGAAGTCGATTCCCATGCCGATAAAAATATCATTCAGTTTTATCAATTTTTGTTGGATCATGTTAAATGAAACTAGTAACATAATTTACGAAAAATTATTATCTATCACTAAAATAGATATAAACGTCATTAATGATGACTTTGTAATATTATTTGCTGACTGAAAATTGCCTACCTTATGCCTATTAGCAATAAAGTCTTTACACATTTTTATTCATTTAGACAATGGAAGATACGCCATTATTCAAAATAACAATAATTATTATTAATCTCACATTTCTCCCTCAGAGTAATAACATCGGGTCGCCAAGTCCTCTACTCCTCCCAAACACTGGTGGAGCACGTGAAGCGATCCCTCACCACCTCGGAGACTGTCGACACCACCTCCATCATGGCCATCGCTAAAGATATCTCACAGGTATACATGACAATATTTCATTTATTGTACAAGGTCGCTCTATTCGTTTCGAGCTGTGATCACGGAGCAATATTAATTGATATTATGACTCCGGGAGCCAGACTGGTGATAGTTGATGGAAATTTTCGCCTTCCAAACTTATTTATCATTTATGTAATCCACAATTAGTTAGTCGGGTATAATGTAATGTAATTATTGTATTTGTAAACGCACTCATGATATAGGACTGAAATATAAAACAGCGTTGAAAACAACGTAATATATCAAGATTTGTCTAAAAAACTGACTTTCTTATCACCTCAGGGTCTGGAGTCGACCCTGGAAGCGGTTCCATCTCACACCGAGCTGGATGTAGCCATGGAGAACATCAACGAGACCCTCAACATACTCAACATGGGAGAGTTCCCGCCCTCTGACAGGAGCTATGGGTATGTTCCAATATAATACAATAATGGCCGAAATTAAAGAACCAGTCACCAATCAAAATTTTTCACTTGAAATTTCAAACAATTAATATGTTAAAAACCAATTTTAATCTAAAAATTTTGGCTATTAATTGCAAGATTCTTTAGGGAACAGAGAGTATAGTTCCCTAAAATCGGAAAAGGAGGATCCTCCAACCAGACGAAGTGATCGTGCCTGGCGGGCTTTCTGGAACCCGCACCCTAATGCGTGAGAAGCGGGCGTATTAAACCTCCCACCATGACACTACAATAAATCAGTGCAACGTGACCAACAGTACCTCCATTGCCCCCAGTGAACTCCAATCGGAGCTGAATGCCGCGGCGGTAGGGCTGAGCAGTGCGTCGTCGGAAGTGGTGGACCGCGTCGACCGGCCCGCCGACCTGGCCGCCGCCGGGGCCGGCTTCGGGGACGCCTTCAACAGGCTGCTGGGCGTCAGCATGGAGATGGCGGGACATACCGAGGTAACTTATATCATTGCTAAGATATTCGCATAGGTGTATTGATGTTTACATAACTCATTTATATTTTACACATCGTGTGTAAACATTAGGTTACTTATACGGTTCTTGTTTCATTTAAAATTATTCAATTTTAAATCAATGATCTCGATTTATTTAGACCTAAAAAGATAAAATTGTAATCTATATTTGTCCATTCGAACATAAATCGTTTCAAGTTAATTCAAATATATTTAAAAAAACTTTCGTTATTTCATTTAACGATAACATATAAAGGTTAATACAATAACACACGATTTTGTACAAAATTTACAGAAGGCAATCTTTTTCGTACTTCAACGTAAATATTGATTTTGATTATATTCGAAGTATAACCAGATTGTTCTCTACCTGTATGCTATATAATCTTATTCCCCGACAGGACCGCGACGCCCAGACCCTGATGGTGAGCTCCATGAAGAGTGTGACCGTCAACTCGTCCAAACTGCTCGGCACTGCCAAGTCCGTCAGCCAGGTACATACATACTTATATTCTGTAGATATCATTTGTATACAAAATACATAGGTTTTAAGTTAAAAGTCATTACAGAATCTTACTCTTTATACTGCAAATTGAATACCTGACAATATATTTTTCTTTTAAAAACGTTTGATAATCTGAAAGTCATGGAGACGAGAGAAGTCGGACATGAAGTATATTTTGTTGCCTGCAATTTATTACTTTGCATAATTAATATGGTTACTGTATGATAGAATATGATTTTCCTATAGGACCTGACCCGGCCCAACGCCAAGAACCAGCTAGCGGCCGCCGCCCGCGCCGTCACTGAGAGCATCAACAGACTTGTAAGTTATTTCATTATCCACATATTGTATTATTTTTTGTCTTGTAGTAGCAGATGATATCACATTTATTATTCCACAGCAATAGCTTCTGTACATTTTCAAATATTTAATACTATCTTCTGCCCGCGACTTCGTACGCGCAATTCAGTTTTCTTCCGTTCCCGTAGAATTTTCAGAATTTTTTCTGTCTTAAGAACCTTTTCCTAATCATAACAAATACAACAAAAGAAGAATTAGTGAAATCGGTCCAGCCATTCACGCGTGATGCCGTGGCCAAGGGAAAAAGGGATTCGTTTTTATATAATAACTAGCGGACCCGACAGACGTTGTCCTGCATATAGTATAGTAATAATAGGAGGTGGTAAATAACCTAAACATCGACTACAGCGCCATCTGCCGGGCTGATTTGTGAATCTAAACCATACAGGGCGCCGCTCAAACACAACCAGAAAAAAATCATTTGAATCGGTCAAGCCGTTTAGGAGGAGTTCAATGACATACACACGCACAGTAGAATTATATATGTATATAAAGATATGTAGATATAGATTAATTAATTAAAATGTGTTTTGTGTTTATTCGCGACAATTTCGTAACTGAAACGTAACGTCATCCTATCTATATAAATAAAAATGAATTTCTGTTTGGCTTAAACTCGAGAATGGTTAGACCGATTTGAGTAATTTAAAAGGTGAGATAACCTCTATTTTTATGTGGTACGAAGTTTGCCGAGTCACCTAGTTAAATATAAAAATGCTGAACCAAGTTTGATGCTACTATAATAATAAAAAAGCATACAATATGTACTCTATGACTGTTAAAATTAAAGCATTTATTTTAATCAAAGCTTAAGTTGATACCTTCGAAATGTTCAACAGTGATTCAGTTAAGATAAGTAGTCGTTCCAAATTGTAGATACAATATTGGGGTGAACGAGCAAGAAATTGTATCGTTATTCTTTGATTATTCCTAGACACCTAAACCGATTTGAAATTAGTTTGTAACACGACCCGTGTGTCCCCCCAGGTGGACGTGTGTACGAGCGCGGCGCCGGGCCAGAAGGAGTGCGAGGCGGCCATCCGCAGCATCCGCTCCACCCTGCCCCTGCTGTCCGCGCCCACGCAGCCGCTCACCGAGCTCGGCTACTTCGCCTGCCTCGACGCCGTCGTCGACCAGAGCAAGAGCCTCAGTTAGTATACTTGTTGTCGTCAGCGTGGAGGATATAACATGTTCATTGTTCAATGTACGCCTCCTACATTGATTTTCAGATGCATTTATCATCAGCTATATAAAAAATATCAAAAATATATAAAAAAAAAATGTAACGTACAAAAGCCTCTTTCAATGATTTCGAAATCATTTCCAGGTAATGTGTTGTCAACTTACATAAATGTTAGTCTTATAAGTGTCGTGAGCCATTAGTAAATGAGTGGTGTGTGTGCAGGCGAGGGCATGTCCCAGATGGCGAGCTCTGTGAAGCGCAGCGAGGCGGAGCAGTTCAGCCGCTCCGTGGGCACCGTGGCCGCCGCCGTGCAGGGGCTCGTCGAGTGCACCGCGCAGGCCGCGTACCTGGTACCTGCTTACAATTATTACATACCACTTTTAATCATTACATTCTCAAAGACACTTAAGCGTTACGCACAAATCTATGTATATCGAAATATACTTAAGTTTTTATAAATCCTAACTAAGTACCCCGTTTGAATCCTTAAACTTAAAACTAGTTAAGACAGAAATAATGATTTTTTTGCTTACATTACAGTTATTCTAAGATACCTTTAATTGCATTGGAAAAAAATTGTTATGAAATTGAGGTTCAATCATTAATCAACAAAAATACTCAACCAGCACCAATTACACCACTCAATAAACTATTTTTACAAAACTACTTACTAAATCAACGACTAACCACGCTACCTATACCCCCAGGTGGCAGTATCGGACGAGACGAGTGTAGCAGGTCGTCCAGGTCTAGTAGACCAGGCGCAGTTCGCGCGGGCCGCCGTGGCCATCGACCAGGCCTGTCGAGCGCTCTGTGACTCTTCTAGCAACCAACAACAGGTCAGGAATATTCTCCACTTAATACCGACTTTTTAGTTGCATAAGCCGGTAACCGAGCACACGGATCACCTGATGGTAAGCAATCAGCGTCACCCATGGACACCTGGAACACCAAGGCGTTACAAGTGCGTTACCAGCCTTTTGGGTATTGGAAATTTGAGGATTGTGGATGATTTGGGGATTAGGGAGACTGGGGAGGCAGGGGTAATTGGGCTTTACACGACAAAATACAATGCAACCGTTGTTTAACGTCGGTTTTCTGCTCGGCTGTGGTATCACTCCGGTCGAGCCGGTCTGTTCATGTTGAAGTATACTTTTCCCGCACTTATTTCACACATTCTCTTGCTGTTATCATTTCTGAAAGAATATGTAACATTAATGTATAAATCAATTTGTTTGTTAATCAACATAAGTAAGTCGTTAGTTAGTATTAAAGTGCCCTGTATTATCGAATTATTATTGTGTTCAGAATTCTTAAAAGTTTTACATCGTAGATAAACCAATAGATTCACTCCGTCGCGGCCGTTGTCGGGCGATTGCAATGCAACGGCCGGTATGGAACTTAGTTTGTTTAACCCTTAGAGCGCCACGTCAGTCACCGGTGCCTGACGCTAGTGGAGGTTTGACTTTCACCATTTTAAACTTGGCAGTTAAAGTATTAACTGCCCGTCCGTCTTGCAATAATAAACCGCCAAAATTGTGGGCAATAATCGCAACTGCGGCGGGTGTGGGACCTCAGAAAACTGCGGTTTCAAAAGTTTTAAAAATTCCTTCTCCATTCCGCCGGCGCGGCGGGCGCTGGAGAGGGTCTCGCCGTGAGTCCTTAGCCTATAAGTAAGGGAATGTGGTTGACGTTGTTGACGTTGAGAGTATGGGCAGGTGCTGTCGGCGGCGACGGTGGTGGCGAAGCACACGAGCGCGCTGTGCAACGCGTGCCGCGTGGCGTCGGGCCGCACGGCCGAGCCGCGCGACAAGCGACACTTCGTGCAGGCCGCCAAGGACGTCGCCAACTCCACCGCCGCGCTCGTCAAGGACATCAAGGCGCTCGACACCGACTACAGCGAGGTACACTCCATGTCATCCTACGTTACACTTTACGATAACACGGGAACATGAAGTCCAAACTGCAGTGATAACTAAGATGTGTTGATTTCATTTATATAAATATAGTTTCTAGGAGATTAACGTTACTTTTTCTTTATTTACTTGCTATTTAGTACTATTTACCAAGTCACCCAACAATGTTCTGATCACAATCACTAATAAGTCCTTTCTATATAACTAAAAGATTAAAAAAAATATACAACAAAATAATTTTTGAAATAACTTTTGTAAACAAGTTTACTCTCCATTTACTCAATAACAATGTATTAGTACGCAAAGAAATGTAATATTAACTGTTTGTTCGTCCAGGCCAACCGCGCCCGTTGCGCCGCAGCGACAGGTCCCCTGCAGGACGCAGTGCGCAGCCTGTGTCAGTTCGCGGACAGTCCCGAGTTCGCTTCCATTCCCGCCAAGATATCGCCGCAGGCTAGGAACAACCAGGAGGCTATATTGGAGTGTGGCAGGTTTGTGATATATCTACTATATGAAATAATAACTAAAAAACAAGTTACCACCAAAATATACTATAGGAACACTGCATCAAATTATCATCATCATTTTTTTTTGCATTCGTTGTTGTATAAAAAAGGTATAAAATTTTTATAAAAAGAACATTCTATAGACTCACTTCGAGAAATAGTAACCAAGGGGAATCTAACGTAGTCAGCGACCATACCCAGTTGTGTATGCTCGCTAGCTATTTATAAATTGAGCAGAATTTTTATGATTTATTTTTCTGAAGTTCTTTTTCAAAATTGTAATCCAGAGACAGAGTTACCTTATTTTATAATAACATGAGAGGTGAAGCTCCAATGCCTTCAATTTTTTATTTTTTTATACTCAATATCTGTCAATAATCTTCGTCAATTTATGTTCTTCCTGGCACAAATCTTTAGTTTTTGAATGGTATGCAGTATTTTTTCAAAGTCAAAGCATTTATTTCAATTAAACCATAACTTGGTACTTTTGAAACGTCAACAAATACACAATAAATAATGGTTTGTCAGTCTGTCCGCTAGTGAAGCAAGGTGCTCACTATTAATGTTATAAGACAACATTAAAAATTTGACACCTACTTCATTCATTTCTTTATTATTATTTTTTTTTTTAATTTGATGGACCATAATTTGTATCCATATGTTACAATATGTCTTTTCGATCCCTAGGAACATAATCTCGGGCTCATGTTCAATGCTGGAGTCAGCTCGTCTCTTGGGAATTTCTCCAGCGGAGCGCTCCCACTGGCAACAACTGGCGCTGCACAGCAAGACTGTGTCCGATAGCATCAAGGGACTGGTCGCTAACATCAAGTACGTATACTTTACTCTACCATCGTAGTTTTGGATGTGTGCCTGATGGTAAGCAATGATGCGGCATACGATGAAGCACGCCTACATAAGCTATCTATTCACTTAGGACTTGAAGACACCCTTCAGGAAACACAGAACCTGACAAAGAATTCCACTCCTTAGCGGTTCGCACAAGGAAACTCGAAGGAAGCTCAGCATACAAAAATTATAACAAAATTCATATGTTCAATAAAAACAGGAAGGCACTTTTGAACATCAATAGAAAATTATCTTCACTTCACTGAAGTGAAGCTATTTGCTCATTTCAAGATGTAGATTCCTATGGAGAAGAACGAGCAAGAAACTCCATAGGTTACTCTTTTTTAATCGGGTTCACAATACAATTCTCTAGTTACATAGTTTTGTTGGTTCAATTGTGCGAGAACAATGTAACACCAAGATCCAGTCAAAGAGATCGAAAAAGGAAATAACCTTAAGTACAATAAATAATGCAATCTGGAACTGACCAGTCCGAGTTGACGTTGCTTGTTGATTATTTTTTTCAATAAACACTTTCTCCAACAGAGACAAGGCGCCAGGTCAGCGAGAATGCGTAGCGGCGTTGGATACACTGAACAGACAGCTGCGTGAACTGGACCAGGCCGCCATGCAGGCCGTCGGACAGGAACTGGTGCCCAGGAAGAATAATACGCTGCAAGGTAACATATTATTGTATTTATGAATGTTCAAGTGTGTTCGATTAATTTCGAGTTATATCGCGGCCCTTGGTGATGTTAGCTAAGTTGAATGTTAATGATTTATGTCTGTCACCTTGTTGCGTTAGATCATGTTTTTTTCAATTTGACGTATCAATATATTATCTACTAGCTTCTGCCAGCAGCTTCGCCCGCGATCCCAGGGGTAAAACGCCTATGTATCACTTCAGACCATAATCAACCTCTGTTCCGAATTTCATTCCGGTCCCTTCAGTCGTTTTAATATGACTGAGTAACAAACATACACATAAACTCACATATTTTCATTTATAATATCGAGTCAAGCTAAAACAGTACAGCGTAAAGTCTATGAATGAGTATTGTGAACGTTAGAGTAGACAAATACAATCAGAAATCACCGAATTGCTAAGCTATCTGGAGTTTCACGTGTTATTGTGAGTCAACCATAAAAGATAGACATGTGCTGTCGAGGAATATTTTTTATATAATTTTAAGAAGAATATTTCCGTCATACCTGATTTCTATGCAGCTTTAACCTGTAAGCCTGCACACGCGACGGAAGTTTAAAAAATGGAGTAACTTCTCCCGTTTTCCCAATATTTCCCTTCACTGCTATGCTCCTATTGATCGTAGCGTAATGAAAACTATACTATAACCTGCCCAAGAGTATGAAGAATAATTGTGCCAAATTTCGTTAAAATCCATCGAGTAGTTTTTGTTTCCATAACGAACATACAGACAGACAGACAATAATTTTACTGATTGCATTTTTGGCATCAGTAGCGATCCCTAACCACCCCTTGATAGTTATTTTTTAAATATATTTTATGTACAGAATTTACCTCTCTACAGATTTATTATAAGTATAGATTACCTGAGTTCACATCTCCAGACTTTGTGCTATTAACTACTAAGATTTTTTTTAAACAACCCTGTAATACTTTGGCCCACCCGGAAATCGAACCTGAGACCTCTTGCCCATTTTTCAAAAGTCAGTATTAGTAAATATCTCAACGAGCAGTCTGATTTGAATTATATTTTGATTTCCATCTTGATGTTTCATCAATAATGTAACCTAACTTAATAAATATACGACTAAAATGATATGTCCGTGTCAGGCTACACGGAGCAGATGGAGAACAGTGCGACGGAGATGCTGGAGCGCCTGGAGCCGCTGCGGGTGGCCGCCCTCGGGGAGGCCGAGCACCTGGGACACGCCGTCGTACAACTGGTACGCCACTCACTCCCATGTCTTACATAAACAACCAAGCCAATTATTCACTTTCTTACTCGATCTTATACATAATCTACACATCCCATCAAAAGCATTAATCGCCACCCTTGCTCAAATTACAAAGTTATAATTAGAAATTATAAGTCCAGGTTTCTTTGCGATGTTATAACGTAACGATGAGGCTTATGAAAAACTCCGTATAAGGAGAAAAAAATCAAATAGAATGTCCATTTGATTTTTTTAGGTAATAGAATTGTGTACTTGCCAACTAGTCAAATTCAATACTTTATGTGAACTGTCAAAAACGAGAGTTTTCTATAAATTTTGTACGAGATTCTGTATTGTGACGTCACGTTTTTTTAGCATCAAACAGCACACTTATTTCTTAAAAATGAACTGGCAAAATACTAAAATGAAGTTGGTCATAAAATCAATTAATGAGAGTGTAGATTATTTGTTAATAGTTTATTGTATTGAACAGTCGAAATAATTTATTTTTGATTAAGAAAAGTACCCAATTTTGAAATTATGAAATCACTGCTTCTACATAGCTGTCAAAACGGTTTTATGAGTATTCATACGAAATACAAATTGGTCATTTGATCGCAGGTATCGTACGCGGAGCCGCTGGTGGCGGGCACGGTGGGCGCGGGGTCCAACCTGTCGGAGTCGGGCACGCAGGGCGCGCTGTTCGAGCACGCGCGCACCGTGCTGGAGACCCTCGCGCTGCTGCTGCACGACGCCCGGGCCGCCGCCGGGAACCCACGGGTCAGGCACAACTATATGCTTCTCAATATACTTAACTATACTCATTCGTCCGCAGTTTCACCTGCCACTTAGTTCCTATTGAGCGTAAACTGATGTTTTATATAATATTCTAAAATATTATATTCAATTTGTACCAGGAATTATAGAGATTACCGCATTCAATCAAACAAACAGATTTATAACATATACATAGTCTTTGGATTTATAATTTTTTGTACATTTGTGAATCTACATCATGTAACGAAATACATTTGGACTTAAAGAAGTTTAGTGTTAAAATTAATATGACATTGATTATGCAGTTTTATATTTTAATCTAATTTAGAAACTATACCTAACCTAACCTATTGAAATATCAAAGATTTTAACTCGTCGAGTACCGGTTTTATAGACACAATTAAAGAACAATACTTGGTGTTTGACAGTTTAAATAAAATAACTTAAAATTCTGTTCATCTTAAAAGGTAAATAAGTATTTCGGAACCCATTTAGTTATCTAATCTTGAAACCGCAAAGTAACACGGACCCTCCGCAGGCGGTGTCGGCGCACAGCAAGGTGGAGGTGCAGGTGGCGCAGTGCCGCTCGGCGCTGTCGGAGCTGCAGGCGCAGGTCCGCGAGCTGAGCGCGGCGCGCGGCGCTGTCGGCCCGCTGCTGGACTCCATGCAGCGCGCCATCGCCAGGCTCACGGAACACAGGTACTACTATGGATACCGCGTCACATTTATAGCGATTTCGTGGCAAAACAACACACCATAAGGGATACTTTCTATGCATAAAATAAAAAATCATTCATCGACTTGTGTATATGAAATATTAAACGTAAATTTGTAGGCGCTATTCGCATCGCACGTACCATCCGACGAGAAATACCTCTTCAAGAATTACGTGGCGTGATGTTTTGATAATGTGCTATGAGTTCGTATGAGCTTTTGAAGTTTGCTTTTTGCAATGGTTCAACAGTTATTTTTTGTTTTAAACATTTCTTTGTAAATCTATTGTATTACCAAGACAGAACCATTTTATGTCAGAACAAAATCAATATAAATACAATACACAATTTGACAATACAAATACATAATGACTGCTGAACTTGACTTATCTCCCATAATATCCACGAAAGATAGGTGCCTTGCTGTCATGTCTCTGTTAAATATAGAGTAAATAAGTAGTCTTGACATAGGATACCATGGCAGCGCAACCAGTGGCCGCCACCAACGTTTATTTTTTCCTTTTATATTACAATCTGTCGCCTTTTTTTGGACATTCAACAATATGTTGGACGTTAACGATGAACAAAATCCCCAAAAGGCTGGTAACGCACTTGTAACGCCGCTGGTGTTCCGGGTGTCCATGGGCGACGCCGATTGCTCACTATCAGGTGATCCGTCTCCTCGATCCCGACTCATCCCATGAAAAAATGATAAACGCACCAATAATTGGCAATACGGCGTCTATAACATTAACGAATAGTTTATTTATATTTACTAACTCATTCAACTAGAAATCAGCTTCCATCATCATCCACCAATGAAGTCATTATGACGTAATACACAAACATACCAACATACATAACTATTACTAACTGTCGATGCGACCTTAACCGCTCAGCTGTAGTGCGAATGTACCGCGGGAACTATTTCGGGAACACACCGTGACACACATGTTCTGTGTTGTATATTAGAAAGTACAGGCAATATTGTAGCTTGGTATAACATCATCATCAAGCGCCTATAAATGCCCACTGCTGAGCAAAGCCTCTTCTCATACGGAAAAAGTTTGAGCATTAATCACCGCGCTTGCTCAAATCAATATAATTAGAAATTATAAGCCCAAGTTTCCTCACGATGTTTTCCTTAACCGTTTGTCAGTGGTGTCTAAATAATCTTAGAAAGTAACTGGGAAAAAGTCACATTGATACTTGCCGTTGGTAGGTAGGTTTCGAGCTCGCACCCTCATGCATGAGAAGCGAGCGTCTAGCCTCCGGGCCACCACGACCATATTGGTATACCAGTCCACTGCCGGACTGTCGGCCACAAAGATAGGTTTGCCATATCCTCGACGCTTGCCGAATAGGTTGGAAATGGTTTAGGTCAGAGAGTGTTGGTGCTCGCGCTCTGTCATTTACAAATTTGTGTATCTCCATCCATCTATTCATCCATCTAATCTAACATATAAATAAAATTGTAGTGTCTGTTTGTAATATTAAAACAACCGGTTTTTACTACATGCGTATAAATACAATACATATAGATAACAAAATATTATTTTTTTGAATTTTTGATGTCTGTCTGTGTGTATTCGCTAATCTCTGGAATGGCTAGACCGATTTTGCAAGACTTTTACTGGCAGGTAGTAATGTAATAAAGAGTAACATAGGCTATTTTTATTTTGGACAATCGACTTTAGCCGGCTCTTACAACATCCGCGGAAAGAACAAACATACAACGTATGTTAAATTGTTCGTTTTTATAACTTTATGTGAACTCGAGAATAAATCAAGATGCTTCGTATAGTATGGACAATCTCTCAAAAGTCCACTTGAACCTCTTATAATAATGTATCAGAGAAACTTGCGTCACCCACTTTTGATCTCCCCGCTGGGTGTATACCTAATTAAAGCTTACTAATTTCTTAAGTGTCGCTCATTGAGAGCTGCATTTGGCAGCACGCCAACATTACGGTAGTCGATGATCTAACTAAAGATGGTATATTTAACGGGATGGTATTTTTAATGCAATGTAACCAAGAATATTGTATTGTGAACCTGATTGACAAACGGTGAAGGAAATCGCGAGGAAACCTGGACTTATAATTTCTGATTATAAGTTTGAAATCGCCAACCCGCATTGAGCAAGCGTTGTGATTAATGCTCAAACCTTCTCCGTGTGAGAAGAAGCTCTGCTCAGCAGGGGGCATTTATAGGCAGTTGATGATGATGAACCTTATTAAATCAAAATTTTTAGTACTTCGATGCCGCGTCTGACGCAAGTTCTACTACCAAACCCATAATATCACTAAAAACATACCCGTCACACTATATTTACTAGTTTTCTCACACACACACAACTACCTATACTTACTACTATATCCTACCAATCAGTCTAGACTTCCCAAAACATCTAGATCTGCAATAAAACATGCGCGCGCATCTTGTTTACTACAACACTCAGTTGACTACCCCTATACTTATTATACTCTTTGCAGTTGACTTACACCTCTCGCGGAGGGCACACGTCTTTATTATATCACTCTTGATATATTACTTGTTATAATTAATTAGTTGTATGTGGAAGTGTTAGTTAAAATAATAGATAAGTTCCGTGTGTGTGTGTTTGTGTGTGTAGTAATATTTGTGCAATTTAAAGTGGATATTGCAATATGGATGAATTGAAGTTAGTTTGTTTATTTATATATTTTTTTGATATATAAAAATATATAAAAATGTTACGATTAATTTCCCTTAAGGATCAGGTTAGAATCGCTAAGATCATAGCAACCCTACTTTATTTTCTGCACTTTATGTTAGTTATCATCTATCGCGAGTAATATGAAATACAAAGTAGTCTATTTGTTTTGTTTTTGAACAACAAACTATTAGAATACAATAGAATAATCTTTAATGTACGCCATTAACAAAACAAAAAAAAACAACACAACATCACGCCTTTATCCTCGAAGGGGTAGGCAGAGGTGCACATTACGGCATTTAATGCCACTGTACAATGTAACACCCACTTTTCACTATTTATGTTATGAGTGCCATGTAATAGGGGGTGAGCCTATTGCCATACATATACCGGGCACAATTCCAGACTCCGTACTACTACTGAGAATTTTTTTTAAACCAAGTATTACTTTGCCCGACCCGGGAATCGAACCCGACGCCCCTTCCCAGGCAATCGCACTTGCGACCACTCAGCCAACGAAGGAGTCATAACAAAACAGAAATAACAAATATAAATAAAAGATACGATTTCTACCAGAAACTACATAGTTATTCTATATATATATACATAGTTACATAGCTACATAGTAGACATATGTATGTCTACTGTTATGAATGACTACCCGTGGTTTTACCCGCCTGAATCTTCTATGTAAGGTTTGCATGGTCCGTCCGTACTGGTGTATAAAATATCAAGAACATTGGTTTAGAAGATAAAGCGTAGAGTTAAACAAATAAACAAAACTTTCGCTTATAATATTAATAAAAATTAATCATTGAACAAAATCGACAATCGATTGATATTTTCATGGAATTTTTACTTACAAGATTCTCATCAGATGATCGCAACACATTTAGTATATCCGCTCGTCTGACGTCAGCGCTGAATTCTGATTGAAGATCGATAACTTATATATTCTTATATTATTTTATTATTGTACGAACCAACTGCTGCTGATTTCCAGCATACAGGCGGATTTATAACATAACATCACGCCTTTTATCCCCGAAGTGGTAGAGGTGCACATTATGCCACTATACAATGTAACACCCACTTTTCACTACTTATTTATGTTACGAGTCCCATGTAATAGTGGGTGAGTCTATTGTCATATACCGGACACATTTCCAGACTCCGTGCTATTACTAGGAAGCTAGTTGCTCATTCCAAGGTGTAGATTCCTATGGAGAAAAACGAGCAAGAAACTCCATCATCATCATCATCATCGAAGGGTCCACTGCTGACAATAGGCCTGCCTTAATGCCGCAATGCATTAATGTTTATAATCAAAATCTACCCCATCTCTTTATATATATAATTCTGCTGTACGTGTGTATGTCATTGATTTCCTAAACGGCTTGACCGATTAAAGTTAATTTTTCTGTATGCGTTTGAGTGGCGCCCTGAATGGTTTAGATTCACAAACCAGACCGGCAGATGGCGCTGCAGTATCTAGGTTATTTATCTATACCTATTATTATATTATATGCAGTACAACGTCTGTCGGGTCCGCTAGTATAATACATATATTTATGTAGGTACTTAAGTAAGACTAAACAATTTTCGAAGCTAAGAAACTTCATATTAGCAATAAATAGAGCGATCGTTCCATCAGTCAATGTCGCTGCTCGGCTGACAGCGGCCAGTAGTCGTAAAGTTTATTTTAACTCGTACATAGTACCGCGAATTGTATCGTCGCGATATTAACGCAAGGTCGGCTTGCATCTCTACGCGTGTTTCACTGGGACTTGGGGTGTGGTTAGCTTTCTATTCTTGCTTGATCTTCATATAGAAATACTAATTTTTGTCAGATAAATTTTAACCGAGGAATAATTTTCAATATTTGATAATTGGGATGATGACGGGGAATGAAATTAAAAATTTAATTAGTCCGTCAGTAAGGCAATGAAAAAATATTAGACACGTATTTTTTTATTTTGTTGTATAATAAAACAATGCTTAGATAAAACGAATCAAAGTTTAGGAGTGGGAGCTAAAACGTCATTTGTATATATAAAATGTACATAGAAGTGACGTCACGCGACATTTCAAATCAATATATCGTCGAAAGTATTCGGTTCTGTAAGAAAATAAAAAATACGTGTGATGATTATGTATTAAAAATAATCTCCAAGACGGACATTAAAATAAAAATTAGGCATCTACCCTATTCTTCCATACTAAAATCTGTTTAATGTCAATTTTATCCTACAGTTAAGATTCAACTGATGATTGAAAAATCGGCCCTATATGTTATTGCACACCATAATCCACATCTGTTCCAAATTTCATCCAAATCTCTTCAGCAGTTTTGATAATGTTGACTGCCTCGTTGGCCGAGTGGGTCGCAAGTGCGAGTGCCGGGCAAGGGGTCTCGGGTTCGATTCCCAGTTCGGAAAAAGTATACTGGGTTTTCTAAAAAAATCGCAATTACTACAGCACGGAGTCTGGAATTGTGGCCGGTATATAGCAATAGGCTCACCCCTTATTACATGGGACTTGTAACATAAATAGTGAAAAGTGAGTGTTATATTGTACAGTAGCATTAAGTGCCGTAAATGTGCCTACTCCTTCGCGGATAAAAGGCTTGATATTATGTTATTGTTAAAATAATGTTAGAATGTTGGCATCCCTATATACTCGGCACTCGCATAGTAAATAACAGAGTAATGCTCTCACTATATAGGCCGCGAGCATTGCGTCTGTTTGTCTGCGCGTCCCACTCTCTACAGCTGGACGCGATGTTAATTTGATTTGTTTATTGCGGTACTTTCCATTCTTACACACATATTGTAGCATTGTTTTGTTGAGTAAATTTTGGCGAAAATACTTCTTATTGTTTCTTGAAGAAATTCAAAGATATTATTCAGTTTAGTTACCTAACCGGTAAAAAAACATAGGTATCTTTCTACCCTATTCAATTATCCTTGTTTTTTACTTTTGTGTGCATCGCATTCACAAAACCTCTGTAAAGTCTGAGGCTAGCTGTGGAGACCTATAATTGGCTTTGTATTAGCATTACCTGAATTTTTATTATTTGTAATATAGCTGTTGGTTACCCGAATTAAAATAAATAAATAAAAACAATCGATGCAGCGACCAAGCACAAATCACATCAGTCTGACTGCCAGCACAAAGCTGTTGAAGGTATCGAATCCTGCGCTGCCATAGGTCGACATTAACCGCGTGCTGTTTGATTATATCGTTTAGAAGATACATATAATAAAATCGTAGGAAATTGAAAACTGTACATTGAAATTTTTTTTAAAGGATGCTTGTGGCGTGATCTATAAGCGATACCGAAGCTAAAAATGTGGTTTTTAGAATTTTTGTCTGTTTATCTGTATGTATGTCCGGGCTAAACTCAAAAAGCACTACTTATATGGATTTACTTCAAGTTTCGCATTAATTAATATTCATAGTAATCTAACAGGTTGGGTCAACACAAAGGCATAATATGTTTATCACGCTAGCGTTTCAGGAAAAGTAATACTTATTTGTTTATTTCTGACTTGCACCAAAATAGAATTAATGTGAATGTACTTACTATAGATGAATTTCTTTGTCACTCATCTTCCTTTCGTTAAAGGTCAATAAGCTAGATGTCACTAGAACTAAACATTATGTTTGTTACAGAATGTCTCTAATCGGCTCGTACGATGAGTCGGACTCGTTCGTGGACTACCAGACGCGCATGGTCGGCGCCGCCAAGGAGATCGCCAGGCTCGCTACAGACATGGTAAGATACATCTCACAGCTTTACTAGTGTTTAGTGTGGGCGAGCTATGCTTCGGCACGAATGGGCCGGCTCGACCGGAGTAATACCACGGCTGAGCAGAAAACCGAAGTGAAACAACACTTGCGTTGTTTTTCGTCGTGTGAGTGAGGTTACCGGAGGCCCAATTACATTGTTGGTCCTGGGTGGGATGCGCGTAGCAGTGAATGTTTAATTGCGTGTTGATAAACTCACCCACAAAACAGTAGAACGTCCTACTGTGAAGCAATGTTTATAAAGTACACTTGCAACCATATCTAATTTATTATTATTACCGCAGACGGCGAAGTCAGCTACAGACGCGAGTCGGCTGGTACAGCTGGGCAACGAGATGTGCCAGAAGTATGAACAACTTGCACAGGACAGCGTCGGAGCGTCCGCCACTACGCCCAACTCCGATATTGCTAATAGGTAACTTAACATTGTATCAACAGACAGTATAATATATATGTATTATAATCTTCTTTCCGCAACTTCGTACGCGCAATCCCGTTTTCTCCCGTTTCCGTAGCGTTGTCAGGATTTTTTCTGTCTTAAGAACCTTCTCCTAATAATAACGAATACAACAAAAAATTATTAGTGGAATCGGTCCAGCCATTCACGCGTGATGCCACGACCAAGGGAAAAAGGGATTCATTTTTATACGTATAGAAGATATATTATATGTTTATTGTAGTCTTTAGAATGGGGAGTGGAGTTTCATATATTTTTTAATGAAAACAATGCTTCTTGCTTCTGTACTGCTGGGCCGGTTCCAGCGGATTAATACCACGGCGTTACAAAAAACCGACGTAAAACTACCAAATCGAGTCACGCCAGGTTATGGAGGTAGTGGAGGTTCAATCCTCCCCCATCTCTAATCCCCAAATCTTAAAATCATAATTCACAATACCTAAAGACTTAGAGCACACTAGTAGCTGCTCTAGTGTTGCGGGTGTCCATGGCCCACGATTGCTTACCATCAAGCGTTCCATCAGCTCGTTTGCCGACCGTTTTATATAGTATAGAAAATAATATCATGTTTCGTTCTAGGATCCGCGTAGCAGTAGTAGAACTCGGCGAGGGAGTGTCAGAGCTGATCAAGGCAGGCGGTCATTGTCGCCTCTCCGCCATACCACAGAACCAACGCGCCGTCGCTGATAGCGCCAAGATTGTTAACGAGAAGGTACGACTTATTACTAAACTTATATTAAATACATATATAACCTCACGCCTGTCTCCCATGGGATTAGGCAGAGACTGTAGAACGCCAATTGCTACGATTCTTACATACCTCTCTCGCCTCATCAACAGGCATCACAGGCCTTAGTACAAATTTGTTTTACGTCTACTTTACTCAGTCTTTTTATGCATTCTAGTCGCAACAGTAACAGAAGTATATATTTATATATTAGAAAGAAAGAAAGAAAGAAAAACATTTATTCGACACATTGCATGCACAGATATGTAGACAAAATGAGTTATAAATAAAAACAAAATTAAAACAAACAATAAACATCACAAAATTAACAAAAATAGATGCATGCACGTGTCGAACGGGCCTCCACCTCAGCATTATGTTGAGCGTGGTAACACTCAACGCTGATCTTCTGGTGGCACCCTGCAGTGACTCACGAATGGTAGGTGAGAAGACAAATAATATAGAAAATAAAAACAAACTGCATGTAGTGTGTTGGATACAAATACAAAATAATAAAAAAAATTAATAAATAAATAAAATGGTTCATACAAATAATATATTATTATTACAAATATGTACATGTTGCTACGAAGTAAGACGAAAAATAGCGGGTATAACACAAAGAAGTAGAAATTAAATATTAAATAATTGAAATATCTGCCTTTGTCAAATTCAGCTTCCGTTGTGCGTCTATCATAAACTGACGTAAGCGTTTCCTGAACGTATAAATTGTGTTTATTTCTCTTATGGGTGGTGGCAGGTTATTATGTATGTATATAGGTTTATTGTACTCGTGTGTAGGTATGTATTATAATAATATCTATTTATTATATCTCTGAAATATACTAGTTTATCTTTCACTTGTTAAATAAAATCACTGCTTGCCTCTTGCACCTACCATTTACTATTCTCTGCATCACCCAAAGGTCAGACTGGTAGAAAATGCCTGCGGCATTAAGTCCACCTTTTTGTACATTTTGTGCATGAAGCATATTAAATAAATAAACAAAAATATTTTAAAATAATAAGATTTAATATAATTTTTCAACAATTCTAACTCAGTACCCAAAATATTCTAAGAATAAAACCTACGAACTAGTCTTAACCCCTCGAGCGTCCTTATGAGCACCCGGTGGATCATAAGAAAAAATGCTCCATACTGCTTTCTCTTTTATTAATGTTTTGTTTTTATTTTGACTGTATTTGTTTTATTTCTATTGTAATGATCCTTGTTTTCGTGTGCCAATGGCCAAATAAATGCATTTTCTTTCTTTCTTTCAAATGTCACGTGTGCACCCGTTGGATCATAAGGAACGCGGATGCACGACGGGTTAAAGAACGATGTATGTAACAATTTTCCAATATACTTTGTTGAACCCCAGGTGATAGCGGTACTGAGCGGTCTGCAGGCGGGGTCCCGCGGCACGCAGGCGTGTATCGACGCCGCCGCCACCATCGCCGCCATCATCGGGGACCTCGACACCACCATACTCTTCGCCAGCGCCGGTATGTACACTAATCATAATCTACGTCTTTTTTTTAAGGGGGGAAAATCATCGAATGACTTCTCCCTCCTGAGTGAGGCGGGAGGGAGTGTCAGACTCTTACTGACTAAAAACCACCCCGTTCCTTCTCCCACATTTCGAGCCGGAGTCGGCAACCCGTTAGGTTTTATCTACTATATAATCTACGTCTAAGACTTCATTGTTGACTTTGAGTTCGATTTCTGGAACAACAGGATTACCGTCGGTTTTATCTTGGTATATGCGATTTAAAAAAAATAGGTTTTCTCTTTTACTTGTAATGAATGTACGTTTGTCCACGATTGTTTCTCTCTAGATTGGCTAAAACGATTTTGATGCGGTTTCAGAAACATATTTGTTACACTTAGGAGCAGGTTGTAGTATATTAACGGATTTTATTTATTTATTTCTTCTTCACAAAGATAACAACGAATGGCAGACTTAATGCCTTAAGGCATTCTCTGACAGTCAACCATAGGGTAGTGCAAAGTTTTATTATGAACTGATTTCGAAGAGAAAGAAGTTATAGGCGACTTTAACTGGAAATCGGCAAAAAGCAAGCGAAGTGGCGTGAGTCAGGGTAGTGAAAGCCAATATTCCGATAACAATAGGCACTTATAACTGCTCTAGTAAATAAGCCTCTTACCATCTGGTGACCGTACATTAAACTAATTGCATATTTTTTCCATCAGGTACTCTCCACTCAGAGAAAGAATCAGACACATTCTCCGACCACCGGGAGAATATCCTGAAGACTGCGAAGACTTTGGTGGAAGACACCAAGACCCTCGTCGGAGGAGCAGCTGGTACTCAGGAACAACTGGCAACTGCGGCACAGAGCGCAGTCAGTACTATAGGTTAGTGGATTCTGTACTCTGTGTCTGTGTAGATAGAGTTTACTTTGTATTGTATGACTTTAGTAGGTCCAAGAAGAATTGGTCATTATATTATACATATTCTATGTAGTTCACTAATTATACTTTTGAAGAAAGATCAACCTTGTTTTGCAGCCAATTATCTCGCAATTGGCTGTATCGATTTTAGGGTTTTCAGAAGTGCAATAAACTTATCAAATTCAGTCCTCTGGACATATTTTTATGTTCTTTGGCACAGTGAATAATGGCTGTCATACCTTCTAAACAGAAATAGTCTTATCTGCGGAGGACGCGGGTGTATTTTGTACCCGACTTAAATAGGAGGCTTTAAGTTTGACTTGTATGAATGTTTGTGCGTGGTTATCTCGTGATTGGTTGAATCCATTTTGATGCGGTTTTCAGAAAAGTGTTTGTTACAATTAGGAGAAGTTTTTACACCCGAATACTGAAATGTTATTCAATTTTTAGTCACGCTTAAGTATAGTGCTGTCACTACAAATTCTTTGTCAAATGACAGAGATGACACGATATTCAAGTACAGCTTAAAATTGAGTAGCCTTTCAGTATTTGGGTATATTAATTAACCGACTTCGAAAAAGAGAGAGTTGAAGTTGGATTTTTTAAACGTTAGTTTATATTTGTGTCCACTATTATTTAAATAACACTCTGGATGTCCCGCAGTGCAACTGTGCGAGGTGGTGAAGCTGGGCGCGATGTCGCTGGGCAGCGGCAGCCCGGAGCCGCAGGTGCTGCTGCTGCACGCGGCGCGCGACGTGGCGGCCGCGCTGCGCGACCTGGCCGCCGCCACCACCGCCGCCTCCGGCAAGACCGTCGCGCACCCCGACATGCACCGCCTCAAGCACGCCGCCAAGGTACTCGCGACACCACAGCACTCCACACTTACTACTACACTTTTGTAAGAGAAAGCCAAAATCATTTATTTCAATTAGACCACGAAGCCTCTTTTAAACATTATCAAAAACAAAATGAAAATGAAGGTAATTGCTATTAGCCAGTAGACGAGCAGACAGATCACCTGATGGTAAGCAATCAGTGTCGCCCATTTACACCCGAAACACCAGAGGCGTTACAAGTGCGTTACTGGCTTTTTGGGGATTAGGAATTTAAAGATTCTTGGGGATCAGAGATGAGACTCACCCACATGACAAAATAATACAATCGTTGTTTTACGTCGGTTTTCTGGAGTGCCGTGGTATCAAATGTGAGACAGCTATGCTACGGCACGAACTGGCAAGATTTTTAGTCAATTTAGTACGTCTCACGATAGTTATTATAAAAGTATTAAATTTGACTTTATGGTTAGAAATTAGTCTACAATACACACACACTTCTGTACATTATCTACAATTACTACATTATTTACTTTTATAGCTTTAAGTAGTACTTAGCTTTGTAAATATAAAAATATTAATAATTTTAGTCACTTATTATAAACTATGTTCATATGTTTTTTTTTACAAATTTTTGGCCTAAACGCAGGGAAACAAATTCAATACTTTGCGAGACTTGACGATTTGTTTCCTACTGTTTTTCAAAATTATTAACTTTTTTGATTTATTTAACTGAGCTATCACACAAAGTAGAATCAATTTAGTTTTCAAGTCACTTTAAGTGGAAAAGTTTTGCAATATAACACTTAAATATATTAATATCAAGAACTTTTCCATCGTGGTTTTTTGATACAAACTTATTTTGGAAATTATTTTGTAATTATTAATACCAAATATCATTAAAAATAGTTAAGTAGTTTCCATGATAACGACTTGTAGTTTGTATCAAAAACCAAGGTATGTAAACACTCATGAATAAAATAATATAGGCATTGAAATAATTAATGAATATTGCAAATCTTTTTCAATATAAAACGAAAAAGTATTCAAAAAAACATCCATATACATAACATTTGTGTTGTCCTTGTGTCTGTCAATATTGGACTGAGCTGGTGTGTTTCTCTAGCGACTGTCTGACGCCACGCGCCGCTGGAGCCTCCCTCTCAAAGCCACCACCATACCTCGCCCAAACAGGCGCTCCACCATACTGCGGCTCGACTATAACTCCGCAGACTCGGAAACTGACATCTTCCAATCAGACCAGGAAGATGAACTCGTCAAGCTCTTAGACTATTCCAGCCAAGATGACGATGTCTCCCCGACTATATTCCATGACAATTGTGAAGAAATTATCACGTATATAGAAAATAAAATGACTATACCACCAGTAAGGAGCCTGAAAAATGACGATTTGAATGAACGGTACAACCTCGCAGCTAAAAACAGCCTCCTAGACATGGACTGGCGAGTCCTAAAGTATGGCGAGAATATACTTCTAGGTGAAGTCAAGAAACTAGTCGACATGGTTCATGACCTAGGAGATAGGGAAGAGAATAATAGAAAGAGAGATAAGATCCAGAGAATGAAAGCTAATAACGATTTGGACTCGGAAATGAAACGACTATCAACTGTCATAGAAAATTTGGACTCAATAGAAATTAATGTCACAACTGAGGTCAAAATTGAGACTGTGCCTAATAAAAAGCCTAAAGTAGACGATGTTAAGTTAACAAGTCCAGTTTTCAAAGTCAAGAAGGTCAGACCAGTCAGTCTAGATGTTCAAACTCCGTCTCCGGAAGCTACTGAGGCTACCAAAGAGTTGCTAAGCCCTGAGGAGAAGCAGAAGGATGAAAGCATGGAGATTGTAGTCAAACCTGATGTGAAATCTAGAGAGACGACTGACGTCAGCACCATGACCAGAAAAGTCAGAATGGAATTCTGGAAAATGTTCAAAGATGACACAGAGTGGTGGAAAGCTTTAGCTAAAAGGAATCTAGAAAAAATGGAGGAAACCAGACGAGAACTGGAGAGATTCAGTGGACATGAACTTGTTTTGGGCGAGTTCCAAACTCAATTAGACAAATTCGAAAATGAAAAGCATACTCTACAAAATTTTATCGAAGAAGTTGACAAATCTAAAGCCGTCAACCAAGATCTTGAATATAATAAAAAGTACGAAGATATGGTGCTTAAACTGATCGAGTTTGCCAAAAAGGACTTTATCTACAAAGGCTTTGATCCTCTTATCGAACAGCTGAAAGCGTTATCTAACATCAAAATCGATCGAAAGAAAAAAGTAGATATACAAGAGATACTAAACATTTACTCACAAATAGACACAAGCAAATACACGTATGAGGAACTTTGTCTTCTAGAAAGATATTACAAAGAGATTATACGAAAATACAAAAAAGATTTCAGAGATAAAGAAAACATAATTCCAGAGAATAGACAAAATATCCACACAACTAATAGCTTACACAGAAACATTAACCATACCATAATATATAATACAGACACAATAAAAAGCACACGATCGAACCCTGAGAAAAAACGCAATTCCATAGAAATTATGGACTTAACAAGGACCTACCCGATGCAATATTACGCGAACAACTGGTGGACTATATACGAAGACGTTCTGAAAAGCAGAGAACAACAATTCGGCTCAATTGACAACTGGTGGCAAGTCTATGAAAGGATACTTAACAAAACGGAGACTAAAGAAGATTTGGAGAGATTCCAGTCTTTGATGAGAAGTCAGTCCAGGTCGAGGCCTAGTTCTCGAATGGAGGAACAGCTAAGGATGTTGGATGAGATAAGGAATGATAGGTTTAAGGAGACGGAGGCAGTGACCCGAAAGGATGATGAATCGGTTAGAAACAGTTCAGAATCTTCTAGTCTAACCGTCGCACGCCGCATGGTGTGGTCCTTAGCTTAGGTCTACTGTCATAACGCGCCATTGGACGAATCCATGCAACGTACAAATGACGATAGGCGGCCTATAGATGACAAATATCTTGCATCTTTCTTATAAACATTAAAACTGTCCACGAAAGACTAATGGGGCTATATTTCGAACACCAGATGGCCATAATTTAGCAAAAGGTCAGTTTGTCCAATCACTGTAGCTGTCAAAAATTTAATAACCAATACAGTGACAGTAGCTGATTCCCTATTGGACGAAAATACAGGTTCACACTAACTCCATCTGGTGTCCAAAACTGTAGCCCCCATTGTAGGCTGCCTACCGTCATTTGTAGGTTGCATGCATTCGTTGAATGACGCGTCGTGGACCAGTAGACCTTATATCATCGATGTCGTGGCGGTCGGTAGCACTTGAGTATATGCACGCTGTTCTAAAAAGCTTTTTTATTGTTTGTCTATCGGTTGTTGGGATCATATCCAGATACGTCATTATTCATAGGACATTCCGCTTAGCAGTGATAAATTACCGATTTTAATTCAAAGTTGCTACATTACACAAGTTTTAAAATGTCGATAATAAATCCTGAGGAAATACTAGTTTTGAGTAGCAGTAGATCTTGGTGGCGGACGGCGCTCTGATTGGCCGGCTCTAGTGAACCAACCAATCATTGCGCCGGACGCACTCGATACTATTACGTTACGAATGCGGCGACAGTTATTCGTGCTTGGCAGTCTTTCCTTAGTATATTTACGTGAGTAAACCGTATATCTCATAATAGTTATTATAATAATATAATATAGCAAAGTCAGTGATTTGAATTGAAATCGGTTATCAAATGCGACCATAAAATCTACGTATGAAGTGAATTTTCAGTTACGAACGTTCCTTAAAATCATTTTAGTTTCAAGAATTTTCGAAATTTTAAAGGACGGTGTTATGCGATGCCTATTTAAGACGGAGTCGAGGAACCGACCGCCACATCCACTAACTCGCTTCATCATCATCGTCACGTATATCGAAATGTGTTTAGTTTTGAACTCTGTGTGGCATGGAATAACGTGTCCACTTGCTTGTACAGGCAGCTCGTCAACATACTCCTAAGGTTTATTAATGGATTTTTTACTTTATTATCAAATAGTAAGGTTGAAAGTCGATTGAAGATATTGGGGTAGCTTGAAGTTTTAGATATACTGATTTCTTGACGCCTTGTAAGATAATGAGGTGTTTTAAAATGTACATAAATAGTTGTCTAAATTTTTTTAATGAATATTGTACTCGTGTTTAGTTTTAACATTTAGCATGAAATATCTTTAGTAAGACCTGAAATGATCGCCAGTGTAATTATACAGCTTATTTAAAAAAAAATGTACTTTTCCAGGTTTGATATAGATACAGTTTGTATTAAAAATGTGCTAAACACATTTCCTAAAGCCATATTGTCCATTTCATGCGGTTCTGAAGAGGACTAGCTTCTCATCAATGTGTTAACCGAACCAAAAGCTTTCATACATCAAGCACACACAGCTATGAGTCCGATATTGACATACGATTCTATTCTTGGGAGCACAGGGCATGGCATCTAACGATACGACATTTACATATACTCAAAAAGTTTTGAAAAATTATGTAAATCTCGCTTCGTTATTGTGGAAACTCAGCCATACCTCAAACCCTCACTTTTATAATTATTATTATTACGTATGTATGTATTTTTGAGATTTTTTTTATTACTTTTATGGTGTTTTTTTGAAAGCTTATGGGTTCCCGCTACGCATGGCGCTTTTGTCGTTTCACTGGGTTTTTTGTCATTTTTTTTATTTCGTACTCAAAACCTAATTCTAGTTGGCAACCCAAAGCTTTAAATTCATGTTTTTAGATTAATTTTTATGGTAACATTCGTTGTTTTTAATATTTCTAATTGTTACGTGAAGTGCAGTGGTGATTTACTGATCATATTTTCAGTTATATAAATAGTTTTACGAACATGCAAAAAACAAATCGCTTCTGTAAATTTTTTTAACTACATTTAAATTATCAAATTCATGATTTGACGATAATTTTAGTTACTTTTAAATGGCAAAAGTAAACAATTTCATCAATTTATAATTGCCTATCAGTTATACAACAGTATAAATACTTAGGTATTATAAAATACTCACATTCTTACATCAAATATCTGTGAGAATCGGGTTTACGACACCCACAAGTAGAGTCGCGGTGGTGACAAATACACTCTCCTATCACCACAAAACAAAGTTTTCATGCATCCCCAAACATGATCAGTAAATCACCACTCGTTAATCACCAGTTTATCACCAACTGACCTGATATTGTGTGTAGGTGATGGTGACAAACGTGACGTCACTGCTGAAGACCGTGAAGGCAGTGGAGGATGAGCACACACGAGGCACCAGGGCGCTGGAGTCCACTATAGAAGCTATCTCGCAAGAGATTGAGGTATGTAAAAACATTCTATTATATCGAATAATGTTAAATGGTGTACTTATAGGCCAGTAAAAATAATATTAGAAAACGAAACAAATACTAAATGTAATATTTTTTTTATAAGTACGCTAAAAAACAGTACGTTTACACGTCAACAAAGGAAGAAGTAGTTGTAGCATTAAACTCATTGGAAAGAGAAGGGAAGATGTGTAAAATATATTTAATAAAAAATAATAGGAAAACTCACGAATATTTTGGTTTAAATTCTATAAGGTCAAAATTTTAAACTGAATTGTCGTAGCTTCTGATCTATATTTTCCGAGATGACTTATGGCTAGCAATGGTTGAAATAAATATTGATAAATATGTAATTAATAAATAGATTGGTTTCAAGAGTAAGCACCCAGAACTATCTAAACAATAATGTTTTACAAGGTACCCAATCACGCAACATGACGAGACGATCATGTGTATAATGTCGTAACTGTTACGATTACCTATCAATGATTCCTGTATCCTCCACAGGTGCTAATGTCATCAACGCCTCCCAAGTCCACGGCGACTCCCGAGGAGTTGATCCGCTGCACGCGACAGATGACAGTGGCTACTGCCCGCGCCGTCGCCGCCGGGAACGCGAACAAGCAGGACCAACTGACTGCCGCCGCCAATCTAGGCAGGAAGACTGTTGTAGATCTACTAGTGGTCTGCAAGGTAATCATTAATTCACTGTCATGGTGGTTTTAGTAGGATTTTTCAGCCAAAAATAGGTTTTTTCTCAACTTTATCACAGGTACATAGTTAAAGATAAACAAAAAATAGTATGGTTGGTGCGGTAACTACGCAACCGGCTGCTGTGCAACGTTTAGCGGGTTCGATTCCCATACGGAGCAATTCTTTGTATGATCCACAAATTGTATGTAAACTTGTGTGTTTGTAAACGTGCCCACGACACAGGAGATAATTGTAGTGTGGGGCAATGATTTTGAGATTTCGAAAAATTAGACTCACCCCCTATGACATGAGACCCTTAACATAATTAGTAAAAAGTGGTTGTTACATTGTACAGTGGCATTAAGTGCTGTAATGTACACCTCTGCCTACCCCTTCAGAATAAAAGGCGTGATGTAATTATATGTTTTTTATGAACTGGTCGGATGACTTAAACTAAATGTAAAACTGAATGACCTTAGGGCGCGGCGCACGCAGCTGAGACAGCCGAGCTCCGCAGTCGTACGTTAGAGGCCGGGCGCGCGGCGGCGGCGGCCTACCGCGCGCTGCTGGGCGGCGTGCTGGCGGCCTGCGGCGGGGACGGCGGCGCGCGCCACGACCTGCCCGACCTGTCGCGACACGTCGCGCACGCCACCGCAGACATCATCGCCACCGCCGAGCTGCTCAAAGGTGACAGTGCTCAGCGGCTTCTAGCGGCTCTATTTGGACACTATTGCTGTGGTGTCAATCTACACAAAGTTTATGTTGATGATTATATAATAGAGTAGATTCTGCCCGCAGCTTCTCCCGCGTTCCCATGGAATAAAAATACCCTATATGTTATGTAACGCCATAATTTATCCCTGTTCCAAATTTTATCCCGATCTCTGCAGCTGTTTTGACTGTGATTGAGTAACAAAAATACACAAACTCACGAATATTCGCATTTATAATATTACGTCGTTTCACAATCATGTGGACATTAATTATTATGTTTTTGCCTTACTCTCATAACTGTTTGACGAGTAACTCTACTAGTTTCAAGCCATTCTAGTGGATCATATTCTTAAGCAAAATTCCGCGACCCGCGACGAATGACAATTACTAGTTTCTGACATTAATAATTAAATTGTCTTAAATTGAGAAATCGATCATTTGCTCAGTTAGTCAAGTAGTCGTAAGAGCGGCTGCTATACAAGAATTCCGGTGGTATTTTTAGTATTTCGAAAACAAAACCTAAAAATAAGTTTAATGATTGACAATTTTTATAAACCTGAAAAATTTGTGGCTAGCCTTTTTCAATAATAATGCAACATGCCAAATCTCACACTCCCCCAGGTTCAGACTGGGTAGACCCGGACGACCCGACAGTTATAGCTGAGAACGAGCTGCTAGGCGCCGCCGCCTCCATCGACGCCGCCGCCAAGAAACTCGAGTCTCTACGACCTAGGAAGAGCGTCAAAGTACAGGTTAGTTACATATCTAGATGTGTATAGGAATATATGTGTTAAAATTATGGTGATTAGAGTCAATTTTATTTGAACTCTAGCTATTTCCGTGCAGTTTTACTCGTTGCTATCGATCGCGGCGCGATGTTTTATAGCTTATAACCTTCCTCGATACTTGCACTATCCAACACAAAAATAACTATTTAAATCCGACTAGTAGTGCCGGAGATTAGCGCGTTCAAACGAACAAACAAATTCTTCAGCTTTATATAATAGTATAAGATACATTTTGTTCATGTTATTGATAAGTATATTCTGAAACTAGTCATCGAGGTCAGTACACATTTGCCTACCTTATTCACCTTTCTGGTACCCTAAAACATTACATATAAAAATGTGTTCTAGTAATTTATCTCAATATAATTTAATCTTTTGAACTAATTAGATTAAATATTGCATTTCCTGGTTTTGTTTTTGTAAAACGTTGTGTAATACCGAGATATACCTACCTAACAATGATTTAAAACTTACAAAACTCTCATACATACATATTATTATTTTATTTATAAAATAAATATCATAAAATCATGTAGCTATAAAAGTATGTATTTCTTTTCTCTATCTCAATTTATTTCTCTGTCTACTTAACTCCTTACTCCTTCAACACATCACTAACGCCATCTACCGAGCGACACAACAAACTAACACAGAAGAATCAAGAAGAAACCACCGCAAGAAGCATACCGTGTGTCGTTGAGATATGTTTGATATTCTTGGTTGTATCTTTGCATCACCCAGGAATCAAACATATTACACATCGATGCCGGTACTTACTACTGAACGACGTGGCAGAAGATGAAAGAAGAATTTTGATTTGAATACCTGTATTTATGCTGTTATTTTGTCTTCTCTTCTTCTTTGGGTGTTGTGTATGTTATTAGCTAAAATGTCTCTAAAACGTTATGGTGTCTATATATAATAATTCTTTCACAAAAACCGAACCGAAGTGGGCTAGTTATACTCAAACCTTCTCCTAAGTTTACAAACACTTTAGGAAAACGGCATCAAATCGTGTCAGCCGTTTGCAAGATAATCGCGAACAAACATGCATACATACAGTCACACTGAGTCGGTAAAAAACAATTCACAACTTAAAAATAAATGAAATAAACAATAAACTATAAATCAAAAATCTCTCTATCGTTGTCGCAAAATATGTTTTATTTAAATAATTAAGTTTGAAATCGCCAACCCGCGTTGAGCAAGCACGGTGATTGCTCATTTTCCTTCTCCGTGAGAGAAGAATGGTCAGCAGTGGCCACTCATAAGCTGTTGGCAATGACTTGCCTGCACGCGCAACGTGTAGCGGTTTCTCTATTCCCGCACGGAACAACTCTTTATGTCATCCACAGATTGTTGTTCCATATTTGTTGTGTATGTGAACTTGTATGTTTGTAAGCGCACCCACGACACAGGGGAAAATCTTAGCGAGGGGCAATTAAAAATATATAATTATGAAGTTCCAATTCTATATGATTTACACAAAAGAAAAGCAATTGGAATTACATTTTAGCTAATAACGAAATTATTCTCGTATCTATTATTCTATTTGTGTTTTTATCTTCTTTTCTATATTGTATTATGATTTGTCTCTTAATATTCTGTCTAATTACTTTATATGTATGTACTTGCATTATATACAATCAGATGCATCATGTCGCTAACCATTTGTAAAATATTGTACAGGATTTATTTTAATTATCATTTCGGCTTACTCACGTAAATGTTTGACGAGGAACTCGACTAGTTTCAAGCCATGCTAAAGATAGTCGCCGCGTTGTGGGTCGCGGAATGCTGCTCATGAATATGAGCCTCCAGCATGGCTTGAAACTAGTCGAGTTCCTCGTCAAACAGTTACGTGTGTAAGTCGATAACATGATAAATAATTTAGTATGTATCACAATAGGATTTATTTTTCTATTTAGTAATATATATTAATACAGTTTACAACAAATGTTTGTGAACTTTAACTTATTAATGCATCAATAAGAAATATTATAATGGTCAGTTATTTTTGGCCTCTCGGAATAATTCCTGTATATATCCAGAAGAAATAATGTTAACACCACAGATATCTTAAACTGTCAAACACCAAGCGGTCACCGGTGACCGCGACCTATTGTTCTTTAATTGTGTCTATAAAACCGGTACTCGACGAGTTAACCAATGTACTAACAATCATACAACTAACTTACTATAACACTGACGGTGGCGCCCCCTTGTCCCAGGAGGCGGACGAGAGCCTGAACTTCGACGAGATGATCCTCGAGGCTGCCAAGTCCATCATCACTGCTACATCGGCGCTAGTACGCGCTGCGTCAGCCGCGCAGCGGGAACTTATTGATCAGGTATGTTTAAAATTATATAGGTTTACTTGACCAGGTAACTTTTTTTATGGCATAAGCCGGTAAACGAGCAGACGGATCACCTGATTGTAAGCAATCGGCGTCGCGACTGCCGGGCAAGGGGACTTGGGACTATAACATAAGTAGGGAAAAGTGCGTGTTGCATTGTACATTGGCATTAAGTGCCGTAATGTGCACCTCTGCCTACGCCTTCGGGGATAAAAGGCGTGATGTTATGTTGATTAAAAGTACTTAACTACACAACCTTTCGTCAAAATACACAAAATACTTATACAAAGATTCCAAATCGATCTCTTCACTATTATAATAAGATTAATATTCCATAACAGAATTTACTAAAACATACTTTCTTCCCAGGGCAAGGTAGCTCGTCGCCCCACCTCATCATCAGACGACGGCCAGTGGTCCGAAGGTCTGATCAGTGCAGCCAGGCTAGTGGCTGCCGCAGCGCATTCCTTGGTGGAAGCTGCCAACGCGCTGGTGCAGGGAGCCGGGTCTGAAGAGAGACTTATTTCAAGTGCCAGGCAGGTCGCCTCGTCTACTGCTCAGCTGCTGGTGGCTTGTAAGGTAAGAGGCAAAAGCACGGATGCTATAACTCCAGTGTATGCAGAAGACTTAGTACGACCACGTACGTATTTACGTACGGTTGAGTATTTCGAAATTAGTTTTTTTATAGAATGAGCCGGTAAATGAGCACACGGATTACCTGATGGTTACGCTCATGAACACCTGGGACCCAAGAGGTATCCCAAGTGCGTTACCGGCGTTTTGGAAATTGGGAATTTGAGGATTGTGGGGGATTCGGGAATTGGAGAGACTGGGTGGGGGGAGGGGGGGTTGTAACTGGGCCCCTCCGGTAACCTTACGCACACGACGTGTATCAACGCAAGCGTTGATACACGTCGGTATTCTGCTAGTTGGCGATATCACTCCGGTCGAGCCGAACCATTCGTGCTGAAGCATGGCTCTCCCACACTTAAACGTTATTAAACAACATCTTACATTCAATCTATTTATTATTTTCACCAAACATAACATAATTTCTTACATCTCTAGGTGAAGGCCGACCCCTCATCCGAGTCCACCCGTCGCCTCCAAGCGGCCGGGGCCGAAGTGATCAGGTCGACGGACAACCTAGTCCGCGCCGCCAGGGACGCCATACACACGGAGGATGAGAGGAGTCTTGTACTGAACAGGCGCATGGTCGGAGGCATCGCGCAGGAGATTGATGCCAGGTGATTATAATAACCTGCGATATTAACTGTAGTAGACAAAAGATTCAACGTGGAGAAATAACAGGAAATCAGAAATTTGCACCCGATATTGTAATGATACAATTGTTTCGCATTAATCCTTTGCTGAACAAATATCTCCTACTACTACGAGTACTAACCAATAAAATAATAAAAAAATTGGGGATTAGGAATTTGAGGATTGTTGGGGATTCAGGGATTGGGCAAGGGAGACGGTAATTGGGTCTCCCGTAACACAACGCAAGTGTTGCTTCACGTCGGTTTTCTGCTCGGCCGTGGTATCACTCCGGTCGAGCCGGCCCATTCGTGCCGAAGCATAAGTATCCCACAATTAAAAACTTTGCTCGTCAATAATATAAAGTTACATAAACTAGTTCGATATAATTATAATAATGTACATTCACTGTAAAATATTCTACTAAAGTAATTTTACATAATCAAATTTATTTCTTCTTCTATTGGAATCCAGTGTTGCAAAGCGGTATGTTCTTGTACCTAATCCTACACGCCACGTTCATTTCGTGAACTGTTACTGCATGTCGATATTTTACTCTTTATACAAAGCAATTTTTAAACTTAATGCACTTTAAATCGTTATTAACCTACTTTAAACTTAGATTTCTAATACTTCGGCGACTTTGCACAAATTGTATCGAACAAGTGAATGAAAGAGCTCGCAATTTTGAATCGACAATGTATTTTTTTTTCTTCATTACTCCATTTCTTTCCTACAAGGTTTATTTTTGTTTAAAGATCTTTTTATACTCAATGATCTCGGCTCAATGATTTCGCATTAAGGGCATGTCCGAATACCTTTAATAAAGATAAAAATTTACCGATTTTTGTCGTTATTATCATCGAAACTTCTCGCCCAGTTAGTATAACTTCATCAACATTTAATTCCTCCTTCAGATCCGAAGTCCTCCGCATAGAAAAAGAACTTGAAGAAGCCCGAGGTCGCCTGACTGCCATCAGACAGGCCAAGTACAAGCTCCGAGCTGGAGAGACCTCCGGAGAGGACACCGACACCGACGTACAGCTGGGGTACACCAGCGACACTGCTCCACACAGGTCAGTTAGCAGCATCATTACGTCATCATCAGGTTAACCCGTTCAGCGTCCGCGTTCCTTATGATCCAACGGGCGCACACGTGACATTTGGAGAAAGAAAGAAAATGCATTTATTTTGTCATTGGCACACGAAAACAAGGATCATTACAATAGAAATAAAAAAATACAGTCAAAATAATAACGAAACATTAATAATAGATTCTATAAAAGAGAAAGCAGCATGGACCATTTTTTCTTATGATCCACCGGGTGCTCATAAGGACGCTCGAGGGGTTAAACAGCGAACTGGATCTACAGATGGGCTCCAGTAAGACTGATGCCGATACGGAGCTGCGGAAGACTTAACCGGTTACCGGGGCTCCGGCTCGGAGTGCAGGAGTAGGAACGGGGTGGTTTTTAGTCAGTAAGAGTCTGACACTCCCTCTTGCCTCACCCAGGCGGGAGCAGTCATTGTATGACTTTCCCACCTTAAAAAGCAAAACTAAATAATTTTAATACCCTTATTTATAAAAAAAAACTTGTAACAAACCTAACTCAATGTCCTCATGCATTTTTACTTTCCATAATTCCATAATAATAATATAATGAGTAAAACTTAGTCTTCTTTCTTTCCAGATTCAAAACTCCAAATAGCAGTTTCGCGAACACAACATACAGCCCCAACAGTACATACTCCCCCCACACACACACAAACACGACGCACACGACACACAACACGACAAACATTAGCTCACATATATCGCAACTGAACCACTCCATCCACGGCACTCCGGCCAAGAGTCCAGTCTCCCCTGGTTACTACTCCACTCCGAAGAGTCCTACAGTACCGGCGCGACCTGACCAGTACAACCAGAGCTTCAGCCAAGAAAAAGTACCAACCCGACCTGAGCAATATAGCCAGAGCTTCAGCCAGGAGAAACAATATACTGTGCAGAGTCCGTCGTTCTCTAGCTTCAGGCCAGCTGAAGAACCTAAGCAAAATTATGAAGGATTTACTACTCGGTAAGTTTTTTGTGTCAATTGGTAGTTTTTGGTAGGTTTTGTTGGTGAAACTTTTAGTTTTTCGGTAGGTTTTGTAATGAAAGAAGTTCATAATCAAATCTTCAGATGGAATAGCTTCATGTTTTATTTCAACAAAGCAAGGTCCATTATGAGATTTCTAATCGTTTTATCTTTAAGTTACTTAAGTCGATCTACTTCGGTCTCGGTTCGATGCCCGAGTCAGGCAAGTGTTATTATTTCGCAGTAATAACACAAAGTTTAATATATAATGAAACTTACGAGTTTACGTAATGTAGGTAATTTTTGTTATATTATATCAGAACATTTTAACTTAAAGTTATATATTACAAGAGATCTTTGTATAAAATCATTGCACTATTTTCTTTTAATTCTACACTTCTCTATTGAAATGTTTCACCAACAATAATGTACTACTTTTGTAAAATACCACTAATAATAACAATAACTTTATTCTTGTCCAAAATATACTATTTTCTATTGTAAAAAAAATATTTCCAAAATTCAACAAGACACTATTACTTCCTGTCTAAAGTCATGGGTTCGAATCCCGTCTCGTACATTCCTTCTATTTCTTTCTCACATACTAATTTCGTATTCTTCTTGCTTTCCACGCTGCCATTGGATTAAAACAGATAAATATAAAACTATAATTATATATTTTACTGAACTTATATACAAGTGCCTTCACACTTATGATACGTGCCTATTTTATATATATATATAACACATATATAAGACTTTATATAAATATATAAATAGTTTATAAGATTACCGCCACAATACAAACATACTCAGGAAACATACAAGGTTAGCATACATTACATATTTTTAACATAATTTTATTGAAGTATTTTTACTAATTATTTTGCCAATGTGACTGGATTTGATTCTTGTTTAGAGCAAATATTTAGAGCTACCTATCGAAAGAAAATCTTAATATAGTTTAGAAAATATATGTCAGTAATTTGCAAAATAATTAGTAGATATACATTATATAATTTGTAGTATTTGTATTATTTAGTATTCTACAAGATATTTAGTAATTATAGAAGACAAGCTTACATTATACATAACATGTACAGTTATACATTATATCACTGTTACATACATCTAGAAATAATATTGTGAACAGGTAAATGCATTGCATACAAACATAAATAAGATTAATTTTGTGTACGATTCTAATTTAATAGTAGTCTTTTGTTTTTTGAATTAAAAAAAATCTAAAGTTATTCTAAAAAGAATTACTTACTCGTGTTTGAGTGTATCTAAAGTAGAATTCTAAATGGTTCTACGAAGACATTCTCATCACTAAAATTAAACCTTAAAATGAGTTTTGATAATGTACTATGAGTTCGTATGCGCTTTCGAAGTTTGCTTTTTGCCATGGTTCACCAGTCATTGTTTGTTTTAAACATTTTATTTATTTGTGAAACTATTGTATTACAAAAACAGAACCATTTTATTTCGGAGCTAGATTTCACGGTGTATGCCTTCTAAGACTCATGTATACAAAATACTCCATATTATACAAATATCAACCTTATTACCACAGCAATAAAGACGATCACAGTGGCATTAAGTGCCGAAATGTGCACCTCTGCCTACCCCTTCGGGGATAAAAAGGCGTGATGTTATGTTATGTTAAAGACTATCATCCAAGTTCAACACCAATGCAATGTGTTCACCTGTCATACACAGCCAATATTCTATACTCTAAGCATGTTCACGCTTCTGTACCAATACGTAATCACAGCTGCATCGAGCTAAACAAACCCAGTATAATGTGGTCTCGCTTCATGTGACTTTTCCATACATTTGATGGTTAACTTTATACTGGTGTTGTGAGGCTTGATGTTATGTACTGAACACTATGTACTCAGCTTACCGACTGAATATTATGTTATGACTGAATCAGTCGGTTTTTTTTTGAAATGTTTGGTTAATTTTGGTGTTGTCTGGGTGAGAATATTATTATTTATCGGTATTTTTTATGAGATTAGCTGGTACCTCAACAAGCAGACGGATCGCCTGATGGTAAGCAATCGTCGTCGCCCACCATGGAAGTTCGTTAACGGGGATTAGAAGTTTGAAGATTGTTGGGATTCAAGGATTGAGGAGATTGGGAAAGGTGGTAATTGGATCTCCGGTAATCGTGCTCACACGATTAAACACAACGTAAGCGTTGTTTCACGTCGGTTTTCTGTGATCCTGTGATATACACTTTAAATGTGGAATAGCCTTGCTTCGGCAGTTCGGTCGGCTCGACCGGAGTGATACCACCAACGAGCAGGAAACCGACGTGATATAAAGCTTGTGTTGTGTTGCATCGTGTCAGTGAGGTTACCACCCAATTACCTCCCTAATCTCCCTAATTTCCAAATCCCCAACAATCCTCAAATTGTGTTTCGGGTGTCCATGTTCGACGTCGATTTCTTACCTTCAGGTGTTTCGTTTGCTCGTTTACCGCCTTATCCCAAAGAAAAAATCTTTGTCATTATACCTCACTTAACACAAGATACAATACAATAAAGATTATTATAATATTAGTCTTTCTACCTACTCTTTTAAACCACAACTGAAATATTATCATAACACAAAATTTGCTTAGATATTATAACTTATCTCCACCCAGCCAACACCAAATGTAACCAAAATGAACCTAGCTATATCTGTACTAGACCTAGCCAATACAGCTTATGTCTAAACAAGCTAGATCTATGTCTACGCCTAGTCTGTCTCATGTGCATTTGTTTCCAGAGTCTCTTCCAATGACAGAACGATGAACGAACAGTAAGTCGGACAAAATTTCATATATACATATACTGTAGTTGATTGTCTCTTGTTGTTTGTGGGCGGTGATGTGGATAAAGGGATAGAAGAATAGGTGTTGTGTTCAAAGAAAGCTTTTGGTTAGTTTTCATGAATATAGTTTGTGCCTAAAGAGATGGGTACAAACAGGCAAACAAACAAACTTGTTTTAACATTCGTAATATACCATCCCGTTCAATATAATTATATTTAAAATATCAATTGCATTGTAATTTTGTAAGAATAATATAACATATAAGTACTTTTGAACTTGTAAAATTTTATATGATCGACAATTTAAAACTATATCAACTTGTCGACAAATCTGTTACTAAGTTTACAATGGCGAGTACAATATATATATTATAATTTTTTTTTAAAGTAAGAAAACAGTATATCATTTTAGACTAGTTTTAATTCCGATCATGTTGTTTTGAAGAAACAATTAATTTTACAACTTACTTAACTTTGAGTACCGTCATTATAGACACAATTAAAGAACAATAGGTTGCGGTCATGGGTGTCCTCGCGGTGTTTGACAGTTTAAACTCGATGATAGTAAAACATCTTTGTCCACATCCTACCTAACAACACGACACCATCAACTGCACATTATGTAAATACATACATACATATATTATGTACATATTACGTTTTTGTGAGCAACCGTTTATGCTTGACAACCGCTTTGCAATATGCGAGGAACGTTTTACCCCCACTCCCTATGTATATTTCGCTTTTTATATACCATACATACAGACAGATACATGTACATTTTTACATATACATAGTTTTTTACTTAGCAGGATATAATTGATTCAGCAGGACATTTTATATGAGTTTTTGTATTTTTTATAGTAAATTCAGTATTTTAAAAAATTCAGAATTTTGAAGAGTATTCATATACAATATATGTATACAATATTTTGCTTAAGTTCTGTTTTAAAACATTTGATTAAATTATACATACGCATGAATACTGAAAAGCTACTGAATTTTAAGTTGTACTTAAATATCGTGCTGTCTCTGTCATTTTATAAAGATTTTGTAGCGACAGAACTATAGTTAAGCGCTACTTAAAATTCAGTAGCGTTTGAGTATTTAGACATAAGTCAAACTGAAAGAATTTGACGTGTTTTCCATACCTTATGACCTATATGAGAGATTAGATCTATAAAAAAAATCTTTATACCGTACACACATATTTATGATATTCCACACGTTTATTCCAAAGATATACAAAAATATATCGCTTGCCCCAACGCTCCTAACATATCCCCAAGCGGTCCGTCCGTCGTTCTGTCTATAACTATATAACTATAATATAATAAATGTGTACAGCTTGTGTATATACACTACGACTAACTAGGCATGCTCTGATTATGCGCTGACATGGGATTTATGATGGCACAGTAATTCTTTTAATAAAATTATAGAAATTATCTTCGTTCTTTAATAAAAACTAGATTGATCGACAAATGTGAAGTGAAAACTGTCCTTAAAAATTGTATATTACAAGCAAAGCTTTGCATCATTGTAAATTCAACCATATACAAAGAAACTTTAAAGTCGAAATTCAAATAAGTAAACTAAACTCAAAAAGCGCCTAAAGTGTCAATTGGGCGGTCTTTCAGAGCGGACACTTTCTAGTTTTTATTAAAAATCGAAGGCAAAGAACTGCAAACTGCCATCACAAGCCCGTATAACAACAAAACTAATATAAAACTTTCTAACTAACTTGCATGGGGTGCTTTACAAAGGACAAGCATAGAGGAGGTCACAGTAAGGTCCCTAACCCTCCCTGAAGTGAGGACGGCACACCTAGTGGGAGAGGAACGTGTCCCCTACAAGAGGGAGAGGGCCCCTCCTCCGCCGCCGCGCAGGGCTTCGCTACTTAGGTGCGACGAGCCGACCAAGTGACTTTGGTTTGTCAACTTCATTTATTTATTGCACCGGGGAGCCAGGATTCATTATTGTGTTGTATATACTAAAATTTTTGGGGTCAAAAATATCAGGGTATGTGTCAAAATTGAAATTTTTTGCAGAAGATTTGGGTGATCTGATTAAAAACTGCAATACGTTGAGATTATCCTCCTCTTTAGAAGATGTCTTTGTTCAACAATGTATATTTTTCGGTTGATTTATTAAACCTTGCCATTTGTTGGAGAAATTTTTGGTGATTTAACTGAAGATTGTCAAGTGTGGGGAAAATGGCAAACCACCTCTCTAGAAGAAGTCTTTGTTCAGCAGTACATATCTTATAAGTCACAAAGAATCATTAAGTAATTTTAACCAAAATAAAGGGGGTACTCTCATGTCATTAATTCAGAACATATACTTCAATTCCATTACAAACCTGGCAACCCCATGGGATAGGTATGGGAGGCACATTGTGCTAATTTAGCACCAAACACCATCACTGACAGGGAAACGGGAACGAACGAATGATAATGAATGATGAATGAATGAGTGGTTAACTAAAAATAACATTTTACTCACGTAAATATACTGAGAAAACCTCATGAGTTCCTCTGTGACTCCTAACTAGTAGAACGTTTCTTTTTTTATATCATGGCGGTGGCAAAAGAAATACGCGGCCCACCTGATGGTAAGCGGTTACCGTGGCCTCTGTACGCCTGCAATACTTGGGGCATTACAAGCGCCTTGCAGGCTTTTCAAATACCTATTTCCTCAGTATATTAACGTGAGTAACCCGTCATTTTTAGTTAATTTAGTATGTCTCACGATAGTTAATATAAATATAGAGTAAATGGTTCCTAAATGAATAGGAAGCTGGTTTTTTTTATTTAGGTTATGAAGGTAAAGGAGAGGCCTGTGTTTAGCAATTGGATGACGATTAAGTGTGAATGAGCGAATGTAAAAATGTCCTTTTAATTATAATTGTGGAGTTAACATAATATCGGTGGCTAATTAAACTCAATGTTTTACTAATATAAAAGACAATTATCAAATCGATTGCCGAGAAAGAAGATTACTAATGAATTTGTTCTAATGGTACTTGTGACTACTAATTCTTCTTGTTTACCTTCTGGCATGGCATGGTGTTGGTTTCCTAACTATTGGGCTAAAACTATCACTCCCGCCATCTTGGATTCAATATCTAATATCTATGTTCAAAGTATACGTTATTGGGTTAAACGTAGGGGGGCCTAATTTGGGGATCATTAATTATTATTTAGCTTCTGTGCTATTTATGGGCAAAGAAAATACTTTAAAAATCTTACTCTTGTATCAAAAATATTCCAAAGTTCATTTTAATTCCAAATCTCGCCCATAGATATCACAAAGCTGACTTAAAACTCCTAATCTCCCTCTAACCGACTAATATAACTTTGCAGCTACGAGACCCGCCTCTACGACACTCCGCGCCCTCTACACGAGACCACAACAGAACGCCAGGAAACACTTTACGACTACAAAGAACATAAATACGGCTATGAACCTCCTAAAACCCCCCTTAGCCCTAAATTCAACGCCAGGGAACTCAAATTTGATGACAAGGAACCCATCTACTCAACCTTGAAAAAGCCTTTTGATGGAGTCGGACAAACGTTCTCTGAGCACCAGAAGTCTTCGGAAGCCATCCCTGGAGGTATGAAACACTCTGAATTCAAAGTCCACAGCGAATCTTACCAATCGTACCCCAAAACTGAATATAGTAAGACAGAATTTCGCGAAGAAGTCAAATCTCCTTTCGCGTCTACGCCTAAATTCGACCGGTCTACTGAACTAGTGAAGGCTGCTACTCCAGATTATGACAGGATCGCTTCTCCGTACAAAGAGAGCGCTAGTTACGGAGGTCCGAACTATATGGAAGAAACTACGACAGAGGTCAAAGAAATACCAAATGGTACACAGAAAATAACTACAACTAAAATCTATAGTTCTTCTCCCGTGAACCTAACTACGACTAGTACGAAATATGAACCTATCAGGCTTGATGGCATCGATGAACTATCCAAATCATTCGATAATGACTCAAAATACAGCACTTTGGACTCTCGTTTCAACACCTTAGAGTCTAAAATGAGTTCGGACACCAGCCGGTCTTTCATGAGACCCTCAGAATTCCAATCTTCAGATTATCAAGCTACAACTAATGTTACTAAAGTCAAAAAGCCTTCGGATTTAGTGAAGGAGATCGATTCCCTGGACAAGAAGTTTTCTAAGCAGACAATTACTTCGGAAACGATTGAGAGAAAGTCTGTGATGACCAGCTCACACAAATCAGAATCTTCGTCAACCATAACAAAGAAATTCGGCAATTTTTGAGGTCGGTCTAAATTTTATGTGAAATGCTTCCTTACTGCCAGAAAAAAACCTCGAAAAATAATGTAGTGTAAACTCTCATGTGATTTTTTTTACTTTACCGTTTTTTACCGCGGTAAAAAATGTTTTACCGCGGCAAAAAACTTCGAAATTTTGTTAGTGTTCGAGGTTTTTACCGTATGTCGTAGCTTAAGTGTTGAATTATAAAAGGACTATGCACGTTTTTGAAAGTACTTTGAAAAAATATTTATTAATTAATTATTAATATTAGTGTTTTGTAAATTGACGTTTTATAAAAATTCTCTGAAATTTTTTGACAGATATTTTTACTTTTTTTAATTTTTTGATTATGAACAGGGTAACACAGGTCTCGAAAGGATATGTTGGCGGGCGATCGAAAGTCCGTCCGTTCGAATCTCATCAACAGTAAAAATCTAAAGTCAAAATATCTGTCAAAAAACAAATTTGTAAAAAAAAGTTTTAAAAATAACAAAAATGTATATTAAAAATGTGTTGTTTTTGATCTAACACTGAAAATATTTATTAAATTAAAAGAGCTATAAATACTAACGAAAAATGAACTATAATACGTAGTAATAGGAGTTATATTAAAGTTAAGGTGCTAATTATAATATAATACTGAGTGTGTCTTAGCCAGCCTTAGAGATGACAAATTCAATTATTAATTGTTATTTATTGTTGGTTATTTATGACTGGGTTTAGTTATATTAAAGATATTAGAAAAAAACTAGATAACTTCGTTTTTAGGTCGAAACTACTTGAAAGATTTAGAAAATTACTATTTGATAATGAAATTTAGTATTTTACACAAAAAACAGTTTGTTAAATTAGAAAAAAATATACAAAAAGTTTATACTTAAATGATATGTCTCGAAAAATACCAATTTAAAAAGTAAACTCCTTTTTATAAAAAACATTTTTTCTACAAAGTTACAATGTAGAACAGTTTCCAAGTTTTTAAATATTACAGAAAAAATACATTAAAAAATACTGCTAAACAAGAAATCAATGATTCAAACCAAAAATTCACTTTTAAAGTCATCTTTAACATGACTAAATCCAGTGTCACTAGTGGACAATAAGCCCACGCCTCACAAAGTGCTAACCCCACGGGGTCCTTATATTCGATGCCTTCTTACGACCGAGAGTGCCATTATTATAAGTATTATATTTTTATTTATATATTATGTGCCTTCACCTTATACATTTTATAACGAGGGCTGCATACCATATATAACTATAAAAAACAAAGACACAAACGCGGCAAGCTAAATAAAACCATTTAAATATGCAGCTATGAAGATTTATTATACAAAATACAGACATTAATTAGGTAATTAATCTTGCCCAATTTTGGTAATAGATTTTAAACTTAATTGTAAAATATGTAGGTTCAAAATCTTAGAAAGCAACTTATGCAGCCCTATACAATGATAAAATGAATGTGCCATTTACAGAAAATATTTTATTTTACAAATTACCTATTTATTATTGTTAATATACTTACATTTTTTATTGAAATTTTACTAAACTAACTGGATTATATACGGCATTCTGTTACTTATATGAACTTATGAAATGAATTATATTAATATAAACTTATAAAACGACTTATAACTTCTAAATGACAGCCCAGAAGTATTTATAAGTAACTTAACAGAATGTCTTAAAAGCAGTGATCGTATGGTGCAATTATTTTGAAAATATACTAATTATATTTAATATAGATTTTATTCGTATACCTACTAATGTACTAAGAACGCAGCTTAACAATAACGCATTTAAACAGAAAGTATTTAAACGAACAAACAAAATATTATATTTTTATTGTTTTTGTTTTTTAGAGTAGTCGTGGTGTCGACAGGAGAAGTCTCATGAAATTATTTATATTATATATACGTATAATAGTAATGATAATGGATATGATAATAAAAGATCTAGTCCGTCAGTTAGGTAATGAAAAAAAAATTAGACACGTATTTTTTTATTTTGTCGTATAAGAAAACAATACATTGATAAAACGATTCCTTGTTCAGGAGTAGCTACGTCATTTCTAAGTATAAAACATACCTAGAAGTGACGTCACGCGATATTTCAAATTAATATAACGCCGAAAGTATTTGTTTCGTAAGAAAATAAAAATACGTGTGTATTGTTTTAAAATAATCTACCAGACGGACATTAAAATACCCTATTATAACTAATTTATGTAGCTAGCAAGGAGCAGGCTAATATGGATTGTCAGTTGGAAAAAAATATTAATTTTGTCATACACGTGCCTTATGTAATTCGCAGCTTTTTCTATATAGAACTCAGGCGTAATATATAAGTGTCTGGGTTCGATGCTCGCCTCGTGTATATTGTATACTGTGTACTCGTAGTATAGATGCCCGCGGAAGCGATTCGTCCACTGAAGGTAACTTAACACCAATTCTAGTAGTTTTATATATAATTATAATAATTATAACTTATAAATATTTAGAGTTATTATATATAATGTATATTTTATACTAAGTGTCATATATAATGCCGGTTCAACGTTTTAACACAAACTTTTTGGAAGTTTTGTCTAATATAATTAATTACCACATTTATTATATAAGTGACGTAGAAAGCCATATGTTATATTATTATATTTACTATTAATAATGCGTGCGTAGTACCACGAGCGTATGTTCGTGTCAGGCTAAATCGTGTCTTATTAATTTTAATAATTCTATAAATCTATACTCTTACTGTAAGACGTCGTTTTAAACGCTCAAAGTGACAGATAAATATACATTTTAAAATATTACCTACATGTTGAATTTTGACAAGAAATCCGACATTTTAGGAATATATAAAATTATTATTGGTACATGTAAAACGAATCTGATTTCAGTTTTAAGAAATCAGATATTCACAAAATTAAAATAATTATGTAAGATCACTCAAATTATTTAGTATGCAGGTAAGAAAACAAAGATTGGTTCAGTACAGAGACAGTAGCCATTGGTTGTCTAGAGCCGACTGAGTTACTAAAGACATGGCTTCGTTACAAAGCGTACAATTCAGTATAACAACGGCTACTGTCTCTGTACTAGATCTATCTTTATATCTTACCTACATACTAAATCACTTGGCTGTTATCACGTTGAGCGTTTAAAACAACGAAAAATAATTTGTAAAACTCTTGGTAATAATTATTATTAATGATAATATAATAATTAGTTTTGATACCTACTAAGTTTTTGAGTACATGAGTAAATCTCTTTAAAACCAAATGTAACTAATATTATTTAAACAGTCGCGTCGGTATCGTTTGTTAATTTAATGTAATGTTATATTTACGGTAGCTATTGTAAGCAGCATGTATGGCTCGTATCGGTGTAATAAACATGTAACTAATACTTGAACGTGTTTTATTTTCAACTAGTGAATCCTTTTAGAATGGGATCCAGGAGGTAATATAGTCAATTCAATTAAACTGTCAAACACCGCGAGGACACCGGTGACCGTAACCTATGGTTCTTTAATTGTGTCTATAATGACAGTACTCAAAGAGTTAAATGAAAAGCAGAAGTGAAGTCTCAACAGTTCAATTGCTCAGTTTCTAAACTGGTTATGTCCTGGGTATAAAATGTTATGACCATGCTAAGCTACAAAAACGTGTGCATGACACAATAGACGTCATGCCTTATCACTACTTACATAGTATAAAACAAAGTCGCTATACGCCGTCTGTCTGTCCTTATGTATGCTTAGATCTTTAAAACTACGCAACGGATTTTTTTAATAGATAGAGTGATACTTAAGGAAGGTTTATATGTACAATACATGCATATTGCACCCGTGCGAAGCCGGGGCGGGTCGCTAGTCTATCTAATTCAAATAGTAGGTAAAATTGTATAATATAAAAATTTATTTCTTGTTCTACATAAACCAGAGGGAGATTGTTAAAGGACACTTACACTGCATTTTCCCTAATTGCATACATTTACTTGCATAAGGCAAGAATACACACAATACTATAATAATAACGTCTGACTAAGTATTGTCTAGATTTTATACAAAATTAATACGCTTTTTACTTGAAATACACAAGGTTTTAAAAAATATAATTTTACATAATGTGTATCTGCGTAAAGAATCAATTAGTAATCTATTGTTAAAATTGCAGATACCTATTCATTCATGCATGATGTATTTAAACAAATGCACACAGATTAAAACTTAAACATGGATACTTTTTAATATAAATTATCCAAAATTCGAAAGTTTTAAAATACATGTCCTTTGACTTCGTTATAGACATCACGAGAAAAACCTAAGCCAGAATCTACGTAAGTATTACACTAATATTATAAACGTGAGTTTCTTTGTTTGGATGTTTGTCCGTCAATCACGCTGAAACTACTGAACGGATTTTGATGAAATTTGATTTTCATCCCGATTAATTGTTCCTATGGGATAAAACAGGAATCATATTCTACGCGGACGAAGTCGCGGGCAACAGGTAGTCAAGAAGAAAACTATGAAAAAAGTTGTTATTTTGGAAAAGAGAAGTATAACTGTAACATTTATATTTAAATGATAATTCACTTGTAATTGCAGGAGATAAATATTACGAGATTCAATAAAAAAAAGATTGAAATATGAATAGATTACTCAACTAATTGAAATTTTGTACAAAATTCTGAAATCGAAATAATAAGCAATAATAACTCAGATACGTGCGTACCTACAGCTGCTCCGAATTATTGGAAAATTGTAATTTATTTATTAACAGAGCAAACATTCAAAGAATGGCGAAGTGGTCTGAATCAATATTTGTCAAGAATTCGGTCTCATTCCGGAGTGACGCAGATTTATTAAACACTTGTAGCCAAAGTTTGTACGATGTACCCAACTAGGTAAAAATACTGAATGTGTTAACCTCGTAATATTGATTAGGTACCTATCTGGACAATTGGAAACTGCATGAAAGAAAAGCCAGTCTGATAGGGTATGCCTTACCTAAGTCTAGGCATTATAGTTTTCAGCCCATACCTCCTACCATAATACCTCCAGGCCCTTTCATCACCATACATCATAGAATTATCTAATATTAGACGTATCAATAGTGCACTTGGCAGTGAGAGGCTGTTTTTCAGCAGAAGAATCTCGATTCCCGTGCAAAATGGACATGGAGCAAGAATGACGAACACGGGTGTCGACCTAAGGCAGGCTAATAAGATACTGGCAAAGTTCAAGTGAATTCAGTACCTAATATTCATTCATTATCATAATACATCAACTGCCTTTAAGTGGCAACTGCTGACCAAAGATCTATTTTTCCTTAAGAAGAATTCGAACATTCTCGCAGAAGGTTTGAGCATTAATCACCACGCTTGTTTAATACGGGTTGGTGATTTCAAACTTATAATTAACATGATGTTTTCCTTCACCGTTTGTCAGTGGTGTCTAAATAATCTCAGAAAACACATACATATAACTCGGAAAAGTCTCATTATGCATTAACGCATGAGACGCGGGCGTCGTTAATGTCCGGGCCACCACGACTCGATTATTGATTAAGTTCTGGAATATAAATATTACTACTACTAACACCATCCATACTAGCTCTATCAAGCCCGTTAATACGGACTTAGTTCCTCAAAATTGTTCAGTTCACTACCATAAAAATACTGAAAACTCAGACACACAAACAGACAACACTAACAATATTATTCCAACACTAATTTGATGACAACAATACAAACTATAACTGCCACAGCTGTGTAAACTAAGTAATTATTCCATTGTACAAACTCGTTGGTTATTCAATAAATAAGTTGTCGATAGTGGTCCTCCAGATTATTCCACAGTTACCACTCTAGTACGCTGGTGGTCGTGTCTCAAAATGGCGAGGCATATTTTTATTTTGTTCCTGGCTATTGCATTTTCGGCAGGTAAATGACGATTATATTTTTGTTATAATTTAATATTACAGAATTGTATTGTGGAACTAACTGATTATGCAATAAGATTGAAGATTGAACACACACAGCCACAGTACAGCCAGTGCTGTGGCTAGGACACTGACTACTGCGCAAGAGGTTGCAGGTTCAATTCTCGCAAAGAATATTCTTTGTTTGGTTTACAAATTGTTGTTTTTTATGGGCAAATGGACAGACACATCACCTAGCGTCGAGCTATTAACACCATGCATGAACACCAGAGGAGATACCGACATGTCGATGGCCTTTAAAAAAATGAATTTATTGTGATCACATCAGCTTTTGAACTTTAGAAAGTTCATAATCGTATTTTCCCCACACAGTACAAGCAAAAATAATCCGCCCATGCCCTCACCTGACACACCGCTGTATCCGCGAGGTGTTGGCTTCGAACTCCGGCTGCGACAGAAACGTGATGGGTTTCATCGCCAACAAGTACACCGTGAACGAGTTCCGCTTCGAGGCACCATACTTCAACTCCTCGTACATTGACAAGGGACTCATCGTCAGGAATCATGACAAGTGCTACATTTCTGAGTTCTTGTAAGTTTTGTTTGATGCCTTTGGTACTGAACCTTGCTTCAACTGAGCTTTTAAAATAACGATCGGAATAAAAAACCATCGCTTTGGTATTTCGGTCCTTTAAACTGTCAAACACCAAGCGGTCACCGGTGACCGCGACCTATTGTTCTTTAATTGTGTCTATAAAACCGGTACTCGACGAGTTAAAATTCTTGTGAAGTTCTAACTCGATTGAGAGTCAGGGAGAGGGGGCAATGTAATGTAATAAAAATAACTTATGGTTACAATTAAATTGGTAGGCAATTTTTGAAGGGACACTTGGTCATAGAAACTGCGTGAATATATTGACCATAGTATTACAAGTAGTACTAGGGAGCATTTGCCCCGCAGTTGGATTAGACCCGATGACATTACAGACGAGAATAATGAATTTAACTTGAGACAAAGTCAATTAATAAGCAACTTATAAGAAAGTTTAAAAATCGACCCTAAATCTTGCAATATAATTTCAGCTTCAACACAGAGACGGACAAAGCGGTACTGGGCATGACGTGCCGGGACCTGGAGCTGGAGTCTGACCGAGTGCTGATACAGCATCGTACCTTCCAGGAAGACACCTACTACAACTACCACATACATGCTACTTACCGTGAGTGGGATTCTGTTCAGAGAGAAATGGAATAAGAATAACATTCTGTGTTAGGTTTCTGAAGCATAGGATAGTAAGTAGGTCGTGGTGGCTCGATATTAAAGACGCATGCATGAGGGTGCGGCCTCGAAACCTATCAACAGCAAGTACCAATGTGTCGTTTTCCGAGTTATATGTACTTTCTACAATTATTTAGACACCACTGACAAACGGTGAAGGAAAACATCGTGAGGAAACCTGGGCTTATAATTTCTAATTATAAGTTTGTAATCGCCAACCCACATTGAGCAAGCGTGGCGATTAATGCTCAAACCTTCTCCGCGTGAGAAGAGGCCTTTGGTCAGCAGTGGGCAGTTATATGATGTTGATGAAGCATAGCAAAATCTGACGCTTTTTATTACACCAAAAAGCAATTGTAATTAAACCACATGCTGGCGAGAGAGGTAGTGCTGACCATAGGTACCTACTTCTTACTATAAAGCTACAATAGACTTACAAACGACCTGCTTCGTCTTAAGTCTTAAATCATAGAAATCACCAACAAATGGTTCGATCAGATTGATTGGAAGGGTTAACGACCGTAGTAATAAACTGACTGCACGGTTTGGTGCGGTAGTTTGGCGGTTTCGATAGATCGCACGGAGCAACTCTTTGTTAGATCCACAAATTGTCGTTCCGGGTCTGTGTGTCATGTGTATGTGAACTTGTATGTTGGTAAACGCACCCACAATCAGGAGTAAATCCTAGGCAACAAAAAAAGGATAAAAACAATGATCAATAAAACCTCTCAATCTATTCGCAGCTATGCTCCGCTTCACGTGGACCCTGTCTCCGAGAAGCAACATGAACCTGTGTACCTCCCACGTATACACCGACGTCGTCACACTGCCCATCATGCACATCGACCCTAAAGGTATGCCTTCATGACATCAACATCATCAGGAATAAGTCCAAGCTGAACAAAGGGGCCTCTTAAGAGGGAGTTCATCAAAATATCGACGCAGAACGTCACTGAAAATACCCACACAATACTTCTTATCACCAACTACCCCTAAACCATTTCTTAATTAAGAATTACTTAACGTGAGGGAACCATCTAAGGTCTTAAGCTATATAAGTTGATGAAAACCAAAATGTTTTTAAATATCACCTATCTTAGTTTAGGGGTTCCTTATTTCAGAGAGTCGATGTAAACGGGCAAGTATCTTGAATTTAAGAATGTACATACATACATAACTTCACGCCTGTCTCCCATGGGGGTAGGCAGAGACTAAGGAACGCCAATTACTACGATTCTTACATACATCTTTCGCTTCATCAATAGTCATCAATCTTTTCATGCATGCTCGTCGGTAAGGGTAGGTACTTTTAATTGAAGAATGTATAACGAAATATCACTTAAACATTACAAAACGCCTTTTCCAACTACATGTTGAAATCGACATTGAATAAGCAACATTTTATATGGTCAGACCTCCAGACTGATTTCATAAGCATTCACGACATCATATTTTTGACGTACAATATCTCATATACAACAACTAAACACCACATTTATTTACAGACAGACCAACTGAGAAATTTTTAACTCGCGACCTGACGGCGCTGAACATATTCGAAAGAGAAGCATTCTTCTACACCGGCGATCTTCTAGCTAAAGTGTACATCGACACAACGACATGTTACTACAACTGCAATCTGAAATCGCTACCACAGTACCCCAACGAAGTTTGACACATTTTTTAATTAACACATATTATATATAATTACAATAGATTTACTTACAAGGGACTAGCTGACTTTGTCCGCGTAGAATATGAATTTTAGAACATAGCTGTTTTGACGTGACAACGTCTTATAAATTGGTTTGCCGGGTGACACTTCAAGAAACTGCGTTACGCTCCGCTCACGTTATGCGCTCACAATGAGAGCGAGTGAGAGGCACGCGTCCCTTCCACTCGGGCATGGTTAGCCCGCCTAAGAGCGAGAGAGACAGACATAATATTTTACCACTCAAAGTCGTTGTCACGTAAAACTTTCGCCCGTATACCGACTTTACAGGCAACCAATTCTTTTGTTTCATCTTTCTAAAATATAAGTAGCCTATGTTAATCCTTAGTACATCAGCTACCTACCAAGAAAAGTCTTGCAAAATCCGTACAGCACATTCCAGACATTAGCCAATACAAACAGACAGACAGACAGACAAAAATTGTAAAAAAATGATATTTTGGTATGCGTATCGCATGTATATTCATATGCATGTAGTAACAAGCGGTTATTTTCATATTACAGACACTTTAGTATTATTTACCTATGTGTAGATAAAATTTTGTCAATATTTTTATACTTACAAATTGTATCTTTTGAAAAGTAATCTGCTGATAGATGATTGTAACGGGTTGAAGTTAATACAGATTTCAATTCAAAATTGTTGGATTAAGACCAATTAATTATTATTATTTTGGCTATAACTTCACTGAGAATAAACTGAAGTGTAAAATTAGTCGCTTATCATGGCTAAAATGATTACTAAATAGGCAATGAAAACACTTTTATTATTATATTTTCACTTACTCAAAACAAATACACAAATTCGTACATGCATTTTTATTTACCCATCCCGACCCTAGGTACCTACTTACATAATACCTAGACCTAGCAAATTATGGCGCGCTCCTCAAAGAGCCATCAGACCACCACAGATGGGGCCCAATAGGGCCGATGCTGATTCGGAGTCGCGGAGAACCTAACGGGTAACTGGGGCTCCGGCTCGACGTGCAGGAGAAGGAACGGGGTGGTTTTTAGTCAGTAAGAGTCTGACACTCCCTTCCGCCTCACCCAGACGGGAGCAGTCATTCGATGATTTTCCCACCTTAAAAAAAAAAGACCTAGCAAATATGCACAATACATTACAATGTAACATCTACATTCCCACGTTATGTTATGAGTTCCATGTAATAGGAGGTGAGTCTATTGCCATATAACATAACATAACATCACGCCTTTTATCCCCGTAGTGGTAGGCAACTAGGCAGAAGGTGGTAGACTTCTCACTATTTATGTTATGAGTCCCATGTAATAGGGGGGTGAGCCTATTGCCATATACCAGGCACAATTCCAGACTCCGTGCTACTACTGAGAATTATTTAAAAACCCAGTACCTAATACTTTGCCCGACCCGGGAATCGAACCCAAGACCCCTTGCCCGGCAGTCGCACTTGCGACCACTCTGCCAACGAGGCGTATACCTTGCTATAACAGTGAATAGATGACAGGGTATGAAAAGTAAAAATGCATTTACTCCGTCAGTTAAGTAATGAAAAAATATTAGACACGTATTTTTTTATTTTGTCGTATAAGAAAACAATACTTAGATAAAACGAATCAAAGTTTAGTGGTGTATCTACACATGCTCGCCGGCACAATCATGTATCTTTTACCTGTGGCATGTGCGGCTTATGTGTGGTTGGTGGCAGCATGGCAGCTTGATGGCGGCTTCGGTACGGAATGATAGTGAACTCGTATTCATATATAGCATCATTTGTTTTTTATTTGATGGGTCGATGGCAATTTCTTATGAATAATGACGGAATTAAGCTGGGATGATAGTGCAGTACTTTTATTAATAGAAACTTACTTCGACACAGATCACAGTAACTCCTGTAAGCCAGGATCTACAGTAGATACAACCATGAAAACACCGGAACACTGAAGTCCGACGCGTCCCAGAGACATGAATAACTGTCTTGGTTCCCGCAACGAAGTGAATTAGAAGATATTATAAGAGGAGAAATAAAACGATACTTTTCACTTCCTTCGGTGAATTACTGCAGGAGACAGAATGCATTAAGCCTTATGGCACGAAAAGAGACTGTACAATTGGGAGAAGCCTGGTTGTATCTACTGTAGATCCTGGCTTACAGGAGTTGTAGCGGTTTTGGGAGGTTGTGGCAGACTCGTCCCAAAAAAAGAAAACAAGTGTCGCGGGCTCGGCTAGTAGGTAATAGGTATATAACATCATCACGCCTTTTATCCCCGAAGGGGTAAGCCAAGGTGCATTATAACACTTAATGCCACTGTACAATGTAACATCCACTTTCCACTATTTATGTTACGAGTCCCATGTAATAGGGGGTGAGCCTACTGCCATATACCAGGCACAATTCTCTCTCTAGTACTAGTAGATTCCGTGCTACTACTTGAGATTTTTTAAAAACCATGTAACGCTTCGCCCGGGTATCGAATCCCAGACCACTTGCCTGGCAATCGCACTTTTTTTTTTTTTTTTTTAAGGGGGGAAAATCATCGAATGACTGCTCCCGCCTAGGTGAGGCGGAAGGGAGTGTCAGACTCTTACTGACTAAAAACCACCCCGTTCCTTCTCCTGCACGTCGAGCCGGAGCCCCGGTTACCCGTTAGGTTCTCCGCGACTCCGAATCGGCATCGGCCCTATTGGGCCCCATCTGTGGTGGTCTGATGGCTCTTTGAGGCGCGCGCGGAACGCGACGCGCCGTACGCTCGGGTCTGTTTCTGGTCGGACGGGGAGCCACCCATGCTCGCCGTCCGCAGGCCCGCGCTTACGGTGGCCGGAGATCGTCCCGCGATCCCCGACGCCCGGTGTGTCCTTCGCGATGGCTGGGTCGCGAGGAGGCAGCGCTTCGCTGCCTCACGCGTCCCGCCTCCTCCTTAGCTAGCATGACTGCTTCGCAAAAGGAGGAGACGGCATCCCAGTCCCCCTCGCTCCGCATCATGGCCTGCACTAGGCCCGGACGCGAGAGGTCGCCATCGCCGATCACTTCCCTGAGGGCACGGCGGTGCTCAGCCCACGCAGGGCATTCCGCTACGGTGTGTTCCACCGTGTCCTCAGGGCGGTCCTCGCAGTGATGACACCCGGGCGTTTCCTCCCGCCCCATCAGACACAGGTACCTCCCGAAACTTCCATGTCCGGTGAGGACCTGCTTCAGGCGGTAGGTGAGGACGCCGTAGCGTCTCTCAAGCCACTCCTCAAAGAGGGGACTTACCGCTGCAATGGCAGCGAGCCCAGCCCTCGGTTGCGACAGTCGTTGCTGCCATTCCGCCATGAGATCGCGCCGGAGCTCATCCCGCCACGCAGTTATCTGGCGCGGCAGCGGAGTTTCGCCCCGGCGACGTGCCTCCGCGCGCATGTTATACACGCGCGCGAGCACCTTCGCCTCCAGATCCCACGGCGGTAATCCGGCAAGGAGGTTCGCCGACTCCCCAGCGATCGTGCGGTATCCGCGGATCATTCGGATCGCCATGACCCTCTGTGACTTGAGCAGCGTCCGAGCAGGACGCCGCAACAAGTTCGGCGCCCAAACAGGGGCGCCGTAGAGGGCCATGGACCGCACGACCCCGGCGTATAACCTCCGGCAGGAGGCGTTTGGCCCCCCGAGGTTGGGGAGGATGCGTTTGAACGCAGCCCCCGTCCTCTCCAACTTTGGAGCCAAACGTCGGAAATGCTCTATGAAGTTCCACCGACTGTCGAGGACGAGTCCTAGGTACTTCATCGCCGTCTCGACGCCGATGGTAACCCCTCCCGCCGTTATTTGGGACCCACCCGGAGGTGGCGCGTTCCCGCGGCCATGAAAACACATGGCCTCGGACTTGTGGAGCGCCACCTCGAGTCCCAACTGCCGGATTCTTTCAACGACTGTCGCAACCGCTGTCGCCATTAAGTCGGCCGCCGCCTGGTGCGACCTCCCGTGCGCTAGCACCAGCGTGTCGTCGGCGTAGCATATTGTGCTAACGCCGTTCGGGAGGTCGGTGCGCAGCACCCAGTCATAGCCGATGTTCCACAGGAGCGGCCCCAGAACCGAACCCTGTGGAACACCGCGTGACATCTCTCGCCGGTTCCACTCGCCCCGGTGACCGGGGTAGCTGACGGACCTGTCCGTCAGGTAAGCCTCGATTACACGACGGAGGTAGGTAGGCACCCGATGATATCGGAGTGCCTCCAAGATGCAGCTCCAGGGCAGGGAGTTGAAGGCGTTGGCGATGTCCAGAGACACCGCCACTACGACCTTACCCCTGGACACTGCAGTCCCCGTCGTGAGGTCTCTAACGCGCATGATGGCGTCCACCGTGGAGCGCCCTCTGCGGAAGCCGAACTGGCCGTCCGACAAGTCCGGCCCAATGTCCGTCAGGTGCGCGACGAGGCGGTTCGAAATGATTCTTTCGAAGACTTTCCCCACCTCGTCGAGCAGCACTATGGGCCGTGGCAATCGCACTAGCGACCACTCGGTCAACGAGGCAGTAATAGGTACAATAATGATAAATCACTCACCGGCCGCCAACACCGTCAAACTTCACAACTGCACACAAACAGGGTAAGCACTACAAATACTAATATAACATCACGCCTTTTATCAACGAAGGGGTAGGCAGAGGTGCACATTTTGCCACTGTACAATGTAACACTCACTTTTCACTATTCATGTTACTATTCCCATGTAATAGGGGGTGAGCCTATTGCCATATACCGGGCACAATTCCAGACTCCGTGCTACTACTGAAATTTTTTTAAACCCTGTAATACTTTGCCCGACCCGGGAATCGAACTCAAGACCCCTTGCGTGGCTAGTTTAAAATTATATTTTAAACTTATTTTTTTTTTAATTTATTAAGATATAATAATTTTGCTATAAAAATGATATAAAATATAATATTTTTCCAGATTGTCGTACATCAAGATTCCTGTCAAAGGACCTCAGTCTTATGGACATCTTTGAGAGAGAAAATTTCTATTACAGAGGATACCCCCTCGTGAGGATATTTGTCAGTTCATACATCTGTAACTATAGATGCAGGCCACATATACTTTAAAGCAAATTTATACCTTATACCAACATGTTTTGAGTTCAACATTGAATATTATTGGATAAAAATTCAATTTGGGTTTGAAAATAAATTCCTGTGTTGCAAAATTCATTTTATAAGAAAAGGTGGAATTCCAAATCGGTCGAAATATTTATTTTATGTTTATTTTTGAGATTGAAAATATAATTACATTTTGAAACGAAAAGGTTTTCTTACCAAATAAGTTTTGTTTTTCTAATTTTTATGGCCTCCCTACCCTCTTCCTCCACTCCTCTGCATAGCTTTCTGAGGTCAATCCTTATCGTAGGTATCAAGTTCGTCCCACCATCTCCTTCTGGGCCTGCCGCGACGTCTGTTAATGTTGAGTGAGGTCCACTCAGTTGCGAGTTTTGCCCACCGCTCATACGACATGCGGCAGACGTGACCAGCACAGATCCATTTTAAATCTGCGGCTTTCTGACCAATGTCGCAAGTGAAATAAGTGAATTTATTTCTGCAAATAGGCTACAAGGCAGCACTTTTACACGTCAATTTTATCAAGCGAACGATGAGGTCGACATTTCCTAACTGACTACTCTGAGAAGAAATGCCGAAACAAATTCAGAGGTCCGTCTCTTTTAAAGTCCAGACTAATGTGTATAAAAGATTATGTGTGAGAACCGTGCAAGTTCTTTCTGTAGTTGCCTTTTGAGGAAAGAACCACAACAGTTTGAGCGGACCCGTTCTGAAGGCAGTACGCATGTGTCGGTTTACAGTCAGCTCAATTAACAGGTGAGGCTGACTGATTCGACGAACAATACCAACCTAAAGAACATTAGCCAGTCAGCGATTTGGGTCATGGAGTGCAGTGTGGTGTTTCTTATTCTGTCCGATGATCGGACTCCTTAGATACTACACTCCATTGCTCGCTGGCAAACAACAACCTGAACCCTGTATTTTTTAAGGTAACAGAAGAATTTCAACACAGAATAAAACAGCAAAATGTTTTATAAACGTTTATTTATAAAAATTGTTTGACATTAGTTCTACGCATACGGACAGGCGAAGCTTACAACGACATCTTAAACTTTTTATTATCTGTGAAAAACTAATTTACAACTTTTAAAACTTGACACTTTTCACTCAAAGTCACACTTTATCTGTGCTACATTTAAAAAAAGAGGAGACCTATTCATCATCATCATACAATCAGCCACGGACTGCTTCCCACAGTCCTTTCCCTGATTCTACACATAGCGAGGTTAGAAGCGACGTTTGTGAGGTCGATATTTATTATACGCCAAAACACTATGTATTAAAGTTCAAATTCCAATAAAGAATAATCTCAAGCTGCGCCATTTTGTTTTAATTTGAACCTTAATATTGTAGTATTGTGGTATATCATCGTTTATATTTAAAGCTACTTGGCATCATTTTTGTATACAACAAGAGCAAGCAATCAGATACAACTTTTCTCGTTAAAATCTATTGTTGTCCTTGTCTTGCAAGTATATTTTTCTTGATTGTGCAACAGAGACAGAATACTGTTTTCTCAGTCTATAATAATATAACTATGTATATAATTTGTGTTTCTAATTGTATATGAAATAAACAATATTGAATTTTCAACATTTTTAAATATTTCAATATCAGATTATCAGTTATACATCCTATTATACTATATATAGAAGTTTAAAAGCAATATATAATATATTATACTTATTTATATACCTACGTAATACAATTTGAGCTTTTCTTTACCATTCCTACCATTCACTAACTAGAACCAAACCAATTATTTATCTTTAAACAATGACATCAAAAATAGGCCGCCTCTTTTTTATATATTATTCATTTATATCTACTTTATATATCTTCAAACAGGTATTATCACAGACCTAGGTTATAACAATGTTTCAAAGATATCTTTCTCTTATAAATTACTGAAGATATATATATATAATCTTTTACAATGTCCATATATATTAACTAAAGAAAAGAAAATTACATTATAATTATAGATAAACCTTTTACTATTTATGTCTTAAATACTACAAAATAACTTGTATTTTTGTCAATAACTTTTTAAGGGAATTAAAACCAATAGATTTTTCAGGCAAATTAGATATTTGAAAATAGGATTTTTTTTATCTTCCAATATAGATTTTTACTGTAAAAATTATCTATAACCATGAGTACTTTATCTTTCTGAAGCATAACATTAACGGTTTTAAAATAAACATCTATAGTTATATAATTTATTGCAAAAACTGTCCAAATTCTAAATGAGGATGACATCATTCATGTTCAGTCAAAGTTAAAAACCGTTCAGAACCAAATATCAATGTCAATTCAAAGATTTTAGACAATATTACTGAATACAACATAAATAATATTCAGATTCTGTTCAGTTAATAATTTTGGCGTTACATAATAAATTATGTAAAACTAACATTTTGATCAGTCTCAGTATAGCTGCTAGAGATAGGATTTTGGTATAAACCGCATACAAAATGGGTTCAAATTGTAAATAAATGTGTTTAATGGCCGATTTTTTAACCATCAGATAATTGAGTACTTGCTTTAATCAAAAATAAATTATTTGGACTGTTCAATACAATAAAACATTAAAAAACAATCACACTTTCATTAGATAATTGATTGTATGACGAACTGAATTTTGGTATATTTCCAGCAAATTAAAAAAATATAAGTATGGTGTTTGACGCTAAAAAAACGTGACGTCACAATACACAATCTCGTACAAAATTCACAGAAAACGTTTGTGACAGTTCGAAAACAGTATTGAATTTGACTGGTTGGCAAGTACCCGATTTTTACTTGTAGAATAAAATTGACATTAGACAGTTATTAGTATAGGAATTGTCAAATATTGAAAAATTTATCTGAGCATTGAATAATTGGCCCTAAGAAAGAAATATATTTATTCGGTACCGGTACCGGTACGATTGCAAAGATAAAAAAATCTGTAGTACTGTAGTAGCTTTACTGAGACTAACCGTATAAAACTCAGTTATACAAATAAAATCTGAAAGGTTAATGTACCCATACGTACGGAGTCTCTTTATTGTAGGTACGTTTGACATAAAGAAAATTAATAAAAATCTTATACATTTCAAAATAAGGATTATTTTTCTGTACATATTAATACGTTCAACTCTTTACAATAATATAAATTATACAGTATATAATGGTATAATAAGTAAAACTTCGTTATTGTATTACAGGACAGTGTTAACATTTTTTCTAAACAAAATATTTAAATTAACGTAGAATTGATATTAAAAGTTTATAAATAATCATAGTAATATGACATAAAAAATAATATTTATTAAGTGTATAAAATACATACAGAATTTTTATTCAAACGAAATATTTTTTTGATGAAAGTATGGACGGTTGTCGTGGCTAAAACTACGAGTGTTATTGATTTTTAACAATTTTACAAGATTATCTAAGAAATAAATAATAATTTTATACATACATATTTATAATAAATAAGAGATTCGTTTAAATAATGAGCAAAATTTTAACAGAGACTTGAAGACTCCTAATATATCTTTTAATTGAGATTATTCTCTCTATATAACCTTTTAAAGTATTATTTTGAACTCGACTGAGTGTCAAAAATAATGTCTAACAAAACTACATTTATTAAATATTATTCAATCCCACAAACATACCTATTCAATAATATTTAGCTGAAACAAAACATATATTCTTACACCTATCAACAATACGGCACCAAATGTTATTCATAATTATTTATTTATATTTAATTATAATCTATAAGTTTATTTATTGATTCATTTGCGGAAATATTTGAATTATAACGACTTGTTTAAATTTTATTTTTAGTTAAACTTTTTAATTTACGTTAATGGAAATCACACGATGAAATTAAACGAAGCTAAGGTGTTTGATATCAAGAAAAACAATAGACATTAGTCATCGCAGACTGGCTTGATTAAAACCTATTTCCGATCCCCAAAGTAGTTAGTATTTTGTGTTTTTTAAGAGGGAAAAACATCGAATCGAATCCCTGGGGAGATCGGAGGGAGTGTCAGACTCTTACTGACTAAAAACCACCCCGTTCCTTCTCCTGCACGTCGAGCCGGAGCCCCGGTAACCCGTTAGGTTCTCCGCGACTCCGAAAAAGTAGTTAGTATAAGACTGCCTTTATTAAGAGGAAAAATCAATTGACTGACTTCTCCCGCCTGGGAGAGGCGAGAGGGAGTGTCAGACTCTTACTGACTAACCACCACCCCGTGCCTAATTCTGCATAGAGCCGAAGCCCGCAGCAACTATTGCAGTGTCCGCAGCTCTTATTTGTTTCTTACACAAAATACAAGTGTTTTTTTACTAAAATGGTTAACAATATTTTTAATTTTAGCTTCAGTTTCAAACATCAATGTGATTTACATTAACTTTCATATCAGTAACTAACAGGGTTATAAGTCCAACATTATGTTTCAATAATTATTGTTCTTGCAAAACTATTACTATAGAAAATGTAATATTATTACGTCAAATAAATAACTTAAATCCTTCTATATCCTAAAAAAAACTCTAAGTTAGTTTAATTTAAACTTTTAAATTTAAATTTTAAATCCCACAAACCGTTTATATTCCTAATTAACTAGTTTACTTCGTCATCGCTCATAAGACAAGCTGAATACTTTAAGTTACTAGTTATTTGTTTCATTTTTGCATGCTTCCTTAATTTTAATATTAATTAATAATTAACGTTTTTTAATTAACTAGTTGTAATTCAAAATAATTTATAAATATCTTCATAAGGATAATTTAAATTAACCAATATCACCAATTAAAGAATGTTTACGTTCCAATAAATTCATTGGGGTAGGTAGGGACCTACCTATAGCCAATAAAATAAAAATGAGCAATTTTAAACACAATATTGAAAAAATAGTAATTTTGTAAAAAAAAACATAATTTTATTAAAAAAATCTCAATAAATATCTGAGCAAATATTTTGGACTAAGCTACAAAGTAGCTAATGGAATGCCAATAGTATTTTATAAACTAACACCAATTGTAAAATAATAATTATACCCTAATAATTTCCAAAAACCGTCTCCAAAAAATAACAAACCCATTAAAACAGTAAAAAATTAAATTTCGGTCCCATCCCCTTACTCAAAAAACTGGCCTAAATACAAGAAAATAATAATAAAAATTTCAATCCTGAATAATAAAAACTTGAAGAATAAATTTTTGAATAATAATTATTTACATTAAATTTTGATATGACATTATGAAACAATATTGATATGAGTCTTAAGTTTCAGGCGAATATACAGTTATTTGCGTAAATATTATATTGTAGCATTATCTAATACTGACTTATATTGACGATATATCATAACGTCAACTTTCCAACTTGGGTATAGGCACGTTCGAAACCACAAAGGTCACTTATGACCTAACTATATACTAGATTGTAACATTTTATATACATTATATATCATACAGGACGAAATGGTATAAAAATTACGCGCTTTTTATTTTTAACTAATGGACTGGTCGTTTGGAACTGAAGTTATTGTATGCGAGTTACAGACCATTAATTTTAACTTTCAAATTTTTTTAATGTAGGAAAAATTGATCATAGTCAGATCGAATCAGCCACAGACTGTCCACTGACTCACAATCCTCCCCGCAGACTGGACATCGCGAGGTTGAAAACGACCTGCATATAGCGGCTGTCGCAGACCTTTACCAGCTTATTTGTCCACCTTATCGTGGACGCCCTAAGTCAGCTTCGATATTTGCGCTGATGATCTGATCCAATGTTTGAATTAAACAGTTCCACTGTTCAGTTACAGACATAAAAAAGACTATTTGAAAAACCTCCTTTTTTGAAGTCAGTTACAAAAGAATGGTCTATATATAACCCGCACTATATCGATTTTTGTTTCCATACCTAATGAAACGATTTTATGACATGTTTCACTGTCTATCCGTTAATCACAGGACTCTATCTCATGAACGATAATCACTATAGCTGCTATAATATAACAATTTATTGTATGAAGATAATTTTTCTTTCATAATCTATATTCTATATGCACGATTTCATTTCGGTTATTACTTTTTCAAATTAGATTCTAATATTAGTTTATTGAAATCGTAATAAAATATGATTTTATTATACAACGCATTATATCTTATTATGTCCTTATGGCACTAAAATAATTATATAAAACGTAAATCGAATAATTTGCGACGAGAACTATTTAGAATCAACTAAATAAATAAACTTTGTAAAAAGAGGTTTTTAGAGATTCCTATAATATATATTTTAAGGAATAAATAAATTTTACGTAAATATAATGTAAGTAACATTACTACACATAAAATATGTAGTATCTCAAGTTAAACGGTAATATAAATTGAGTGTAAAATAAAAAAAAACATATATACACAGAAAAAAGAAAAAACACACAGTGTAGCAAGGCGGAAAAAATCATTAATTAGTATTAGCTAGTGTTGGTGTAAAATAGAAAAAAAATGTAGCTTGCAAAATATCGCGGTGATGTATTGTGACTAGAGTAAGCAGAACTGTGCTAAATTCATTTACTATTAGCTGCTAGTTAAAATTATGAACTATAGCAAACACAAATAATAAAAAAAAAACAGAAAAGTGTGATGTGAACACAAAATAATAAAGTCGATAAACCGATTTTTCAAAAAAATTATCGGTAGTACATAATTATATATACTATTGCACTAATTAAAATAAAGTTTACCACTATAACGGTAAATTTAAATAGAAATAAATAATTTCATTCAATTCCTTTCTCATTTTCAGCTTTTGTTCATAAGATGGCAGAAAAATATAATGTAATTTCGTGTGTCATTGTAATTTATAATATATTGCGTTCTCATTAAAGCATAAATTGCATTGATCCTAATTTAATTGACAAATATGAACTTTACAACGACACTATAAACTCATTGTGTACTTTAATATAAAAAAAAAACAAAAAAATTCGAAAATTGAGCAACTACCAACAAAGAAAAAATAAATAAAATAATAAAAAAGTATCGACTTATGAAACTAATTTCTCAAAATAAATATCAACTTTCAGGAGTTTCATTTTTCCAACATTCGAGAGGAGGTTTTTTTGTTAGTTTGTTTAAAAACTTATATATCATAGAACGGTTACGTTGACTTTCCTTAATCTGAAATGGAGTAAAGAAAAAAAATATGAAAAAAAAAGTAAAATGAGCAAAAAAATCTAATCACTACGAGAATACGTTTCCGAAAAGAATATCATTAGAATTTTTACTATTAAAAATTACTTTAAAATAAGTACTATATAAGTATTATAGTTATATAGTTTAGATTAAAACAAAAAAAAATCGTATGGAACACTTTGTGATCGAAAATTATTTTCTTGGTACTAAACATCGATAAATATTTTTATTTTATAGATAACAAAACTTATTTACATTTTTATAATATTGAAATAACGAATTAAATAAAATATCATAAAGTTGTAAAATCAATTATACACGGTGTAAACGGATCGCCCCCGAAACGCTGACAAAAAGAAATTGTTTTTACACTTGGGGAGTTTCCAGGGTATCAAAATTAAAAATCTAATTAGTCCGTCAGTAAGACAATGATAAAATATTAGACACATATTTTTTTATTTTCTTCTCGTCTTAAGTTGCAATACTTAGATAAAATGGCGCAAGTTTAGGAGTGGAAGGTCGTTACGTCATAACGTGCTACAAATCACGCTGTGACGTCACACGATATTTCAAATTAATATATCGTCGAAAGTATTTAATTTTGTGAGAAAAGAAAAAATACGTGTCTAAAGTTTTAAATTAATGTACCAGACGGACATTAAAATAAAATTTAGGAAACTACCCTATTGTAATCGTTTTTGTTTACGTCTTATTCATACAACATAAACCTTGAGCTGTTCATTAAAACTATAATTACATAAAAGAAACATTTAATTCCTTACTTTTATGAAAATAGTTTTCTATCATCTTTATTCGGGAGTGTTCTGTTCACAACCAGTATTGAAATAAAAAAAAAATAGTAAAAATTGCTAATGATATTAAAAAAAATAAAGTATTATATTGGTTACACAAATATAGTATTTACGCGCAATTTTCAGAGGTTTGAACATTTTTCTGTTGATAAGCATAATTACGGCTTACTCGACCGGCTCGAAAACAAATGAGATGCGGTTTTGAATTGAAAGTAGTCGAATTTCTCTCAAAGCATTTAAACTGTCAAACACCAAGCGGTCACCGGTGACCGCGACCTATTGTTCTTTAATTGTGTCCATAAACCGGTACTCGACGAGTTAATTGAGTAAGCTGTATATTTATAATAAAATTTCTATGCAAAAATATATTGTTCTAAAGCATTTTATGTGACATATTCAATTTCATTGAATTATCTTCACACAATATTTTAGATAGGAGAAATCTATAATATTTAAATTAAAATCTACATGTCTTTGCTCATACCTCTGAAAATCAAATTAAAGGCATAATAAAACAAAAAAATAGCTGTAAAACTACTGAAAATTAATGAAGCAATTGGTTATGTGCATTGTGCAAGCTAGCATACATATCAGGTACATTCGAAGCACACAACAATGATATATAAAGTATATATATGTTATATATTATATATGGCATATATAAGTAGTCCACTTATTGTCAAAACTTATGTTGATCGTCTAAAATAAATTATAAATACGAACTAAACAATTGTCATTGGAATATCAACGTTAAAAAATTACTTATAGAGTTGAAAGTTTAATTTTTATTATGCTTACATTTCTAGAAGCTGCATATAGAACTTTTATTTTAATATAAAAAAAAAAACAAAAAAATATGTAGTTTTTTTTTCTTATGTAAACTTTATGTCATGATTATGTCAACAACAAAAAAATTGGTTGCCTGTAAAGTCGGTATACGGGCGAAAGTTTTACGTGACAACGACTTTGAGTGGTAAAATGACGCGTGCCTTTCACTTTTTATGTCTGTCTCTCTCGCTCTTAGGCGGGCTAACCATGCCCGAGTGGAAGGGACGCGTGCCTCTCACTCGCTCTCATTGTGAGCGCATAACGTGAGCGGAGCGTAACGCAGTTTCTTGAAGTGTCACCCGGCAAACCAATTTATAAGACGTTGTCACGTCAAAAAATATGTTATAACAGTCGTGAAACATACTAAATTAGTTATTTTTTTTCGGCTTTCTCAGCGGAGTTTTTATGACATCCTAAAGTCAAAATGGTTCCATTGAGAGAAAGAAACAGAGCTATACAAGTCGTCTAGCGAGATATCGTTCTCTCAGCGGAACCACTCCGGCTTTAAGACATCATAATACGCCACTGTAACTGTATGAACAGCAACAGTAGGCGTCGGGTGCCGCAGAATGCTGCTCATGAATATGAGCCTCTAGCATGCCTTGAAACAAGTTCCTCGTCAAATAATTACGTGTGTAAGCCGAAAAAGACAATAATAAAAAAAATGAGATTCATAGTAAATATCGATTTGCATATTTCAATAACAATTATAATAAAGTTAGTAACTCTCTATATTAAAGCTATGTCGCTAAATATCACGGAATGCCACAAGTGTACTTAACAACCGTTTCCACCAACAACCCCTAAACCACCTCTTAACTAAGAGTTACTTAGTGTGAGGGAGCATTTAAACTAACCAAACCAACATATTTGTTCTTTTTTATTCTTGTGTCAGTATAGTAATTGTCATTAATAGATTAGCCTGTCTTAGCTTAAGTAATCATTTAAATTTAGGAAATGTTAACCACCCCTAAACCACCTCTTAACTAAGAGTTACGTATCGTAACGAAGCAGTTAAACTAACTCCTTACCTTTACCTATAGGCTGGAAAAAACCAAAATATCGGTAAGTGTAACTTACCTAAGCTTAGGGGTTCCTTAAAGTTTAAGAGCGGTTGGTGAAAACGCGCATCGGTATTCTACTTACCTACTAAAGACCAAGTCTATAACTACCCCTAACCATTATCTGAACTAAGATACAAAGGCAACCGGTTTCCCAAATTTACCCCCAAACAGGGTAAACTACTCTCACTAGCGACCCTTACCCCGAGTTTTACTCTAAGAGGGGTAAGGGTAAATCTAACTGCCGGGAATGGGGGCTACTGTATTTATGCCCACTAGATGGTGCAAATGATGAAGAGGATTTTGTCTAATCACTGCAGCTGTCAAATAATAGCGTGACACTAATTAATTATCTATTGGACGAAGAAATGAGAGGTTCACACCACCATTCAGTGAGCAAAGATACAGTAGCCCATGGGGGGAAAAGCGATTTCACTATAGCTTTTCACCCCCCAATAAGTTTAAAAAGCTTTACTTAAATACATCGTGTATTGTCAACAACACTACTGAATTTTATAATTATAATGGTAACGGCATAATATGAATACATTAGTCACCGACGCCCTCTTCCAGCGGGTTTCGTGTACCCGACTAACTACTAACATTAGACAGAGACCGTGCAGCAGCGCTCTCTGATAAACCTGAACCTTTTATACTGCAATCTTCAACTCGCCTGCTAAGCATCATCAACAGTCCTTGACAGTCTAGCTGGGCTTATAGTGAAATACTCAAACACCACTCAAGTTTAAAACGCTATTAAGAATGGCCTTGGTTTATAGGCCCTTAGCATGGCTTGAAACTAGTCGAGTTCCTCGTCAATCAGTTACGTGAGTAAGCCAAAAAACGAGCAAATTAATACTTCCGTAGTTTTATTCACAATACACGAATTATTTTAACTATTATGAGATTCTTTTTACGCGTATTTATTTTATTTAGTATTAGAAAAGAGTATAAGACGATTTTGATACCGTTCCGAAATTATCGGATACGAAAAATCGATTATGTTTCGGATTTTTCGTATATGGGCGGAGTCTACATAGGACTAGTTATAGCTGCATTTTTTGTTCAAAAAACCTATTTGTTCACTCATTTAAGAAAAACATATTATTATTTTTACGCTATCGTTTAGTCCATTAAGTCGTAAATTCAATAAACAATTTCATTCTATATTAAAGAAAGGATTGATCATGCTAAATTGAACTTAACAAGCGACGTATTAAAGATCAAATTTCAGTAATGTTCCCAAGAATAAAGTGTTTGATAAAATATAAGGTACGTATATAAAATTGCGATGGTGGCCATGCGCAACCCATTTTATACTTTATTACAATCAGCATAGGACTTAGAATAGCAACCAGCACTCCACCTTGTAGATGTAAAAAGGGACTAGAAGTGACATTTGTTTTATATCAAAATAAACTTTATTTAAAAAAAACTCAAGATCAATTTTTTTTACCGCACCTGTCTGAACGCTATTAACATCTCACGATTAGCCAGACCGATTTTGATATGGTTTTCAAAGGAGTATTTGTTACACTTAGAAAAAGTCGTAGCTTTAATCTTTTAGACGACTTTAAAAAATGGATGGACCGTTTTTGATGCGGGTTTTTTTAGACATATGGCCTGATATTCATCCGCTCAGTAGATAAGTATAAATAATAGTATTTTTTTCATTATTCTCATTTGAAATTTATTTATTTATATAATTCTATTAACATAACTAAATATAATTGCATTACATTTAATTATATGATTTTCCTAACACTTTTTCAATTGAGCGAACTTTTTAAACAAGTCACATCTAGTCCATCTTTACATCATTTCCATCCCCATTATAAAGGCATATATTTGTTCTACAAGTTATTTGTTCAGAACCGACGAGATTAACAACTCTACTTCCTTAGCCATAAGGCTCATTTTCCAATGCTTTTTACGAATATATTGCCATGTAATAATGGTTCGTAATAGTGAAGGAATAAGGTTGTATCTCGTGTGTTCTGTCAGCTAATGTTTAGATAACCGTTTAGGTGGTGTTTTTGGTTTAAGTCGATCCTTCCTTACCTGAGTCAGTCGAATTCGTTCGCATCTGTAATTCAGAACATTTTAAATGTTAAAATTTGGTAGTTTTCTCAATTATTTTGAGTTTTCAATATATCCATTGATATACATACTTGATGTTTGTATTTTTCTAGCTAGGATAAACAAGAAAACATTAGTTTCTTATCCGAACCAATAATCGAATACGCGACACTTGTAATCACTCAACTAAATTCAAAAAACCGCAAAAAACAAACAATAACGCATTAAATAAATTTTCTATCCGTCTTTCATTCACTCTTAATTTTTTCCTTTCACGACCCAAGAAACGAACCCGTCTCTAGTAGCTAACCACAAAAAATATACATACGTATCAAGTAGATCAGGTTTCTGCAGCTGTTGATGCAATTTGCGCAAGTTCTCCAACGGGATGCGATGTTCCGTGGCGTGCGCGTACGCATGACAGTTACAGTTCACCCAATCACTGCCCGCCTGGTACGAGAAGCTGGAGTCGTTGCTGGGGATCAGGCGCGGACGTGCGCGGGCGGCGCACATACCTGGAACAGTAATCACGATATATGTTTTATGATAATACTAGCTTCAACCAGTGGGTTCGCCCGAGTTCCCGTAGAATAAAAAATAGCCTGTTATACATACATAACATCACGCCTTTTATCCCCGAAGGGGTAGGCAGAGATGCACATTATGCCACTGTACAATGTAACACCCACTTTTCACTATTTATGTTATGAGTCCCATGTAATAGGGGGTGAGCCTATTGCCATATACCGGGCACAATTCCAGACCCCGTGCTACTACTGAGAATTTTTTAAAAACCCTGTAATGCTTTGCCCGATCCGAGAATCGAACCCGAGGCCCCTTGCCCGGCAGTCGCACTTGCGACCACTCGGCCAACAAATATCTTCTAGTCTGTCATCATTATCTACAGCCTATAAACGCCCACTGCTGACCAAAGGCCTCTTCTCACACGGAGAAGGTTTGAGCATTAATCACCACGCTTACTCAATTCGGGTTGGCGATTTCAAACTTATAATTAGAAATTATAAGCCCAGGTTTCGTCACGATGTTTTCCTTCACCGTTTGTCAGTGGAACAATAGAACTTACCAGTAATAAAGATGTCTTCAAGATGGAAATAACTAGTCCTGAGTGCAGCTCGGTAGAGGGCGTTGGCAGCGTCATATGAAAACGCGTATGCCGTACCAGACAGGTACTTGGGGTACACCCTACCAGCGTACATGTACTTAGGACTGTACCTGAAAATATAATACCACATTTGTTTTGAGTGTGGGAGAGCGATGTTTCGGCACGAATGGGCCGACTCGACCGGACCACGGCCTCACAGAAAACCGACCACGGCCTCACTGGAGGCCACGAGTTCACCGGAGACTCAATAACTCCCCCCCTCCCCTTCCCCAATCTACCTAATCCCTGAATTCCTAAAAATCTTCAAATTCCTAATCCGCATAAGGCCGATAACGCACTTGTTCCGGGTGTCCATGGGCGACGCCGATTGCTTACCATCAGGTGATCCGTTTGCTCGTTTACCGGCTTATGCCATAAAAAATACTAAATTAACTAAAAATCGCGGATTACACACGTGAAAACGTCACGCTCAAGAGGAAGAGCCCCTCTGTAGCCCGAAACTAGTAGAGCTTTGTTCAGTACTTTCACATGAGTAACTCGCGTTTTTTAGTTAATTAAAAATGAGTTTAAAAACGTCCAAACATTAAACTCTAGGTCTTACCATTTATTACTAGAATCTAGAATAGGTCGAGCTCCACGTATTAGGTGTCCCGTGAGTAGGTATTCCTTGGAATTCTGAATCTTATACTTTGCGTCAAACTCCTGCGATTTATTTTTCAAAATATCCATAAGATTCGGCACGTTGATGTACATGTCATCATCTGACTTCAATATATAGCGAACTGAAATACATATAATATAATTAAACATAACTTTTATCCCCGAAGAGGTAGGCAGAGGTGCCCATTACGGCACATAATGCCACTGTGCAATGTAACACCAACTTTTTACTATTATGTTACGAGTCCCATGTAATAGGGAGTGAGCCTATTGCCATATACCGGGTACAATTTCAGACTCCGTGCTAATACTGAGAATTTTTTTATTTAAGGGTTATTTACTGGTACTTTAGCACGAGCACTCGGCCAACGAGCATATAATTAAAGTTACTTATTATTCGAAAAACGCTCGACTACTTTCAAGCCAAACCGGGACGTTTAATCATGAGACGCATGTTGTTTAAACGCGCTATACTCTGGAACTGCTGGTCCGATTTAAATAATTCTTTTTGTGTTGGATAGTTCATTTATCCAGGAAGGAACTAGACTATAAAACATAACGCTAAGATCAAAAGGAGCGGAGCAGCAAGTGAAACTGCATGAAAGTAGCTAGTTAGACATTATTGTGTGAAACTCACCACTATTATTACAGTTACTGGTGATCCACTTCAGCAGCATTATAGATTTCAGCGTCAAGTTACTGTAAGAGTCTATGAACCTCTCCTGTATGATATCTCCATACTTCTGCACCTCCTCTTCAATCTTATTCTGGATTAACGAATCATTATCATTAGCTGGCAACCCCAACAAAAACACAACCTTATAATCCACATCGGTGTTGCCAAAATCAGCATTCTCCTCTTTCATTTTCCGAAAATTCTTATTTAATTTTAATAATGTCAATACTTTTTCTAAATCAGGCGATTTTTCGTAACCTCTAGGAGGGATTCTCATAACATTTGTGTCGTAATAATCATACGTAGCTTCAGTTTGATCGCCTAATTGTTCATTCATATCAAATTCTGGCAACATTACGTCATCTTCGAACCTTTTCTCTTCAGGTACTTGTTCGTCAGTCTTCTCATTAACCAGGTTGTCTTGTAACGCTTTAGCCAGTCCTGGCAGGAGCTGATTAAAGCTAGATATGTACCGTTTAACTCTAGAGTATGCCCTATTGACATACGTCTCCGTATAAAGGTCGTAACTATAATTGTAGTTCGCGTATTTTTGCTTAACTGCTTTATACAACTTGGTCATTTCTCTATACGTGGAGTAATTCCCCCAGGTTTCTCTTATAGTTTGCCTCCTGTCAAAGTGGACGGTGGCTGAGCAGACCACTATGAGTAGAAATAATTTATCTTTTTGTTTCTTCGTGCATATGTGTGTGGGGGCGTGTATTGTGGTCACGTTGTTCGGTTGTATGTACACCTTCGTGTCACGGTTTGTGTGCATCGACCAGCCCGCGACTGTAGCTACAAATTATATACAGTGTCAGTAAATAATATAGATCAGAGCCGTTTTCTGAGGCAAACTACAATTGCCTAGGGCGTCAGGTTATCAAGGGGCGCCGAGAGACATGCGTGACATACTGCCCATAGAGTGGCGGCAGCGCCAAAATATATTAGGGGCGCCTATGATAGTGCGTTCCTTAGGTTTAATACGCCTCTAATACAAATTACTGGATTACAAGGCATTGAAAATTCGCATATAGATATTTGTTGCAGTTAAATATATACCCACTCAAGAATTTTCTCCCATGTCGTGAGTGTGTTAACAAAAGTCAAAAAAGAACAATGTTTCCACACGTACAAAATTATTCCGTGCTAAAAACACACCCACGACACGATGGAAGCTATTCTTTTATACTTTCAATGCTGACTTCATATCCAGAACAATAATTTCTGTACACACAAAGAAACACCCATGATTAAATCACACCCCACGACTCAAGAGACGCTAGTCAAAAAACTTACCTTTAGAAATTTGATCATTGGCCTTAATATATACAGGTATATACAGAAGGACACAGAAGAGTATCATCGCTGTGCAGAAGAGAAAGAACTTGGCCAGCAGTGTCAGGGTGGACCGTCTCTCCCGATCCTCGATCTTCGGCGAGGAGTATGGGGATATACGGCGGGTTTTGTCATATCTGGAAAAGCGCAGCCAATTAAACATGATCATCATCATCATCAACAGCCTATAAGTTGCCAGGCCACTGCTGAGCAAAGGCTCTCACACGGAGGTTTGATCAATCACCACGCTTGCTCAATGCGGGTTGGCGATTTCAAACTTATAATTAGTATAAGCCCAGCTTCCTTCACGATGTTTTCCTTCACCGTTTGTCAGTGGTGTCTAGATAATCTTAGAAAGTATATATTATTATGACTCGAAAAAGTCACAATTGCATGGTTTTATGATAATTATCGTATATACATCCTTACTAATATTATAAATCGGAAAGTGAGTTTGTTTGTTTGTTCCACTTTCACGCCGTAACTACTAAAACGATTGCTTTGAATTTTTGCAGATGTGAAGTTAGAAGTTTGGATTAAATAATAGAGTACTTTTTATCCCGGAAAAATGTGATATTCTCGAGGGAAAACGAAATTATTGGTATAGATGGCGCTGTGTATATTTGTATATGTCACATAGGCTACTTTTTATCCTTTTGTGACGCGAGGGAAGCCGCGGGTAAAAGCTAGTATTGAATAAACTAAAAATTACGAGTTACGTAATTAGACTGAGAAAAACTCTAGTAGCAGAAGAGGAGGAAAAGATGAAGGCTACCTCTGTGACTCAAAACAGTTACGTCACATTAAAGAAAACTACAGGGAACTACTAGGGAACAGAGAGTTAAGTTCCCTAATTTCGGAAAAGGAGGATCCTCCGACCAGTGCCTGTAGCCAAACGCCACATCAGCGCTTGTTTATCGAGAGAGAAGAAAACTAAATATATGGGGATGACACTGACAAGTGTCAAAATTTACGTCAATTCCATATAATTTAGTTTTCTATTCTACATGTAGACAAGCGCTAAACGGCATTCGGCTACAGCTGCAGGTGATCGAGCCTGCGTGCGTGAGAAAGCCCGCCGGCTTTCTGCCCAACAGTTGTTCGTTGACATTTTATACCCGTGTTAATTTGCATGTTAACTTTGCATGTGCAATGTAGGACTTTTGTGACGTCATCCGCTGATCGTTGATCCGTCATTTAACATGTGACATGTGTACTTGCCAGGTTTCGAACCCGCACCCTAATATTTCTGTCAAATTCATAATATGGACAGCTATAGTCAAACCAGTGACCTCTTACGCCATTGACAACAAATAGGATAATTGTCTATTAATCTATCATCTCGGGCCCGGGAGTTTGACAGTCAATTTATCAATCACGAGGTCACAGGAGCAATTATTTAAAGTGCTTATTATGACATATTTTTAATTTATTGATCTTCATAATGTTTATTTAACCTATATCTATTGCCGAGGCGTGACTACTGAACAAGTTGTTTCGAGTTCGATTCGCGACATTAACATTAGACAAATTATGTGAAACAAAATGTATGACAAAACCAGACATTAGTAGCGGTTTTTATCGACCACCCCTAAACCATCTCTCAACTAGGACTTATTTAGAGTGAGCACCTAAACTAATCCCTTACCTGTCCTGTTAGGTGTAACCTAAAGCTTAGAAAACGAAATTGTCGTCAAGTGCCCCTTGCCTCAAGAAGCCATCAAACCACCACAGATGTGACCCAATAGGGCAGATGCCGATACGAAGCCGCGGAGGGCTTTTTTTTTTTTTTTTAATGGGGGAAAATCATCGAATGACTGCTCCCGCCTGGGTGAGGCGGAAGGGAGTGTCAGACTCTTACTGACTAAAAACCACCCCGTTCCTTCTCCTGCACGTCGAGCCGGAGCCCCGGTAACCCGTTAGGTTCTCCGCGACAAGCCGCGGAGGGCTTAACGAGTTGCCGGGGCTCCGGCTCGAAGTGCAGAAACGGGGTGGTTTATAGTCAGTAAGAGCCTGACACTCCGTCTCGCCTCACCAAGGCGGGAGAAATCATTGGATGATATTTCCCCGTAAAAAAATGCCTCCTATCTTAGTTTAAGGTATTTTTAAACTTTAGGAGATGACAAAACGGCCATTGGCGCTCTCTTGCGCTTCTTAGTTAAGAGATGGTTTAGCGCGGTTGGTAAAAACGGGCAGTAGTTCCATAAACAGACTGTTTTATACAGTATCTCACCTGTGGGACAAGATGGGACTTTCATCGCTGTCTCGTGAGTGGTATAGTCGTTCGTCGTCATACCAGTGATGTTCACCATCCATAGATATTTATCTACAAACAAAGAGAAACAAAATTACATAACATAACATCACGTCTTTTGCCAGTCGACGAATGCCATTGTACAATGTAACACCCACTTTTCACTATGTATGTTATGAGTAATACGGGGTGAGGTTATTGCCATATACCGGGCACAATTGCAGACTTCGTGCTACTATTGAGATTTTTTTTAAAACCCAGTAGTACCTTTCCCGACCCGGGAATCAAACCCCTTGCCCGAGTCTCAGTTGCGACTTCTCGGCCAACGAGGCAGTCAAACAAGAAGAAACAAAATTGTTTATGCAAGAAATTTTCTTATCAACTTGTACTAGCGACATTTACTTATTTCCTAATACATTAATACATTTCTATTATTATTATTATTTCACACAAACCTTGGCCAAATGACAACGAACACAACATAAAAAAGAATTATCCAATTTGGTCACGTCATTTTTTTATGGTATAAGCCGGTAAACGAGCAGACGGATCACCTGATGGTAAGCAATCAACGTCGCCCATGGACACCCGAACTCTAGAGGTGTTATAAGTGCGTTACCGGCGTGGCCTTTTAGGATTAGGAATTTGAGGATTGTTGGGGACTCAGGGATTGGGGGGGGGGGGGGTGGATTAAGCCATTTAAGAGTTATGTGCGTGTGCATACATTTTTATTAATTATGCAAAGCTTGTTCACAAATGCTGTAGAAATAATGTAGAATACTGTTTAATTCCGCCCAAATTGTTTAGGAGCTCGAAAGTGAATGAGTAACTTTTTTTACGGAATAGGAGGCAAAAGAGCGGACGGATCACCTGATAGTAAGCAATCGACGCTGCCCATGGACACCCGGAACACTAGACGGGTCTCAGGTGCGTTGCTGGCCCTTACCATTACTAACAATTTTGAAGTAAACTTACTTTTTTAATTATTTTACTACCCCACGACCCATTTGATTCGCGTTTGCAACCAATCGACCAGTGAAGCAATCAATTAATTCAAATTAGTTACTACTTATATGATAACTGATTACAAAACATGAGTCAGTGCAGTGACATTAATTTATGAGTGACATGCACTGCTCCAATGAAGTTCACTAATTGAAACAAATCATACTAAAGGCTATATGTTACATCCGAGAAATAGCCGTGTGGGTCGGCAGAGAATAGTGTGGGAGAGCCATGCTTCGGCACGAATGGGGCGGCTCGACCGGAGTGATACCACGGCCGACCAGAACACCGACGTGAAACAACGCTTGTGTTGTGTTTCGTCGTGTGAGTGAGGTTACCGGATGCCCAATTACCCCCAGTCTCTCCAATCCCTGAATCCACAATCCTCAAATTACCAATTCCCAAAAGGCCAGTAACATACTTGTCACGCCTCTGGATTTTCAGGTGTCCATGGGCGGCGCCGATTGTTTACCATCAGGTGTTATTTTGGTATGTGTAATGTGTATCGTGTGTATATTCAAATGCATGTAGTAAAAAGCGGTTATCTTAATATTACAGACACTCCAATTTTATTTATCTGTATAGAAAGAAAAAGCATTTATTTGACAGTATGCACGCACGCAGATACAAAAGTAAAAAAAAGAAAATAATTAGATCATCGATTAAGATAATTCTCTGCATTATTTAGACGCACTAATCTTCACAAATACGAAAAATCTTTAATTTTATTGGGCCAAGCAGAGGGTAAAATGGCGTGAGACAAACCTAGTAGTGGAAAATAATGACATTCACTCAAATCTGGTTAACACTGGATTTCCAAAGAGCCTTGCAAACGAACATCAGGAAACACAAGGTGCTTTAAAAGTGAGTACAAATAATATTGTAACTATGTAACAACTGGTGTGATTGTACAATTGTCCATACGCTATAAATACTGAGTGAGCGGCAAGCGGTGTGTCATGTCGTCCATTACCGATATACTGGAAATAGACAATTGGCTACACCCGCCATATTGCATTAGGATGCGTTCATATTCACGATGTTTTAACGCACAATGCATATATTAAACTAGGTTGCCAATGCCGGCTTCATCTGCGCTCACGGGGGTAAAAAGTAGCCTTTGTGTTTTTCAGACTATTATCTACATCAGACCACCACAGATGGGGCCGATTCGGAGCCGCGGAGGACTTAAGTCCTAACCCGTTAAGTCTTAACGGGTTGCCGGGGCTCCGGCTCGAAGTGCAGGAGTAGGAAAGGGGTGGTGTAAAGTCAGTAAAAGTCTGACACTCCCTCTCGCCTCACCCGGGCGGGAGACGTAATTGGATGATTATCCCCCCACAAAAGAAATAAAAAAAAACATGATCTACCCTTGTTCCAAATTTCACACCGATCTCTTTGTCCATTTTGACGCGGTTGAGTAACAAACATACACACAAGCACAAATTTTCACATCACTACATAGTATAAAACAAAGTCGCTATCCGCCGTCTATCTATCCCTGTGTATGCTTAGATCTTTAAAACTACGCAACGGATTTTGATGCGGTTTTTTTATGTAGATAGAGTGATTCTTAAGGAAGGGTTTTGTGTATAATACATGCATATTACACCCGTGCGAAGCCGAGGCGGGTGGCTAGTGCAATATATTATTAAGATTATCATCGTCGTCAACAGGCCGTAACAATCAACTGCTGGAGTATGAGTGTCCTCTACATTTGCTATAACCTTCACACTTAGCAGGCAGGTTGGAGATCGCAGTTTGAAAGGTTCAGGTTTAACAGAGAGTGCTGATGCCCTCCTACATAACATAACATCACGCCTTTTATTCTCGAAGGGATAGGCAAAAGTGCACATTACGGCACTTAATGCTACTGTACAATGTAACACTGACTTTTACTAATTATGTTATGAGTCTTATGAAACGGGGGGTGAGCCTATTGCCATATATCAGGTAGAATTCCAGACTCCATGCCACTGCCACTGGGAAATTTGACATAAAACCCAGTAATACTTTGCCCGACCCGGGATTCCGAGACCCCTTGCCCGGCTGTCGCACTTGCGTTTGCGACCACTCGGCCAACGAGGCAGTCAAATGATGATATTTATTTGTACAAATTATAAAATTTCACCTTTACATGTCTATCTTTAAATTACTAGATGAGGTATTTCCTATCTGATTAATCAGAGAAGAAATGACGAAACAAACTCAGAGTGTCCAGACAAATACAGAATTGATATTGTAGTGGTCTTTTGGGGAAAGAACCACAAGTTTGAGCGGACCTGTTCTGACGGCAGCACGTATGAGTCAATTTCTAATCAGTTCAGCCCTTTAATAGACACTACTTTGCAAACTATCGTGTTTTTCTTCTCCTCTTATAATATCTTCTGATTCACTTCGTTGTAGGAACCAAGACAGTTATTCATGTCCCTGTGACGCGCCCGACTTCAGTGTTCCGGTGTTTTCATGGTTGTATCTACTGTAGATCCTGGTGCACAGGAGTTGCAGCGGTTTTGGGAGGTTGTGGTGGGCTTGTCGCAAAAAAAGGACACTAATTTGCCCTACAGGTACCTGAGCACTACCACTTCGCTATCATAGAAGTACAACTCAACTAATTACGTCATATGTGGAAGTTAATAGTTTTCCCGTTTGTTTGACTACAAGGAATAACTAGGAATACAAGCACCATTAATTGACTATTAAGTCATACGGTGATTCCCAATGATGTCAAACTGTATAAATATTCTTGTTTCATTATTCTTGTTTATGTAACCTTTGGTGTTCCAGGTATCCATAGGCGGCGCTGATTGCATACCATCAGGTGATCCGACTGCTCGTTTACCGACTTATTGCATTAAAAAAACCAATGTCAAGACTATACAACCCCAATCATAGCTGTTAAAATAATATTCAGAGTACGGAATATAAAACCAAACTCAATACCATTTAGTTCATTCTATATCCACGCAATACGGATGCAATGGGCGCTGTTGCAACTCAAGAGTATGAAATTTCATGTCGATCGATCGGAATTGAATTCAAGAGTAAGCCCCCTGACCTGATCCTTTTACAATGCGATCTCCAACCCGGCTGCTAAGCACACGTGACGGTTATGGTAAACCCCTCTTTTGTAGCGGAACCTCATAATCCAGCAGTGGATTCTCACGAGCGTTTGATAATTATAAAATAGAAATAACTAATGGCTGATGTGAAATCACCCTTATGTTCGTTATAATAGATAGTATTTTAGTTTTTAATAAAAATAGTGTTAGCCTTGACTATAATACCTATACCTACGCTATTACCTTGCGTTCAAACGATCGATTTTTATTGCTTTCACAATATGTCGCTGCTATTTTGAATACTATAAAATTTGTTTGTTCTTCTCCATTCGAAACTACACTAGCTACACTCATCACTGACGGACAGACGGACGGACAATTCTATTTTTGACGGATTTTTAAGGATTAAATGAAATCAAGTAAATAATTGGATTTGATGTTTAAGCCTTGCTTTCAAAGGAAGGTCTATAAAGGAGAATTTTTAATATTATTTTTATTTAAAACCTCGTCGTAGATATTTAACGCAAATCATTTCGATTCTATTACTACTTCTGATCGACCGATGTGGAAGTCTTTGGGGAAGCCTTTAGTTTTTTTTTATTTGATGGTCTAACGTTTGCCCACTATCTCGCCTGTTGGTAAGTGATGATGCGGTCTACGATGGAGCACGTCGTCCCGTAAGCAACCTATTCACTCGGGCCTTGACACACCTTGTCATTAACAGCCTGTTTTCGTCCAATGCTGGACATAAGCCTCTCCAATGGCACGCCACTGAGCTCGGTCTTCAGCTCTACGCATCCAACCACTACCAGCTTGACACACCTTACCCTTCAGGAAACACAGACTTGGGCAAAAAATTCCACTCCTAAGCAGGTGTGCAATGTCCATTTTCATCAAACTTAATACTAGATTTTAAGGAATCCCATAAGCATAAGATAGGTAACATTGAGCGACATTTTGTTTTTCATCAGTCTATATAAAATACAAATACAATGACC